CGGTATGGATCACCGGTCCAACGTGAATTGGTTCCTTTCATTCGTGGCGATCTTCGTGACAGGGCGTTGCTGTTCCCGACCTTCCTGTCTTACCGTTGGGTGTTTACAGTATTCCCAACTCGAATCATAGCGGTAGGAAACTGTCGAACGGGTGACCATGTCTAAGATACGGTTGATTTCGTTCTATTGGCGTCCTGCACACTGAGGAAGCTTCCTCACTTGGTGGACACTACCTGGACCAGTCGTACCGCTAGAAAATAGCTATTAGAAAGGACTCTCACTACTGGGCTCCATCGAGGCGTTGTATGGTATGAAACCCACTATCACTTGAAGAATACAGCAGGCGGTAAGAAACAGATGTTGTAGGACAAATGAGAATGTCTCCCCTCAAACCCGAAAATAACATTCGCCGTGACACTTTGGTATAGAGAACAGTTATGATATCTGTCACCACTTCCCAAGGACCTGGTCAAATATCCTCCAAAGCTTATCTGGCACTGGATGTCGTCGTCCGCGTTGGAGGGAAAACATCCCTAGTATTGCGTCATCTGGTGTAAATCAAATCAGTTCGGATCCATTTTATCTTGCTTCCTTGGGCCTGTACTCACACGATCGCCGTTGTTCTCCAGTGAGTGACTCTTCAGGATGAAACTCCTTGACCGGTTGACGAGCCCAAAGATCGGGAGCTCGCAGGTTTCGAGCGAGTGGTGAGCTGGGAATACGAGACGTATGCATTGGTCGTTGGCATCCTCCAGACTGAGCATTCCTGTAGCGGAGTCTTGCCCGTCTGGCAGAGATCGAACGCCGCCGGTAGATACCTCTTAAGAGCTGATTATATTTCCCACGTAGCGACTCGGGCCCGCGTTTAATACCAGTCTCGCGAAGATACTCTTTTGATTTCTTCTTCCACGAGAGGTGCTGGTGTTGAGATAGCCAGTCTCGAAGATCTTGCTCTTCTGATGGTGACCACGGGATGTAATTTGCTTTAGACATCACAAGAATGAGAGGAGCAACAAGCAGTCTGGGGTGGGAGGATACTGGTAAGCTGAGATTCACACAAACAAGACCATGATACGTATACATTGGCTTTCCACACTGTGCCGGAATGGCAATTAGGTGCATCTCGCTTCTGAAAACCATGCTCTTTCAGGAGGCGGGATCACTTTGCCATCTAGCAGGTGACTGGGAACGTTGATCGGCTAAAAGCCACGACATGCTAGATTGATCCTGGCTTGGCGATCGTGTGGAATTGTGATCGATGCCAATGTGCCCTAACCGCAACGTGTGTGCTCATCTCTTACTGCAGGTAGATAATCACGTTTATGGGAATCAGCTTTTGTGATCGAAACGATATTTGACAATACGGCTCTAGCAAATCAAATAGGCTGTGCCGCTCTTCTAACAAGCTAAGTACACTCGGTTGGGCCTAGCATGTTGGCCTGGTCTCATATGAAAGGAAGTGTAAGACACGTTTTTGTCAGGGCGGATTGCCACCGTACTTTGGCGCTCTCTGGCCTAGTCGTTTCGAGCCACTGATCACATTGGCCGTATCAAGCGCAGATATGAATAGGTGGTTCACCCGATCATACATCTTTCCTGTGACCTACGTCTCGTACCTCCCCTTGGGTATTGATCTGCGGGCCTAGTTTGCTCCTAAGGGGCCACGCACAGGAAGCTAGGCAGGGATATGGCCCTCGGATAGTGCCATTTCATTCGCTGCGTCCCAATTTGTACATCCCGCTCGGCTTTACATGGCGACCTGATGGTGCTATTCCGATCACAGCAAATCTGAGAGCTTATGTCCTCGAGATCGGCTCCGTTACCCGTATCAGTCTCTCGCGAGGAGGCCAACCGGGTGGAGTGCGCATGTTGAATAGGTCCAGAAAGCTAAAGCGTCACCAACGGAGTCGCCAACGGAGTCACCAACGGAGTCACCAACGGAGTCACCAACGGATTCACCAACGGCGCCTACAGGCAACACAATATTGGCTGCACACACCGAGCCTTTCTCTAAGGTTAGTCAGGATGCGATAGCACGATAGGTTGTGAAGCGCACATTCTGTTCTTGTTAGAGAAGGAATCGTCATCTTGATCAACAAACGCTTTACTTCCCTCGTCACAACACCGGAGATGTCCGAGAAGTTGGTTATACAGTACAGGCACTTTCTCATCTTAAAGTCGATTTCCGTTCCAGAAAGGAGAAATCTCTCAAGCAAATACATGCCCCTTGGTTGCCTGCAATATATATGCTATACATAGCAGCCACAACCTTCACGGATGAAGGAGTAGTCTATACCATGCTCCAACAAGCACAAATCTACGAACAACACGGAAGAACTAGTATAAATAAGGTACTTTGTCACCCCGTGACCGATGGCTAAGGTTGCCCTAGTTTCTCGAGCGCGCTTTTTCTTCGCCATTTGCGACTGCTTGCATACCGGATTTGAGGCACGTGACTAGATGAGAACATCGTCCGCCTACCATATCTTATTCGTAACCAATGGGGCTCTATGTTTTGCGCTTTTCCATAGCTATCGGTGCGCCTTGATCGATATTGCCCATGCAAAAGCAAATACTTGAAGCAAAATTACCAGGGCAAAGCAAGCTTGAGGCAAATCCTTATACTAGCTAAAGGAATCCCTGTCTATATCCTACCCTGTTCCGTGATCAAGGACATCCTGGGCATCCTGGCCCTGGGACGTCTCGTTTGAATTACCCCTTTGGATATATTTGACTGTGCTCGGGTTAGCGCGGTCACCTGGGGGGACTTGACCGGAAGTGATTGGCAGGGTGGGATCAGAGCCACGACTTCATTGGTCGTCAGTTCCACAAATTAATATCATTGGATAGTGCGCTTTTGGTTTCGAGCACCTCAATAGCCAACGGTCTCTCGATTCTAAAGACAGGAAGTATACTCGACAAGGCTGTGCCCCTCCACGGACGAAGCTCCATATGAAAAATTTCCGCAATTTGTAAACTATTGCCAAGAAGGTGGTTTCTCGTTCAAGGAGTATGCACCTGTTTCTGAGTGCATGGCGCACGTTTCGCGCACGCGCTTGACGGGTAGATCCCGGCACATCATCCGGTTACTGAGGTCAGTCCGATTGGTTGTCCTGGCTTTTTGCTTTAATCGGCTGGGCGTGAAACGGAATTTCTCCATGTGGTAAATTTGACTGTGCTCAAGTTAGCGCGATCGGCTAGCAAAGTCAAATTACAGCAAACCTTTGATCTCGGAACGGGTTTCTTCCGTGCTGCTTAGGTCGAACCAGTTAATACCAAGAGCGGAATGGGATCGTTAACCAAGCAACGAACATGGCAGGGGTATATTTCGGGCAAAGATTTGCCACTCAATACAACGTATCTGGAGCTATGGTAGATGTCACAATCATCCGAGCGAGGTAGAACAACTGTTAGCTAGCCTTGGCATGGTCTGGTTCTGTACAGCTTGTTTTCGAATCCTCCGCGTGATTCCTCAAATGGCCCTGTAAACGCCCACAAGTGGTTCTCTTTACCTGGAAGCTGTATCTCCATCACCAACAGCGCTAAATTGACCGTCAGTATTGGTCAACAGAGTTCCACCCCCATTATTGTCGCCTTATTTAGAAACGGCAATCATGGAGTTGGGATCGCCAGGGAAAATTTCTGAATTGGGATACGGCGAAGGTTACGGGATGGACCAGCCCGACCCCGTCCGTTCCAATAAAACTAATTTTGGCCTCCTTGGTAAGGTTGAACTAGCACCGCAGGAATAACAAAGCAATGATTCTGGAGTTCCCGTCAATATCGGTCCACGCAGGTGAATGTGGATTTAAAGGATTTAAAGTAGCATGGCTGGCATGGCCTGCGTGGGCCTCGCCTGCATGGCATGCATCAGGGGTGCGTCAGCGGAGACGCTGGGCTGTCCTGAAGCGCGTGCATTGTATCGTTTTGTCACGCTGAAATTTGCGCGGCTCGATTGGCCTAGAGCGTTCTTTTGTAAACAGGGGCTAATCGACTAAGGAAACCCCTCGGTTGGTCCAGGCGCCGATAACCCCGGAAATTTGTCTTTCGTCCTTGGCCAGGGATCAACCCTCGCGTGCACGGATGTGGATTGCCTTAGAAGCTCCAGCTATCCATTTTGAGGCTTGAGAGAAGACTCCTACCAGACTCGGCGTAGGCGGATTATTAGCCCCGGCTGAAAGCTTAATATCCACAATAGGCCTCCGATCCATGGTTCAAGGTTCGAAGCCATCGGTCTCGTCCGCGGTGGGTAAATGCTGCGTTCCATCCTTACCTATGTCTGGGAAATGGAGTAACCCGGCCGGCGCACACGTGCATATAGATCAGTCCGCCTCTGTTCTCGCTATGGGATAGGTATCCGGCCTTCCTAAGCACATAATCGCTTACAATTTTGACAATTGAAATGGTAATTCCTTGTATTACCCAGAAAGCGTCTGTTTCCTGAAATGGGGCCAAAATTGATGATCGGCACAAACCGGCCAATCGGAGGTGATCCTGTTCGCGCCGTTGGTGATTAGGTTGTGTGATCTCCGTCGTTCTTCTCGTGTGGCCCGAGGCAAATTCGCTCAAATCCTCAAAGAAAATATAGGAATAATTTCAATCGTATTGCGGCAAGATACCTCCCCGCCCTTGGCACACCTCCTGATTTAACTTATCCCTCCATAGCAAAGCTAGCAACCTTCACCAATCGCGCATTCCTGCGACCTGTGACTTGGCACGTTTTTCAGACTGCACTCTACTCCCACTGAAAGTTCCATCATTCATCTTTGTGCAAAGTGTCGCGGACATCTATTGCTCTGGTATCTCATAACCAGCAGGGCTTGACCAAAATGCCCCCTGACCCGAGTCAAGAACCCCAGCGTAGGGAGAGAGAAGCACTTCGCCCAAGCACCGGGGATTTACATGCTCGGTCATATCTTCGTCACTTGGTTCTGCCAGAAACAGCATTGCGTTCTACTCTTGAACTACTGCAGTCTTATCAAACCGTTCTGCAAGCAGACATGAACCTTGCGCGACTGTTTGAAGTTCCTCTTGCCAGCGATCTCAAAGCGGAAAGACTTCAGTCCCTATTCACAGAGAGCAATCCGCGTGCATCGGAGACCGACCAGGCCAGATGCACTATTCACTGGGCCGATGTTGTCCTATCCTCAACATATGAATCGGAGCAGCAGGCTGATGGCAACTACTATGTCCGGGTGGATAAGGGTAAAGTGGAGGTGTCAAAACAGGACCATGAGTTTATTACAACCGGTCTTCCACGGCAGATTGCTGACCCTTATTTATATCCTAGCGATGTCGCATCGGAAGTCAATATTGTCAAATTGACTCGATCTCAAATAGCGCCCTGGAGAGATCTCACCGAGCGATGTTCGTGCAGTCCACCTTCAGTCGACTACTCTGCTGACCTGTGCGAATTTAGTGAATCAAACAATCGATGACGTATTGATAGGGCTGTCTGGAAGGATGGAAAAATTGCAACAAAAGTACATAATGTTCGGGCTGCAGGGAAATATTTCGGGTGAATATACTCCAACCGGCTCGGGCGCAACCATTACATCCAAGAACCCGGATGGATCTCCCATGGCTAAGCAAGGCAGGAAAAGGAAAGGTAGACCTGACATTTATCAGATAGTTATGCAAAACCACTGATAACCTCTTCAGGCCAAAACCACTTCTGGACTCCCGAAGAGGCCAGGGGTTTGCCCGGCTGGTTTGAGCAACATCGGAACCTCTCCAAGAAAGAAATTCAGGAAAAATACTTTCTGTTCTCGGGCCTGGATCGAAGCTATGACTCATTGCAAGCCGAACTCTACAAACAAGGCTGTGGCTATTTATGCAATAAAAAGAATAGGCCTTCGCATGGAAGGCATGCCGCCACCGAGCTACTTCCTCCGGCTGTGAAACTTCCCGTCCCAGGAAAATCTACTGATCCTTCCAAACTCCCTGTGGCGTTGGGCATCATTTCTAAATCGCTTTGTTCACTCCAACAGAACTCTTCGGGAACTCAGACGATAGAGACTGAATTCGAGTTGAGGGCATCGCCATGGCGAGCGCCCTAAGAAGGCAGATCACAGGAAGGCAGATCGCAAGAAGGAGGATCATCATCAGAGAACGCAGACGGTGATCCCGAACCAGTCGCTGAACTGGATTGCCCGCGCTTGGCGGTTAACCGACTGGATGGCTGCGGGTCTAGATCTGTAGTTCAAGAGGTCTCCGTGGATTCGAACGAAACAGTTGATCAAAGAAAAGAGCCCCTTGCAGCACTCTCCCCAGATCTTCAGTCCTCGGTTGAGTGCCGTTCGGACATTGAATGTATTGATGGACTGCAAGACTCATGGTCAGGTGAGAATTCCCTTAATTATTTCTCATTACGTACTAGGTACCAGTTGGGTCGTACGAATGGCACGGAAAACTTTTGCTGATCTACTTCCAGGTATAGAGCCAGCGGACCGTTTTGTCTTGAGTTGCCAGTCATCCGTGCCATCAAACCTGGACGAGCCAATAAGAGTCCAACCAAGAATCTTACCGCTGGCTGAGTTTTCCGATGGAACCAACAAAGGAAGTGAGTATGTGCTGTTCTCGAAATGATCATCAAAATTCTAAGACTGTTTACAGTACCAGGGATCCCAGCAGTTAGTCCAAATTCTACCACGGACGTATTTTCCTGTGCTATTACGCGCCACATCCCGGCAATGACGGACCATGCGAACCGTACAGAGGCCTTCTCGAAAGAGAAGGCTCTGGGAGATGAGAAGGAAAGTAATGATGCAAATATTGGCTCGACCCTTTCCCAAGAGCTCAATCTTGAGTCTGCCAACTATATACCATTGACGGTTGCTACTGTGAGCTCAATATCCCAAGAGCAACAAAAAAGCGATTCTCAAACAGCTAGGCGGAACATCGGGGCACCGCAGGACACGGGCATTGTTGGCAAACAGGAACTTCCGACGAGCGATGCCCTCTCAAACAATCAAGTGGGGAAGCAGGATTTTATATCAAGAACACCCTTGTCCCCTTCTAGAGAAATGATGGGTGGTGATTGGGAATTTGTGGTCACAACTGAATCAGATTTGACAATTGGAACGCAAGCGAAGCCATCGTCTACCGACGGCTAGCAAAATGCACAGTCCGGTTCAGCACGGCAGCATTTTAGGGAGATCAATAACGACGGGGATGAGGTTGGTTCCTCGACTTCCGTGGAAAGACAGCCGGGAAACAATGTGCAAGACTCCAGCTACGCGGAACAGACACCACTCACTGATGACCTTACGTCGCAGTCCGCAGGTACGATATCGAGCGAGCATAGCATGGTTTCGCTGGCTGCTGAGTCTCAGCGGAGTGATTTACATGTCCATGAACATACAGTTTAGCTACAACCAAAGAGAAAGCGTGTATTCAGCCACAGGACCAAGACTGGCTGTATAACCTGTCGCTCTAGGAAAAAGAAGTGTGACGAGCAGAAGCCATCATGTATGTAAGCGCTTTTGCACGCAGAGTGAAGGATTATATACTCCGCAAGAGGCCATCGCTGACAGACAATCTCAGGTGTGAACTGTACGGGGGCTGGTTATAGATGTGAGGGTTACAAGAAATCGACATATTGGCAGAAACCCAAAGCTCCGTCTATGACCATATCAGGAGGGCTTCTTGAAAATAACACGGAGACCAGTGCCCACAATCGGGTTCTTCAAACCGCACGCAGCCCAGCACGTGGAATGGAATTAACTGCATTTCATCAAAGTCGCTCTCCAGGACAACAATCCATCCACAGGGGAAACTCAGGATTTGGAAGCACTGCATGGCTGCCGAACGACAACCGACCTATCCATGGAGAGCCTTCTTCGGTATGCCCTGTGGGCTCCTGTAATCAGCAACCTGTGTCAACTTACACGACTTCACCGCTGTCTCACCTAGTGGAAGGAAGATGGACAATTCCGTCGATCCACGAAGTCCTTCAAGGAACAGGTGGTGGGAGTGATATACCCTTTGTATCCCCCTCAAGCAGAGAATGAATGCAAATGAAAGGTTTTGTGGTCATCTAGGCCAAGGATTACTGTCATGTGTACAAGCATAGATGGACGTAAAAATATACATAGCAAAATGTTGAATAGACGAACGAGTAAGTTGGCGACACAGGATTGAACAGGAGTTCGGAAGGTGCCTTTGCCTAGAAAGCTGCTCGCGGTGAACGACCTAGTACTGTAGCATGGACTTCGAATCGGGTCCATCTTCGTCCATCAAAATCCCCCAACGGTTCCAGATCGTCCATTGACCGAGGGAATTGAAAGATCAAGCAGCCGCTATGGTGGTATTGGGAGAGAGAAGATCTTTATCCTCAGTAGGGGATGGATGCGCTGAGATCGAGAGGATATCCACCACCAATCCTAGAGATTGTGCTGAAAGAACTGGTAAGGAAAGAAGGGCACCAGGAAAAGAGAACTAAAGGAGAGTGTGCTCACCTGTGTGTTTTCGCCCCTTGTTATAGTATTACTTAAGTCGTCCTCAAGAGTTACAGTATCACCGATTGCCTAGAGGCCTGAATGTCTTAGGAAAGTAGCGAGTGTAAGGACTTCGTGAGGCCGCGGGATTTCTACGCTTTTAGAATGAAACTAGGAGTGGTTCTCCTCTTAACAGAGCATCGCATTCTCAGGAATTTATCCCGCATGCATTTGCATCAATCACAATCTCTCGTACACCGATTTCAGTAGGCACGTTAAATTCCAACGCAAGCAAGAGAGAGCCTTTGCTGGCCTTTACGGCCATTGGCCCACTTAGAATACATGCTCAGTGGCGCCATTGACCGCAGCAAATAGGTTGTATGAGCTTCCAATCAAACCCGGAATGGCCAAGCGTCGGCACATTTCTGTTTCTCTCTGTTTATTCATGTGGTCTGCGCTGGCCTTCGTCAGCATTCTGGCTTCTCCGAGCGAGTTACGAAAAGATAACGTCCATGAACCCACCCTAGTATAGAGTATCGCACTACAATTTCAAAATTCCAATTCATCGTACTCCTCACGCTCTGATACCGAACCCTACTATCGCGGTCTGGGCCAACCGCTCACCGAACCAGGCTTCTATTCGGCCCGAGTAGGCCGGGGGCGAAGCCTGCGTAGCCAGTCCTGGCGGATGGCTTCTTTCTTTGCGGTATCGTCCTGGTCCGGACCACCACAGCGCGCGTCTCGCCCCGCGGTACTCCGCTTTGCCCTCCCTGTATCGTTCAACCCTCCGTACCGTCCCTGTCGAAGACGGAGCGTGATACGAGTGCGTTGGCAGGGTGGACTGCTTAATTGCTCAACCGCCGTTGCTTTGGCCTGGTAGCGGGTAATCTTTCTCTTCTTCGGCGGAGGCTGATTGAGACTCGCTGTCTCCGCATCGCGTTGGACCGGGCGTCTTCGCTTGTGCGTTATGGCACTGTCAAAAGAAAAATCAGGTTGCCTTTAATGACTTTGGATAGACAGCCTAGCTAGCAATGGAGTATTTATAATGTCGCAGAGACGTTCCACACGACGAGAAATACATACCCTACCCTAGCTCTGAGGGCAAAGCCCTCACTTCACTGGTGTATCCGTCCAATCTGATGTAGATTACCTTAGTCTCTCCTTCGTGAGGGTACGCGCATAAGAGCCGCTAGTAGTGAGCGTCTTGACTTAGCCGACAGTGATATGGTTTCCTGCAACGCTGTCAGGTTATGACTGGGGATGGTCCTCGAGAACAAGTGGCTTGGCACATGCCTCGAATCGACGCCAAGACACCGACAGTGTTTCCGCCTAACTCACGTCCCTGGACTGTGCAAAAAGCCTGACATCTTGCTGAGGCTCCCTCGTTGCCGATATGTGTCCCAATTCCCACAGTCCGTCCATGTCAGAATTGGTATGGAATCAACCACGCTCCTGTTGAACAATGCACTGCTAAGTTTTGAACGGACCCTTCCGATGCTGGCTTCGCCCTGGAAGCCTGGCCGTTCAATTCAGCACAGGCGTGTAAAAAATCACCACTCCCGCATTTTTGATATTTCAGAGTCCGTCGGCCACACTTGTCCTGCAAAAGGTCAGTCCCTGCCTAGACACCAGAAACCCGGTCGACCCAAGTGCGACACCATGACATTATCCAGTAATGAAAAGCGCGCCTAGCGGAGACAAGACTGCCGTGAGGCTTTGGCAGCTCATATCTGTAAGGAATATCGTGCTAGTATCATAGAACGCATTAGGCGTTGACAGCCTCTGGCAGACGAACGACTGGGACTCAAAGTTCCCGCACACCAGGTCCGCCTGTAGCCTTGTCCCGAAGACGGCTATGCGTGGTCTGTCGCGGAAGGATACGAACATCTGCTGGCAACAAACCTGGGCACTGGATCCGTCGGCAAATACAATAGCATCATCAACAACCTAGGTCGCTCAATCGAGGCCGTCGACCCGGAGACCCTGCCAGGCTGCACCATCCAGAACTCGAATCTGGGCAGAAATGTACGTCTGCGTGATGGGAGAATTCCGCCAATGTTCCGGGCAATTCGCTAATGTTGAAATCACTGTGGCAGAGTCCAGTTTCACGGGTTGAGAACGGATCCTTCACGGCCACTATCCGACGGCTAGACAGTAAGAACGAGGAGCTCGCCGATGAGCTGGACCGGGCGTGGTCACGTTCCGATGCATTGCGGGCGAAGGTTGAGGAATGGGAAGCGTGGGCAGAAGCCATGGAACGGCAGCTAACAGAAAGCCAAAACCTGGTGGCTCAGCTTGACGAAGAGCTGCGACACGTGGAGGGAGGAATGGCCGAGGCGGTGAAGCTGCTACAGAGTTTCCGGCCCCAGGAGGAGGTGCAGTCACGTGGGAGTGAAGACTGGTATCAAGACGCGACACGGTCACCTAGTCTGAGTCAGGAAGAATGACCAGTTTCCAATTCCAGTCGCGTACGTCCAGCGTGTAATTTCGTAGTAAAGCAAAGCTTTTGATTTGAACTGCGCCAACACCAGCCGGCGCAACGGTCTGATTGATGAGCGACAAGATGGATCGAAGGGCAAATACCCTAATATGCCAAACTTAGTTTTCTGCTGAGAGACCTCCAGAATATAAGATTCCGTTGCCGCGGGTCGTAGTAGTAGAAATAGATAATAAACAACGCCGCGGAGAACGAGCGCGAATTGTCAGACGTATGAATTAACCTCCATAATCCGCGCATTTCTACGCGCAGGGGCAGCAGATGGAAAGATTATGCCGGAGGCTAGAGAAAAGCGGTATGCGGATTAAAGTACATGTTCCAAATACTGCTGAACAGCCACTGTAGAACTATAGAGTGTAGAGTAGATACCATCATTTTCATACTCGCATCCATTCCGTCCTGATTCGGCTGCCATCAAACAAACCAATTGGTACCGTGTACCACACGTATCAATCATGAGCCCACTAGAAAAATTTGACATCGTAGTGGCTGATTTTACTGACGACGTTGACCAGCATCTTGAGCTCCCCGCCTTTCATTTGGGTAAAGAGATCATCCTAGGTCAAGTCAGTTTCGCTCCACCTGTTTTTCGCTCTTCGGCAGCTGGACTTACCCGCCATACATCATCTAAAGGCGTGGTCATCAATCGTGTTGCCAGTTCCTCAGCCTGAGGGCTCCATGGTTCGAGTGGACTCATTTGCTTTCGAAGCCCGTTGATGATATCTGATAATGCAAACAGCTTCAGCGTATCAGCATTCATGTCTGCTGCGTGGATTTCGCAACTGCGTTCCACGCCCGCTGAGATGCAGGGAACGATCCGACATTAGTACAAGGCCCATCCCGAGGTAAAATGAGTTCCAGCAAGTGGAGTGGCACCTACTAATTCTCACGCTCCCAGAATCGGTGAGAAAAATTGACTCGTACGTGAGGGAGGCAAGGGCACGGTTTGAGTCCCGTAAGTATCGGATTCCCTGGATAATCTGAAATGTGGTGAGCTGCGGCGCTAAAAGCACTAAAGTCTCAAGGCAAGAAAGGGGGAATTCAAAACTAACTGGCCACACTATAGACACAAGCTCTGCTTCCCGGATTGCGTACTTGGACCCAATGACCTGGGCCAAAGACAGCTCCACGGGCTCCCAAACCAAGAATGCCGACCCTTCATAATGGTAGCAGCACAGAAGGCGAAGGAAACTGGGATGGGAAAGGCGGCAGATGGTATCGTGGACCGACTCCGTCGCCACGTTCCTCTCCAGCTGCTCGATGTGAACCAGCTCTTCTTTGTTCTGACGGTGTCTGGCAAGAAAAGTGTGCCGTTTAGGGAAAATCGAGATACTCTTTTCGTAATCGGCCCAGGGGTCTTCATTCAATACAGGAACCTCAAAAGAGCGTGTCCGCTTGTTCCCGCTACCCCAACGGTAGGATCTCCGCAGAACTGATGGAACTGTTGAGCCATCTCCGTCATCTGCTCTCTTGACTTGTTGAGGAGGGTTGCTCCTGGGAGCGTGAGTCCCTAGAGTGTCGGCCAACTTGGGTGTTGCAGGGAAGAAATATGTTGGCGGTCGCTCAGGCTGACGGTTATTCGAAGCCATTTCGTCAGTGAGGGTGAGGTGAGTTATTGTGTTCCGTGATTTGTCACGGCTGTAGTTTATAACTGACTGTCTTGTTACGTCTAAGAGGTCCATCTGTCTACCTGGGTCGAAGAGAGTGAGGATAAACGGGCTGTTCGGTCTTTGGCGCACCCATTCTCAGCGCTGCAGGTACGAGTAAATTGATTCGAAATACCTGAACAATGACAGAGCCGCGGGTAAATACAGAACAACTATCATTCATTGCTTTCGCGTGCTTCTCGCACCTGATGGGCTGGATTCGTGCTTTGCGTGTCAAGTGAGTATTGGACGCGAATTTTGAACATGGACGTTCTGCTTGTGTTTCTGAACAAAATATGTGACAATTTGCAGGTCCTCGAGAAATCTAATGATTCCCAGGAGATTGTTTTCATTTTCTTTATTACTAGGAATAATGAACGCTTCGGAGTCAGCCCAACTGAGCAGAATCAGTCTGCCGCTCCTTGCTGTCCTGAGAGCTGCTCTTCCTTTCTGTTCGAACTCATGCCTCCTGGGATATCAAAAGCTTACATATCTAGACACAGGGAATGTATTGCTTGTTTTAAGGCCTACACTCACATATTCCTTTTCGACGGCTCTTGTCAATCAAGTATGGATTCCCCTCTGTACAACTACCAATGTCACCCCTTTATGACGCTCGAGCATTGTGTATAGGCACCCGAGATGGTAGCCCCTGTGAACGAGTCGCCCGGAAGTACGGCCGATCACAAGCACTCCTTAAACTTGACACCTGCAGCGGGTCTCTTTCTGAGCACTCCTACCAAATGCTGGCGAAATGCATATTGTGTGAAAGATGCCAGCAGCAAACTGACCAGGCTCGGCGGTGGTTAGATACACAGGCATCGCTCCTAGGCAAAAAGAAAACACTCTACAATAATGAAGAATGGGTCACTGCAAGATTCAATGAGGTCGTACGGGGCTGACCTTGGCCGATCATTAATGCAGGCTGAGTTGTGACCCAGACGGTTCCACATGGCCTGAGTCTAGAGAGTGGGGGTGCAGCGCTTCGGGTTAGACAATAAGATCATATCAGCCTTGCACAAGAAGCAGATGAGGAATCTTCTGCACAGTTTCTTTGCCAGGTAGGTTGCCACAGTCTAGTAATTAATGGGGTATCAAAGACTTTCATTTCACTCTGTATCTTAGGAATGTAGACTGGTTACTGTTCGTCGGAGATCAATTGGCCATCCTCCTACTATAGTATAGTATTTCTCATAATTTGGTTCCTGTGCTCAACTACTGTACCGGCACTAAACTTCGCATACCGCGGCAGACAAGACACCTGTCCAAGGTCGAATCTACTCTTAATGAGTCTCGGAATGACCTTGAACTCGGCCTGAGGAAGAACGATTCATACAGTGCCTGACCATCTTATTCTCCGTATATGAATGAACCTGACTACAGTAACAGCCAATAGTGCCACTTTTTCATCAGGAAGTCTTCGTTTTCTATCCCAGTGCGATGACACCAGCCGGCTGCTCGGCCTCGCCTTGCCTGTCACTTTTGCTACCCTGATCCACATCAGGCTCGTCCCCTCGAGTCTCAGCTTGTTTGAGAAGAATATTGAACATTGCTTCAAACGAATTGCAGTCTTTATCGTCCAGTCGGCCCTGCTGTTTCAGGAGGTAGTCCGTCACAGTCCCGAGCCTTCGATTTACGTCGCAGAGAAGTTCGGCCATTTTCACGGTCTCTTCCAGATCATTTCTCGTCCTCTCCAGGTCAATTCTTGTTCTTTCCAGGGCATCGCGTGTCTTGGAGAGCTCCCGCTTGTATTCAGAGACGATACGTTCGGTCTGGCGTTCGGTTTGAGTTGTGCGTGCGTACATCGACGCAATGGTTCGAAGGATCTCCTAAGGTCAATTAGCAGACGCTCTCAAGGTATCTAATAAGCCTTACCTCGGTGTCCATAATGGCTTGTAGCGGATATCTGTACAAGGAATGGTGGTATACCAGCACCAGTACGAGGGATCTTCACGGGGCACCAGTGCTCGATGTCAACCGTGCCAGATATATAGACTTATCTATCGCAGTCTAAGACTCGGCGCCTCTGTCGACGAGATGTGGGCGCTCGTTGATATGTGCTAATTGATTTAATCGTTGTAACCGGGTAAGAGGCATTACGAACATGGTAAATCAAGGCTGGCCATGACCATCTTTCACAGATCGTGTAAGCAGTTCCACAAGAATAAATCTTTATAATATCTATCAAGTAGGGATCACCATGCAAAGGGATAGAGGTAGCTGATCTGAGGTTGGGGCATTAATATGGAGTATGAAAGAATAATTTTGAGTATTGTATGGCCACCAGCATTCCTGGAGAGTTAGAAGTGAACGGAATTCAGGGCAATTGCGGAACAAACAGATTTGTGCTTAGATGATTGCCGGACACAGAAATGTGGCTGCTCGTGTGAAGTTCACAAACAGCCGGAGAGTGAGATCAGCTTGCTCCCCATTGTGAACATCAGCCAGGTCCTAGAGGTCACATTCACATTACACGTCATTATTTACCCTCAATAAAATTCGATTCACAAGGAAGTGTGCAGACTACTATTGTTTAACTTTGGTCACATATCTTCGGGTTGTTGATCGATCTGCTTTTATAAATATTCAATCTCCTGTAGCCCATTCCAGGTCAATACACTTGGAACATGGAAGGCCACTGGAGCATTCCGACGTACTCGTTGGATGAGTGTCTAACATAGATATTCATGGTTGACTAGGAAACATCAAGTCTCTTGTCACTATGGATGATGGATGCATTTCCGCAATCTCTATCCAACGGCCCGGAATGTGAATTAAGGCAGGCCTCAGGTCTGGTTGATCCGAGACTCCATCTATGTGGTTGTGGGATGCTCTTGCTGCTCATCTGGTTCATTTTTCGATGCTCATCACCGACCTTAGATGCCTACATCGCAATATTTTGTCTGATATGCAACCTGATTTGCTTCTTGTTTTCCGCATTTTGTCACTGGGTGTTCAACTCTATGGGAAGAAACTCCAGCGGCTACTTTCGACTGGACTACGTGGGAATCATTTTGCACATCTGGGCGACCTCCGTTTCAGTCTTACTTCTGGAGATTGACAATGATAGGATAAGCAGATACGGTATTTCTGGGCTTTCACTGGTCAGCCTTACTGCGGCAGTCTGCTTATTATTTTTATCCTTGGAAAAGAGGGTCCGAGTTGCAGTTATTGGTGGGACAGGTAGTCATGCTTTCCTAGTGGTTCTGTTACTTGTCACAGCTTCTTCAGGCCCCTCCCGACTGAATGCATCTTATTCTGCGATGGTCGTCATAAATGGCGTTGGAGGATGGTATTACCTTCGACAGAGTGACAAACCCGCCCAGTCTGGCCTTTCCGGTCCTTCTACAGCTAAAGGGCACACAATAATGCACATTTGCTCTGTGTTCGCGTCTATGCTATATGGTATTGCTCTCGTTCAATTTGTCTGCGCATCGTGATTATTGCGTTATTGGGATCCAGGGATTAATTTGTTGCCGTGGCAAGATGTGATGAACGAATTGGCAAACGACATCAGTTCTGTGTAAAAACTCTGATCCTTGAAAATGCCCCTAGTAATTCCAAGCGCTAGGAGAAGATGGTGGATTTTTCCGAAATGGTCGAAATTTGCTTCATCCCGGAACATCCTGTACTATATACAGTATTGTAATTCATTAAGCAACAACATAGCGAGGACAGTCTAATTAGATATTGATGAGATAACTCCAAGGAAAAGGGAATGGTCTCATCTTTTTTACATTCTACTATTGACATGTTTACCCGCCAGGAAAGATCATTCTTTTGTCCCACGGCAAACATATTTGTGCCCTTAAATCACCATCTCATAATTTTACATTTGCTCACACTCGAATGGTTACATTTGATCTGTTATAAAATAATGATACAGTAATATAAACAGTCACAGATAGAACCATAAAGTTAATCAACGTTGCTTACCCAGCTGTACAAAAGAATGGGCACCGCGTTTTACCTGGAAATAATCGCATTCACTACGTAGTTTGTGACACTTTTTGGACACTTTGTGCCCTCGCCGTTTCGGGGAAATAGTCTACTGCAGCCTCATTTGAATGGTGTATTTGTTCTCAGTTCAAGTGGAGGGGGGTAAGATTTGGCTTATTGTTTCTCGGAATTAACTGATCGTACTTCCTTGCAACACATTTTTGTCGCAGGCAGTGCGGCGGAACCGGAACAGCATACCAGTTTCCAGCTTGTCGACATTTATATTGTACAACCATAGGCAGTACTAAAAACCCATCTAGATATTGGTTCAACACTTCAGCAATTGTTCAGGGTTAGGACTGGCATCAACGTCGAAACGGGGTCTGTCAATCAATTTGGTAGACCTAAATCAAACAGTCAGAACAATTTCCCTAGTTGTTCGGCATGAAGCGGGCATTAGATAATGCGAATCCAGAAGGATTAAAGCTCAACAAAGCCTATATACCTGTCCTCTATCTGTTGTCATAAACCAGTCAGCTTATAACAACCGGGATCAAGATTATCACCATGCACTCGCGCAATGTAACAGCATGGCCTAAATGGGAAGAAGATAAACTTCTTCCCTGGTTAGAGGCCAACCGCAAACTGTCGTGGACCGCTCGCTCTGATGCCTATTTGGAGCAAGTTGGGGTGAAGCGCTCTGTTGAGTCCTTACGAGGAAAGAAATATTATATCCTACGAAAATGTCGCGATGGTCGTGTCAGATCGTCGCAGCAGGCGACCACCTCAAAGGGCCGGGCCACCAGAAACACAAAATGGGGTCTTTCAAGTAATGATTCTATCAGTGACAGAAATGTTAGACGATGGATCCATGGCATTCCTGAGGTTGCACCAGATTGCGTCAAGAATCAAGAACTAACCATCGGCCGAAACATCGTCATGTGGTATGAGAAAATCTTCACTTTTTCTTTTGGTAAAGGCTTATTATTTTTGCAGCTCATGAATCAAATTCACAAAGTTATGATAGAAGAGAAAATCGATCATTTTCCAGGCTTTGGAACTATGTGCACTGGGTCTGTGAGCAAAGATGGCTTATTTAATGCGATCAATAATGTTAGCCAATGACTGAATTTTCCTGCTCTCTTCGGGCGATGGAAAGCTAAAGCATTTCAAAGTCTTTGAATACTATTAAACATGGGATTTCATCATAAAGTTGATGTAAGAATATATATAGTCTTACTCAATCAGAATACAGCACAAAAAAGATAACATGCTCTTGGAGATAACATGTCTCGTGCCCATAGCGAGGCAGTCTTTTGGAATAGCCAAAGGCTCAACCATCCAAAGCATGGAATAATGCTACCCGTTTTTGCTATGAAATGCTTGAGGTTCTACCCTCCTTTTAGATCGGGTCAATTCATGTAATTGCTCCTTAATTTCTTTCTCAGACAGGTTCCGATGTTGCTCGAACCAGCCGGGCAAGTCCCTGGCCTCGTCACGGCCTGCCGTGGCCTAATTGCCGCTCTCACTATTAGGCTGCCCTCGTGACGCGCGACTGCGAAACCGTTGTGACGCCTCGGCGAAGTCCAACACGGCCTGGACCGTCATCGCCCTGGAGACGATTGTTATACCTCCGGGATCAGAACGAAAAGCTCTATACTGATCAATTCATCGGCCATATGATTCATTACGTGGGGCAGTACCAGTGACTTTGTTCTTGCTAGGTTTAGATGCTGAAACGAATAAACGCAATACCATTGCCCTCTTACTTTGGATTCCCGAAAGAGTGCTCTAACGTCCGTATTTGCTATCAGTGGGTCGCAAAGAATGAATACACGCAGTAACGGTTGCCGTCAAGTTCGAACTCTTTTGGTCAGTCGCTCCGATCGCCCGAGCCCAGAACGGACAAACACATACATACAAACAACGAAGCTTGAAATAAGACATGAAACAGCATGATTTATCAACATGACAGCGTGGCTGCGCTTTATCCTGCAAATGGGTAGCATGGGAGAAAACCTTTGACAGGTGCCCTACAAAGGGGACATTTCTTTGGCGTCTTAGGGTTCTCTGGGTTCTCTGCACATGACAAGCAAAACATGTGTCCACATGCAAGCGTCGCCCAACGATCTGGGTGCTCGTAGCAGATCTTGCACCGTAGCTTTTCCCTCAGTTGTATGAGTACCTCTTTTCCTTTTTGGTGCTCGTTCCTCTTCAGACGAAGTTCGTCCCGGAGCATTCGGTTTCTCTCTCGTAACATCGTGATTTCACCGTCAAATGTGGTTCGAAGTTTTTTGAAAGCGTCATCCTAGTGCTTCATTAGCCACGGAAGAAGGAAGTGCTGCGAGGAGCTCGTACCAAAGTAGACCGCTCCTTCGTTTCTGTTCTTCTTCTTTTCCGTGATGATGTCGAGCCAGTCGTATCATCGATTGATTCAGCGAGCACCCTCTCATAATCTAGGTATCTGTAATCCCGCCGAGGGCCTCTTCTAAGTCGTGAAATACGTAGCTCGGGGCTCTGTATTTCATCGTCATCGACGATAATGATCGGGCTCGCCATAGTGCCACTAGTCGCCATACTGGGGGGGGGAGAAAGCCGGTATCACCTCGCAAGATAGGAAGTAAAAGTAAATGGAGAACTAGAAGCTGGTGCCAGTCGGGGGAAAGAGGCCCTTTATATTTTTGTGACCCAGCATCGACTGAGTCAGCTCCGGGAAGTACCTGGACACTGGCGCCATAGCAATAGTCCAGGCGGCTTTGCACGATTGGACGTCAGCCCGTGATGGAATGAGACCAGGCCATAGCGTTTCATGCGCCACCCCGACAAGACGACAGTGCATATCCATATTTAGGTCGGTACCACTCGTCTGACCGAGTGCACCTTGTTCAACAAGCAGGCCTAGACGGGTACGCACAGAGAAGTCTTAATCTCGGACCGCAAAAGCCCTGGCAGGATTGCAGCCAGACGATACCTGTCTGCCAATCGTGCCCATGTCGGTAGGCAGTGCAGAGGACTACTGCAGAAGTGATTTGACTACCCTGCCTGTCCATATGCTATTTTAGGACTGCGCTGTGTTATCGCTAGCGGGTTGGCTGAGCCCTGCTTGCCAGTCGTTCGAGGGCCCAGGAGAGAAGACGAAACGTGCAGGACGGACTAACGCAGAGGTAATGGCCCGACAGCACCTCCAGTCCGCATGATGCCGGTGCTGTAGGAGTATAGCCTGTTTCCTATCCGTTCATCCTGTCCCCTTTGCTGATCGATAGTGAAGCCAACGAGGATTTGGTAACTGTCGGGACATATCCTCCCGTCAGAATAAGCAAAGACATGTTGTACGTAATCTTGCTAAGCTGCGGCTCCCGCCGTATGGATTCAGGGGCATTGGACGAGGACCTGGAACATACATCTATCTACATCATCAATTTACTTTCTGCTTTTGGACCATACATGCTGTCCACTTAACTGTGTACACAGTACCTAGCTGGTGATACCAACAGTAACACGGCAAAGTTGGCAACTGGGTCGAACTGTATAGACACGCATAGTGCGAACTGCAGCGTAGGTCGAGGAGAAATCGACTGTTTGCACGCGATCAGACGACGTCGCGTTACGGCCTTTCAGATTCGGAGGCCATTCGAGGAATTGGACGTCAGCCCGCGATTGACTCGCATGAATGACTAGCTCACTCGTCCACTTCATCTAGTAGCCACACCGCAAAGCACGGTTGCTAATTCTGGCGCACGACTGCACATCGTCTGCGCCCAGTGTACACCACCGGGTCAATTGAGCTCTGCCTGCCAATCGTTCTATCGTCAAAGAGAGCAAACGAAACACTCCCACCGTTCTCTATATCCAAAGTCGTGTTGAATGAGCCTGCCGACCCCTGTGATCTAATGCTCTCATGTCAATGCTTATTAAATGGGGGCTAGGCTCTATAGTAGTCCCAGCCCAATGGTCCTAGCCACGCGGCAGAGCGAAGCTTACTGAGCTAATGTATAGAGGTGTTATATACACACACACACAATTCATTAACGCCCGGCGGCTAAGCCGAAAGGGCAACTATTGCTGATCTATCGATACAGGTCCTAATGTATATATGCAGTATCTCCTTCGAGCCCATACATGGATCTTTTCAGTATATGTCCTCTCAGCTGTCAATATCATAGGGATCCTTGTGGGTTAGTAATTTTGTTAGTAGACTGGCTTGAAGGCGCTTCTTCAAGTGTTCAACATCCTATCCTCGGCAGTTGAAGCGCGTCTACCATCTCTGGCACAAGGTGGTAGGAGTAGGTTAGTTCGGGGGAGGGTGTAATTGTGTTGGTCGACGTAACTAGGCGACATCGAGTCGGCCCGTGGTGACTGCGAATCGTATTGAAGCTCGCACTGCCTCCAAATTCGGTGTCCATCCGTGATAATCAGAAGGCGATTTCCCGCCCAGGAAGAGGGAGAGATTTCCCCGGTGAATATGCGTACATTGCAGCAGTGCTATCCGTTGTATGGTCCACTTCCGACATCGAAAGAGGAAGTGTTCGACGGTCTCTCTTGCTTGTCCACATGCACACTGGTCCGTCTCTGCAACGTTGATCCGATAGAGATAGCTATTGAGTCTAGCTATGCCGGTCCGGAGTTGGGCCAGCACGCTCGCTTCTTTCCACGATAATCGATCATACAGCTGTCGGGTGTGTTTTCCTGGAAGTGCTGTATCCACTCGTTTAACGTGTCTCCCTACGTTCTCTGGCAAGGCTTTGCTGGCAACTGCCTGGGACCGAGCGATATTCAGTGTTGTCGACTTCATCCTGGGGACCGATGCTTGTGGGGTAGCATCCTTCTGGGTCGCAGTTCTGGCCTGCTATTTAGCCAGACCTAGCAGTTTATTGTCCTTGCTGGTAGGGACCCAAAGAATATTGACATGGTTTCCGTTTCTCCGCAGTCTTCTCATCAACTTGTATATTTGGCAGACGAACTCCTGGCCTGACTGTTGTCGAGGGTTCCTTATCGTGAGAGCCGCCGCTTTGTTGCTCGTGAGCAACCTGATCCGGTAATCTTTCAGTCCCACTAGCATGTTCAATGTATGTGCTATTGCTGCCAGCTCCGCGGAGAATGGATTTTGCTCTGATCTTGCGCCCAATGTCACCGAAAAGGTCTTTAGCTTCAGTTTTCGATATCGAGGTGGCTGTTTCTCGATCGCCACGCCAAATCCTACGAGCCCGTTCCGTGCCGAGCTGCTGACTGCGGCTTGCATTGATCCGCCCGGTACTGTCTGTGAGTCCGGCATTGCTTCAACATCGGTCTGCATGCGTGTCTCCTATGGTGCTAATGTAAACGGATTGACGGTTTCCAGTGTCTCCATCTTAATGCTTTTCAGCGCGTCTGCCACCTGGTACAGCGGTGAACGGTGGTACCTCCTGAATTTCTTGATCCCTGCTGTACTCCTGCGGAGCGGATTGGTTTCTGGCAGGGTGTGAATGTCCGTCCACATTTTCACGGCCCGTCTCCAAAAGCGGTGTTGTGCAGCGGCAATGTGAGCCTCCGCCTCCGCTACGCTGGTCGCAACTGTGAGAAATGTCCCTATAATTGCTTGCGCTCCCACTCTTTGGACTCGGTTGATCGGCCCGATGGCCTTATCCTTGCAAGCGTGCATCTAGATACTAGAGGCGTAGTCTACTACCGGAGCTACCGTCGATGTGAAAAGCTGACGTGCTGTTGCTGGGGAGAGGCCGCGAAGTCGCCGAAGCTCCATCGCTGCCTCTAGGCCTTTAGACGCTGCCCTCGCGATATGTTCCTTGTACTTGAGTCTCGCATCCATGAGGACGCCCAAGATCTTGACGTGGTCTTTGGGCTCAACGGTCTGTCCCTTGATGGTGAAAGGCCCCTGGTCCGATTTGTAAGCTTTGGGAGCGAAGTGTATGATGGCTGTTTTGTCTGCCTCAAAAGTCGCTCCGCTCCTTTTCTCCCAGTCGAGTGCTTCAGTGATAATTGCTTCAATGCCCTCCCGATTACTCTGCGCCGTTGGTCCGGTCATCCACGCGGTAAAATCATCCACAAACGCGATTGCTCCTCCCTGGCTGTTGATCTGTCGTTGTACGAGGTCTGCGTTGAAGAAAAGGAACAGGATTGGGGACAGCGGCGAGCCCTGCGGCAGTCCCGCCTGTGGCAGGATTGGACCTCAGATAGTTGCCCATTGATTTGAATGGTCGCCGTTCGTTCCGAGCAGAACGCCTCAACCCACCGGAGCAGATCCTCCGGTATGCCTCGCGCTTTCATCCTTTGAAGCAATCGTTCTTTGCATACTCCATTGTAGGCTCCTTTGACATCGAAGCTGATCAAGCTCAATACCCGTCGGCCGCGCCACGCCGTGTAGATTTGCTCTTGCAGAAGCGCGAGTGCTTGCTCCGCGGACCGCTGCTTTCGGGCTCCGAAGTGGCTGGTTGGGAGCAAGCCGTACGTCTCCACCGCGTGTGAGATCCTTTCTGCCACCACTGATTCTAGTATCTTGCCCAGCGTCGCGAGGAGTGAAATTGGTCTCCATGCTTTGGCAATGACGTAATTTTCTTTATTTGGCTTTTTGAGCGGTATGATCTTCGCGTGTCTCCACTGCCGTGGCAATGTGCCTCCTTGCAGTGAGGCTTGGAATAGATCAAGAACCCTGTCCTTGACCGTGGGCCACGTCATCTTCCAGACTATCACCGGCAGGCCGTCTTCGCCAGGCGCTTTCCAAGACCTCGCCGCCAACAGTTGCCTCTCTACCTCATCCATCGTGACGGCTGGCATTTCTACTGGTGCTCTTTTTGGTCTCGTCCCTTCATCGTCAATGATATCCGGCAGAGACGGGAAGAACGTGGTCAGCAATTCTTCTGCTTGCTCCTTGTGATCGGTGGTAGTCGTTCCGTCTGCTCTCAGGAGCTGCGGGACCTTCCCAAACGCTCCGTCGTCTCCCGATTTCAGGTATTTAGCGGCTTTCCATATGTTATCGTTGTCTGCAAGGAATTCGTTCCAGTGCTTTTTCTTTTGTTGCCGGATGGCATCGTGGTATTGCTTCGCCTCGCCTCCGGCCATCTCTTCTAGATAGGGTACTTTTCTCCCCGCCCGTCGCTCCGAGCGGGCGTGATTTCTCCAGTATGTGTATATTTGACGGAGCTGTGTCAAGTCGTCTGTCCACCATCGCTTTGCGTGTGGTGACGGTTTGGCCTTCGGTGTCAAGGCATGCACCGCTTCTGAGACAGCCGACATGAGTCGATCGGTTTTCTGCTGCACCGTGCCCTCCAATGGAGTGGCGGCCAGGGTGTTCGCAATTCTGGCATTAATCTCTCTCCATGGAGCGTTTTTCAGCAGGAGTCGTTCCTGATACTTTGGGGGCGACCATGGGGCATCGAATACAGTCTCAATGGCGCAGTGATCCGAACCGTGCTCTGTCCCGACTATGGCACACTTGACCATGGAGTCTGTCAGGTTTTCCGAGGCTAGGACGAGGTCGATCGTGGACTCGCAGTCCCCACTATGCCCTGCGCCATGCCATGTCTTTGTGCCTCGTTTGAGTAGACTGCTGAGGGCAAATTCATTCATGAGGTCGATGATTGGATCCGCTTCGCCTTGTCTTCCCAAAGACACGTCGTCTCCTCCCCAGAGTTGATCATGACGGTTAAAATCACCCACAATTATGATCTCCAACACCGTGCCCGTGTCTCGCCGTACCTCTGTGATTGCTTTGCGTAGGTGATCGCATGCTTCGAGCAATGCCGCGGCATCTCCTCCTCTCTACGTAAACTGATCCCATAAAAATCTGTCGCCCGGGGATCCGAATGACCGCCGCCGTCAGATCCGGGGACTCGATCCGCACTTGCTCCGCTTCAACATCCTTATTGATCCAGAGCATACTTCGAATTGCCCATCTGCCTTCTCTCCAGGTGGAACCAGTTTCGTCCATTTGTGATGTCCCATCGGGGTTGTCAAAAGCCGGCCTTGAATTCTCCTCGCTTGGGGTTCCTGAATTGCTAGTGCCACTGCCCCCTGGGTTTCTTCGTCGTTCATCAAGCTGTCATGTACCGCCCCCTGTTTCCTCACATTTAGTTGGATTATTCGGAGGGTTTTATTCATGACGTGACGGATAGAGCTTCCGGCAGTTTTTGCTGTACGATTCATGTGGGCCTCCGCATGGAACGCACTTTAGCACCGTTTGGTCGCAGTTACTATGGCGATGGCCGTCCGTGGCGCATCTTGCACATTTCTGGACGTTCTTACACTGGAACGCCTTGTGGCCAATCTCCTGGCAGTTGTAGCATTGCATCGGTCGTGGTCGATATTCGAAGGTGCTGGTCACGCCAGACTCTCCCCCAGCGTGAAAGAACCCGTCGGCCAGGAGTCTCCGTGCGTCAGCACCTTTGGTAAGGTAAACGACCATTGACCCATAGGCCTTCGCACTCTCCTTTCTACTGAGCCATGCGATCTTGGCCACTCTAGCTTCGTTCTCCTCGCTGAAGGCTGCCGCAGCTCCGGCTCGGATCTCATCATTTTCATCCAGGACTGCGGCTTTGTTGACGCTATCGACTTTGATCGGGTAAAGCTCGTCCCGAAGTACCCGGGCTCCCGCGCCGATCTTTGCTTCCGCCACTTTCTTGACCAACTGGTGTTCGGCTTCATCGCGACACGCTATTCTGATCCGGTTCGTGTTCTTCGGGTCCACGGTGACGGCGCGACAACGCCAGTGCATGTGGTCTTCCATCGTCCGGATCTCTGTCTCGACCGTCGCCCGGATTGGGCCTGCGGACATCCTCTCGTTTCCATTTTCTGCCATCCTCGAGGTGTCTATTGTGCAATATAACGTATCGGTGACAGTGGTTGGTGTTGTGTTCGACGTTGAAAGAGTCCGTATGTTGCTCGGGTGACTGAGTGGGGGAGTACGGGCGACATCTGCATAGGACGGGGAACTTGTGAGGGCGGGAGGGCTGATTGCATCACGCAGGGATTGAATCTCGCGGAGGATCTCATCGTGGCCGTTCTGGGAGCATGGCTCGGAGGGGGCTTGCGGTGTCGGGAGTCCATCTGTCAGGGTCTGTAGCTCCAGTCGAACTTCTGCAAGGGCGGCACTGAATTCTTCTTTGATTTTCTGCAGTTCTCTCTTATGCAGATCATCTCGTAGTCTGATCTCTCTTCTGAGTTTAACGAGCTCTCGTACAAGTTCAGATGCGTTCGGGTCCTCGCTCTCTGTCGAGGAGTCCGACGTTACCGCTTCACCTTGGGCAACTGGCTTGCCCAGGTTCTTCCCCCGCTGGGAGCGCGTGATTCTCCGCTCGGTGTCGATCTCTTGCTCTCGAGCATAGTTATTTAGTGGCCTTGTGGTGCGTTTCGGCCTCGACAATCGTGGAGGTGAATCTTCGTGTTCGTCGCGGTCGGGAGGCTCAGGGGTTCGCGTCTCGGCCCGTCCCGCCATTTTTGTTTCCTCGCGTCGCTCACGATACGACCGTTCAATTCAACCACGGGTACAGATCGCACAGATATGGTGTTATATACTGTACGATCCGTCACTTTGGAGCCCGAAAGCAGCGGTCCACGGAGCAAGCACTCGTGCTCCTTCAAGAGCAAATCTACACGGCGTGGCGCGGCCGACGGGTATTGAGCTTGATCAGCTTCGATGTCAAAGGAGCCTACAATGGATCTTGCAAAGCAACCATTTATCAGCAAAGAATACCATTAGGGGGTCTGAGAGCAATCCAGGTACTTCAACCCTTAATACCCAGATCTTATTGATGATACTGAGGCAAGTAGATACCCTTGCTCTTGCTAGTCGACTAGATGGACTTCCATTGGCAATCGTCATCGCCGGGGCCTTCATGCGTGAAACTGGAACTAGCATCACTGAGTACTTGCAGTATTACCAGGACTCTTGGTCCGACCTACAGCTGCAATCTAATCCTGAGCGCCAGTACCAACAAGGTAACATGCTACAAACATGGATGATCTCATATCATGAAGTCCAGAAGCGGGACCCGCACGCAGCGGAGTTGCTCCTTTTACTTGCTCACTTCGATAATCGAGATATCTGGTATGAATTAATAAAAAACAGCCATTATAGCTCGAATGTTCCTCTTTGGCTTGAAAGGACCATATTAAGCGGACTGGCGTTCAAATCCGGTGTCAAGACTCTCATCGGGTTCTCTCTCCTTGAGACTAAGGAAAAAGGGGGAAGCTATACGATACACCCAGTGGCACAAGACTGGTGCATTCATCTTTCCGGCACAGACGAAAATGTGGATTCGACCCAGCTCATTGAACTGGCATTGATATCTGTTGGATACACTGTCCCAACTTCAAGTGACAGAAATTATTCTGGGCTTCAGCAGCGGCTTATTCCACACGCGAATTATGTACGTCATGGGGATTGGTCAGGTGACAACATTGATATTGCGGTACCGGGAGCATTCAGTGGTTTAGGGAATCTCTACAAAGATCAGGGAAAGTTGAAAGAGGCAGAGGAGATGTACCAGCGAGCACTAGTGGGCTGTGAGAAGCCCCTCGGTCCAGATCATACGTCCACTGTCAACAACCTTGGTGTTCTCTACTCTGATCAAGCCAATGGGTACCATGTACCACTCGTATCAATCATGAGCTCACTAGGGAAATTTGACATCGTAGTGGCTAATTTTACTAATAACATTGACCAGAATCTTCAGCTCCCCACCTTTCATTTGGGCAAAGAGATCGTAGTGGAAGTGGTGCAATAAATGCTATGGCCTGACTTATGCTGGTAACCAATCTCTTGGACCATGTCCTCGAACCGGAGTGCATGACCACAATGATAGTGGCAACTACACGCTCAAGATTAATGCAGGTAATCCGCCCGGGACACAGAGCAGATGGGCGTGGTGCAATAGGTGTCAAGCACTTTGGTTTACTGGAAGTGAGGCAGCTCGCTGCCCTCAGACTCCTTTTGGCTTCCACAACGCAGATGGTTCTGGCGATTACGCTATTGCTCACGATACAAATTCGCCACGATTTAAAGAATAGAGGGGCCCAGATGATAACCAAATATTGAGCAGATGGCCGGGAGATGGTTGGGAAACGCTTCGGAAGAAACAGAACGAGGGCCAGGAAGTTTAGGATCTTTATATTAAATTCATTTCCGGGATATCCCGGTCTACCATGTGAAACTACGGAAATAAGAGTTGCAGTTATGTGCGTCCATCCGTACTTGGGGCGAATGTCGTTAATTAAAAGGGACGGAAGCGGGGCTTGGTTGTTATTGGGATTGTTGATTCACTGGAACTAGGCACACCGTACCCAGCATTTTCTCGATAAACCCTTAGCACATGTTGATCAATCGAATTATGTTTTCATGCGTAGCTCTGCGCTGAATGATCACCAGTCGTATTTTCATCGAGGGCGCATAATAACAACGTCTAAGCGTTCCGTATCTATAGTTGGAATGCGGTACCTTCAATTTGAGGCCGTGCTGGATCAAATGCAATGAGATACAGTTCGACCTCAGAAGCCCCAAGTAAATTAGGATATGAAGACTGTAGCAAATGTTGAAAGTTAGGCATGCGTTTTCTTGATGGACTGGCGCCTAGTGTTTGTCCGGATCGATTTGGAACTGCGGCACCTTCAAGGGTACCATTAACGTGGGGATTTTTGACAGCACCTTGGGTTTTCTCATTTGTCTGCTAGAACTACCATCCTTTGGCAACTATCGGCATACTGTACCTCAAAGATAAAGCGGAGCGTTGACGCATCGTTCGCCTGCTTGCGCTCTTAAGCCTCTGTTGGCATTCGGCCTGTATCTGCAAATTAGAACCGTCTACTTTCCCCCCAGGACAAACAATCTCGGTTATTCCTTTCCCCGGAATCTGCATACTATCATTGCAAATGGCCGACCGGGTGCCCCAAGTGCCGGCTATACGACACTCGGTATTTGAAGTGCCATGGCCAATGGTGGATTTGGAGGTTACCCGACAACTTGAGGACGCAGATTTATCGAGTGACAACAACGGCTTTCCTAGCGCCCGCCATTGTAGAAAGGTGTCATTGAAGGACAGCCCAGTATCCTGGAAAATTTTCTCAAAGCATGAAGATACCGGGGCTGTCACCATGCAACTCCTGCGGGAGAGCTGGAATATGTTCAAGGGTCTGGGTCTCCGGGACTGGGCTGATGATGTGTTGGGTATGCCGTCGACCAAGATGAAGATCTTCAGGCTATATTACAGCAGACTAGCATTTTCGCTGTTTTCTTTCCTTCGTCAAGTTCCTGATGAGATCACCACATACGATTCTATAGTATCGGTATGAACACACACTCTGTCTTGGACACGCCCAGACTAAACATGGTAGACCATTCGAACACACGATCGCTTCCTTTACGCCAGTCTCCTGCACGGTCTCACGCACGCCAAAGATCGCAGTCCGTACCCGGCTTTGACACTGGATACATCACCTATTACGACCCCAGTCAAAGACTTACTGTCAAATCCGTCGCCCGACATCATCTGTCAGTTCGCGGTCCTCGAAACTCGCTACCAGCGATATTGCAGAAGGGCAGACCTTGCGAATGGGTCCTATTTCCAAATTGCCACCACATTACTGACTCTTGTCAGCGATCAGTCTGTAGTCAGTGGCTCGAGAATCCTGACTCGCGACATACTACCGTCCTTTCGCCAAATCAGTCTTGAGGGTGTCTGGAACGATGACTGTCATCTGAAAGCGCTCGCACGTCGATGGAGCTGCCTCTGCCACGAGGCAGAGGAGATTGCAGCTTCAGGACGGCTGAACACCAAGCTACTGGGGCTCGCTCAGGTTGGTTCTATTATATTATCCAATGAGCTGGTAACTCACACTGTCTAGGATCTCTACAACCACCGAGATTTTTTCTCGCTTACGGCAATTTTACGTGGGCTATCAAACGGAGGCGTCGGGCTGGAACCTGTATTATCTGCATTCCTTGATGACAGTCGGAATTATGGACAATATCGTCTCAACCTGCACAAGGAGCCTTGCCTTCCGTTTATTTACCCATTTATCAAAGACCTGAAGTTGGGAAATCATAAGGCTGTACAGGGGATCTTTGGTTTCCTTTGCTACGATCAAATCTTCACACAGGCTATGTGATTCCGTGCTGGCATCTTTCTGAGCATTTTTTCTGGATCAACTAAGGCTTGGGCTGCGGCGGGGAACGACAATTTCCAAGGATGCTTTTCGTATTTTAGTTCTAATGACTGGCTGATATTCTTCGATACTGTCACTGTACTGTATAGGCACTGTTGTGAAAATGAAGTAAAGAAAGCCCGTTCATCCCCAGATTCTGGTTCTATTCGCCATCCCTAATCCAAGCTCTCCCAAGAGCACCAAAGTACTAGATACTCGGTCTTCCACTGGCCGTTTTGGGTAACTTTTCTTTTTGCTATCGCTTTGATCGGTTTGATCTAAATAGAATGGTGAGACAAGGCTGGCCGCAACATAGGGGTTGTCTCATACCGTTCGGTCCTCGTGGCTTGTGTAGTCATATATTATGCTCATGATCGGGTCCTCCGCATTGGAGCTGTTGTCTGAGAAGTAAGAGAGCTGTTCTGTATCGGAAGCAACGAATGCCCGATCTTCACTCATCTCCGAAGGGACATAATCGGAGTCAAGTTCTGAGTTTGGGACACCCTGGGGCTCTGAATCCTGAGAACCCAGCGTGGTTCCGCTACAAGACGTGTCGTCATAACAACTTGGTGGTGACATAAGTCTACTTCAAAGCGTTCAATCGGGGCTAGACTTGTGACGAGTGATCAATCATAATACTGATGAGAAACTCTTCTTATAGGAAATACATGGATTGAGTCGGAGCTTTATCGGTTCAATTCACCACCTCTCGAAAACAATGTGCATTCTCCAGTGTCTAAATCAAGATTTGAGTGCTTGATTTGAACGAGACGAGAACACACTAACACGCAATCACTTGGCGTGTATTTCATAAATGCTTCCAGATCGAAAGCGATAGTGTTCAAATTGTCTCTATTTATTTCTGCAGATGGTTGCTTCTAATGATAGAGACGAAAGTTCAAGATTACACGGCGGCCGAGTCCCCGGCATTTGAGAATCTCAGTACGCTGTTGGCAGAGCCTATAAAAAGCCTAAATTGACTATAATGTTTAGAAGCAACTATGCATATCGACATTGCTTTCTATATGAGTTTGACCTTTTATATGAAGCATTCCAAATGAACAATCTGCTCAGATGGCATCCCGTGTGCTCGCTTGGTTAGTTACAGTGTTTTCGATCCCGGTACGTTCTGTGCCCGTCCCCGAAGCTCACAGCTGCTTAACTAAAACGATTAGGTTACTAGTCTCGTTATTGATCCAGGTCATCGGTCACAAAATGTGAAGGTATGGTAATTTATTGTATTTTAACCGTAAATCGATCTGACAGAGATTATTCCGAATGATGTTTCTAAGACTCTGCAGTCGCCCGCTCCGTGCAGTTCTTGCAACGTTGAAGAGAGCCTGATGCAAGATGTTTCCAAATCCAGTATGTAGAAAAGGCCACAGTAGACAAATCATCAACTAACCAAACGTGTAGAGTTTCATTCAGCCCAGTCTCATATAATACATCCGCATTTGACCCGTCACAGTATGCGGCAAATTCGGCCAGACGACCATTCATCTTGATCTTCTTTGCCTGCTCGGTTGCCGTCGGTCAGTTGCAAAGGGGCTGCCTGTAGTTTAGCCTTCAATGTTTAGAAAGTTCAAGTATAAGTTAATCCAGAGGCAGGAGGCCGATCGTAGCTCTGGAGGAACTCCCACAGAAAACTACTGAGTACGATTCAGGGAGGCCGTGGATTTGGCGCACGTTACCCTGGTACATGTCCAAATAACTTATGCACCCGCTAGCTATCCAGTGATTGTAGCCAACGTGTAACTGCATTTATCAAATCGGCATTTGAAATTTCAGAACTTCTCGGTCGACAATTGGAACTCAAATAGGATATCTTTATCCTTCGCTGTATCTATCAAAATTGAGATAATGCCTGCCGGCTGTTGCTATTTCTTCGGACCGCAAGTATCTTGTCCTGGAGAAGGGAGAATTTTTATCCCTCTCTACGTAGTTAATTTTGACCGACTCTGGTAAGTAGTTCTTGTGCTAGAGTACAGGCGTATCAGCTCACATAGAGATGGATGGCTGATAAAGAGCCCATCAACTGTCAACTAGGGTTAATTGGGTGGTCAATCTTTCACATTTGTGCATGCCTGCATGTGCCCCTAGTCCACCCAGTGATTGAACTACACAAATGCAAATAACCTTGTTAAATGAGCGGCTGATGCGAACTAAATGAAGAATGATGGACTGAAATTGTCATTTACACAGCCTGTCAATTTGATGCGTGAAGCCAATCCAGGTTATTAACCCTGGCGAATAAACCAAAATAGTCCACTAGAGATGTCTTGACTGCCTACACAAAATGCTAGAACTAGGCAAATATACGAAGCATCCGGTTTGCCCTAGACCAATGGATCAGGGAGCGGACGTCAACAAGCAGGGGGCCGAGCACAGCAATTTGATGATACAAAACAGTGCGTAGATATGGTGATTAACTGTCAGCGATCTGAATGGCAGAGACCCAGGGTTATGAATGGCCTCCATCACTTCTCACTTCTCCCCTCTCACTCCTCTCTTCTCTCTTGTCTTATTGTTGCGAAATGCACTCTTTTCTTGAAAACGAGGCTATTATGACGGGCAATGCGCCGATGGCCATACTAGGACACTCAAATATCTGGGGAACCAGGAAAGACTAATCAAGTCTGTATTAGTCAAGGTGATTTTGAGAATGCGTGTGCTGGATACAAGTCGGCGAATCCTCAGCATATGTTCCAGAGACCGCGGATTATTCTTACAGTACTGCTCTTGAAGTTTAATGATATGATAAAATATATGCCAGCGTCTATACCCTCTGATAGCGACACTCTGTAATTCTTATATTTCATCGCGGTCGAAATTTGATCTAATCAAATTTAGCCGTGCAGCACCCACTGATGCAGCAAACACCGGGTTAACCAGTTCCTTGTGTTTATCGACGACCACAGTATTGATGCCAAACTGCTGTTGCTTGCGCAAAACATCTTCGAGTACGTCGTGTAGAAGATGGTCCTGTGATGATTCACCTAACAAGACCACGTTGCTGAGTGACTTGAGCATCTCGCCGTTGTATTCGATGGGCATCTCGACGATGTCTCGAAGCGCTCTTGTGAGCTTGGCCCGACAATCCTGGGGTGATCCTTGCGACCCAAGCTGGGTTTCATGTAATACTCGCAAATCTTCATATACTCCACACTCTTCGAAAATCAATAGGGCGGTCAAAGCGGAACGTGTATACTCCACACTAAGGAACGCCTGTGCCGGGTCTTTCTGGTCTGGAGGGTAGCCACACTTTCCGGGGCCAATGCCATATACATGGAGTGCTACTAATATGCCAGCGGGGGTTGCAGGAGCTGCAGGGATGGACATAGATATGAACTTGGCGGTGGAGCGAAGGGTATCAAAGAAAGTGTCAGAGATTGGGAATGGGACGGTGATTTCAGCTGTTGGCACCGGGGCCTCTAGATAAGACTCGACGGCTATCTTTAATGACTTGAGCATCCCCGAAAGGGATTCATGGGAGTGATTGTGACCACCGAGCCAAAGTGGCAAGTAGTCGCGAAATGATGGCCAGCCCACTGTGGTCTGGGCGTCGGGGGCAATGTAAGCATAGTCCTTCTGGACATCCGCTGTACGCATTCGTTGCTTGTAGGTGGGATTGCCTTCAATCTTGGCGACCTCCACATGGGAGCCATTAGGGAATTGAATACTTGCAACACTATTGGGCAGGTTAGTTCGCGATCGAGTGGTTCAGCGGGGATAGTATTTTGATCATACCCATAGTCAAGGGTCAGCTCGAAGCCAACGCCATATTCCGGCTTGGCGGAGACAAAGCCCACAGGAAGGAGGGCTGTTACCAGCAGAAACCATACCAGTGGAATCATGCTTGAAAAATGTGGGTTTGAATTTTCAACAGATTTGGAGAGTGAAACGTTGAAGGTGGAAGAAAGAGCTGGGAGTTCGGGAGTTTGGGGATGATGGACAATCAAATAACTGTGCCAAGTTGCCCCACACGGGTCAGCTGGGCGACTTGGCGTACTTGGCACACGCTGAATGCTCAACCCTCACAACCATCGTCATCACCAACCAGCTCTTTGCTTTTAGGCATCTCCCTATTGATTGAATGATCTAAGAATATACGGTTTTGTCACACACATTTGGACCCTTAACATAGCCCCATAGTTTCCCATATTCAGGACCTAGCAACATCATGCCGCTCGTCACGGGTGGAAACACGTGGCCAAATCGAAGGCTTCAACGTTCACTAGCTGAAGATAACGCACGATTCCATGAACACCTAGGGTGACGTGCAATAAGCAATAAACTTGTTCACTTAGCTCCAGGGGCCGCAATCTGGCTCTAATATCAGGGGTCAAGAACATAGGACAGGGATCAGAAATGGTGCAATTTGATGAGCGGAGTTTGTTTGCTTCGCTTTCTCTGGTTGAACGTCGTGTCTGAGGCCTAGAATTGATTTAGTGATATTTGACTTCCTCTATGAACAATAGTCACATTTGATAATAACCCTATAGATAATCGGCCATAAACCGTATAGCTTTTGACGATGATACCCAGTCGCACATAGGCAGATTTGGCGTTTCTTCTGCGAGCAAGCTGATATGAAAAAGCTTCCTGAACGGACGGTGTCAAAATTGCGGGTAAAATGCTGAAAGGACTATTGTCCGTGCGTTCCATATGCTCCACCCCGTTGATTAAGTTGACCCTAGTGCTTCATCCGCGATGCGGAGTTTCCACGTTACTCTTGAGGCCCTCTTGCCTAGACAATGCGTTATCTTGCCCAACCACATCCCTAGAGAAATTGAACAGTGACTCCTAGGAGGTTTGATACCTCCGTTCCCAGGAAGGAATAAGATACTGCTTGACTTGGGAGGCTGACAAAGATGAACGGCCACAACATGAGATCGAGATACCCATTTAGACATCTTGTTTACTATGTACAACGCAAGCTGGGGCGCAGCTATAGCTTTGTAAACAGAGGGCCCGACCCACAGGGATAATTGCCTTTTTTTGTTGTATTTCCATCTGTGGCAGGGAGCCTTGTCGTCGTGGAAAACCGCATTGGCCCTCTCTGTACTTCCTACATTCCATTGAGCTCCTACCCATGAGGAATGAGCCATATGGGAGAAGAAGGCTTTGACAATCAGTCTCGCCAGATATCAATGGTACAACAAGGGCTCAAGTGTATTCACGCTAACCTTCGCTAGGATTTTTGCCCCATCGAACAGCCTCGGGGGCCATTATGTTTAAGCTCGTCTACGATTTGATTTGTACAAGCTGTTGCTAGGAAGTACATATAAGGTCCTTTTGCCAAGAGACATTGATAACTTCTTTTTTTGAGTATCAAAATTTCAGGATGCGCAATTTCAGTCTTGCCCTTCTGTCACTATGCGGTCTCATTGTTGCAATACCTATAACTGATCCACCTCAAAGTGTGGACATTAACAACCCATCCTCATCGGATCCCAAGGCACCTCCCAAGCAGATTTCGTTCCCCAAACGTCCGGATAACCCTTTCCCCAATGGAATCCCAATACAACCGGACAAATGTGACGGGGAATTTCCTTCCGATGATTGCTTCCATGTCATGGGAGGCAGTGGTGGCTACCTCTATTACGAGAGCGACTCCGGCTGCAGCGACAATCAAAAGAATGTTCTCGAGACAGCTCTCTGGGAGGCGACGACACTGGCTTCTTATTCATCCATCTTCCCAAATAACGGGGAGGGCTCCAGAGGCTCTGCGTCAGCCCATTTCTACATGGGACCCGACTACCTATCGCAGAAAGACCGAATTTCCGGGAACTTGCAGCGAATTTCCGAGTTCAAGAGCGGCAAGACATCTGAGAAGGCATATATCACCATGAGTTGCAAAGACACCAAGAATCTGTGTAACGAGAGAGGCCAGGGAACTGTCGGTGGCTATGCGTGGACCTACAATGGGTGGTTTGGATACTATCATTACATCACCTTCTGTCCTCCTTTCTTTTCACTCGATAACATAGACCAGAAGATCACCGAGATAGAGAGCGAGCTCAGCGGTGGCAAGACAGAAAAGGCCAGCGACATGAGATATCTTAGAACCACTGGCCAGTACTTCCTCCACGAAATGATGCACACTCGCATTGCAGACGGCGGGAAGGAACCACACATCACCGATGAAGGTGTCGTGGAACCTGGTAGAACCTACCCTGGAAATCCCGCAGCATACGGGCCAAATCTTGTTCATAAGCTGGCCCAACGCCCGATTAACCAAAACGGTGGTGCAGCACGAGCATCGACGAACGCAGACAGCTATGCGATTCTGGCCAACTGCGCCTGGTGGTGGGATACCACTGGATACTTCCCTGGAGTGCCTGGAAAGTACGGTCCTTCCTCTGCAGAAGATGATTTTCCTATCTCGCTTTGGATTGATCTTGGCAACACCAGCTCTCCAAGTGAGTTCGACTTTGCCAGTCTGTTCTCTGCCGATGCAGAGGGCTTTGAAACCTCAACGACGACTATTTTAACTACCCAATCAACGACCGATATGACGGCAACAGCCACAGTGGATAACTCGCGCAAAGATTCATACAATTTCTCACCGATACCCCCGGAGGGACACTCAACCTTACCTGGAACTCGTCAAAGCCCCTTGTCTTTCTCAAGCTCTATTCCTCCTGCGGGCTCTACGTCAATCACAAGCAGCCTACGACTTGGAACAGGGCCCAGCTCCTCAGTTTCTGCAGAGACAAGTGTCGGCTCCTCAACCTCGTCGAGTACGAGTGCAACCATCAAGACTAGCGCATCCGTCCCGGATTGTCTGGCAGATGGGGCTCCGTGGTACAGCCCTACAAGTTGGTGCGACTGTGGACCAAGTTCTACCTATCCAGCACTACCTGCTACCTCTGGTGTTACGACAGCAAATTGTGAATACACTTCACTGCCAGCATCGACCATCCAGCCTACGAGTACGTCCGCCGCACCAACGAATATACCAGGCCAAGGGGGTATTCCCGCCTGTTTTGCGATTGCATCAAGCAAAGAAACATCAGCCTACTGTAACTGCGGTGGCACACTTGCTCCCACCCTCAATCCCACCGCTTCTGGGCTCATAAATTGTGCCTATACATTCTTGCCAACTGATTCCTACAACCCGGAGCAGACACCGCCATCTGTTACGCCACCCCCCTCATACGCGCCTAGAAAGTGCAATGTGCACATCGTGCAAGCCCTCGGACAAGAGTTTAGTGATCCAGAGGTCATCCTTGCCATCAATATCACTGACGCAAACGGCACCCTTATTGGCAGCAACAAGGGACACGTGGACTGGGGCCAAACACTAAACACAGACAGCCTGCTCCCATGGGTCCTCCTAGTGACTCCGCAGAGTGGCATCAGCAGCAAGAGACGCTCATCAGGGAAGCTCCTTCCAAAGAGGGTAGGAGGCCCTATTCACTCTAATCGGCCGTTGTTCGAACGCGGTCCAGTTGATTTTGCGTATGCTTCGCAAACGTGGGATACTTCCTCTTCACAATGCTCCGTGGGAGGATGGGATAACGGTGATGCGAACGACTTTTTTGCATCCCTGATCTCCAGTGAAGATTTCTTCCCTAATCGCCAAATTGGTTGTCTATTTGACTGCCCTGCCCCAGGCAATAGTGAGAAACGGGACATGGTTGAGCACCATGACGAAGAGTGGAAGCTGACTAGATAGTTCCAATCACGGTCAACATTAGTGTCGTCATTCTCACGGTTGTAACGGCAATCTACAGCAGCCCACAGCCGAATGGGCAACGAAGACATATCTACCGTGTATGCTGCCGAGCTCCGCGCCATCGAGGCAGCACTCACTTTAGTCCTGGAAAGTACGGGTCCGGGTGAGAACAGGCGAAAAACGGGCTCGTCATCTTCGCAAACAGCCAAGCGGCATTGAAGATGCCGTCGGGACAAGTCTACCTGGAAGGATGCCTCGACCTGATAAGGCAACACGCAGCCAAAGGCGTCCGGACTTAGCTCAGGTGGATACGTGCTCGTCAGGGACTGGCCAGTAATGAACTCGTCGACCGACACGCAAAAGAGGCAGCTCAAGAAGCAGAAAGTCCACAGACTCCAAACAGTCGGTATAACCGTCTCACAGCTGCAGCTAAACGCCGTATTCGTCGCGAGATGGAATTGAATGGGAGAAATTATGGATGACAGGGAAAACGAGTCAACCAACGAAACGCTTGATCGAACTACCAACCAAGGAGATCCTGGAATACTGTCCCGGCCTGTGGAAACAAACGGCGTCAATTCTGATACAGCTTCGTATTAGGCGAATTGGCCTTCCTGTTACTTGAATCGCGTCAACCGGCGCGAGTAAGCGCGATGTAGTTGTGATCTGGGGAACCAGAAAGTCGGTGAGATAAAAATTTATCTTTCCTTCCCAGCTTGGCCAACTTACGGTCGTAGATTAATTTGGCTTTTTCCTTTTCTTTTACCATCCATAAAGTTTCTGGGTTCGAGATAAGAAAGCGTCTCGCGGAACGATTCGTACAGCGCATCGCATCTAGACATTTGGTATAATATTGTAACGGAAATATTAATATCTCTGGTGAGCTATTCTCCAGCGGAGGGAAATTCCTTACTTAAAAGAACGTCCTGCTCTTTCGGAGCACCTTCAGAATGTTGTCTAAGTTCCTAGGAGAGACAAGTGTATAACCAGATGCACTAAAAGAGATGGTAATTCTATCAGGTGGCAGTTATGAGAGAAAGAGTCATTTATTTTATGACTACGTCCTCAAGTATGATAACGAACTATGCGAGCCTCTCTGCCATTTCAAGTGGATCCCAGGAACAATCCGCAGTTACTATGAGCTTGTTAAATACGAAAAATGACTTTACGGTACTCGTGGAGACCTATTGGAATAAATTTCTACTGTGTGTCCTGGGAGCTTCCCTACCCAACATCAAAGACAGCAAAATTAAGGATATAAACAGGACTCGCCCATATTGAGCCTTAATGTTCAACTCTGCCTCATATCCTTACTGACACTACTAGCCAAATTAACAGTGAGTCCGGGTTTCTTCATAGCATTCTGAGGTAAAGGAATTGACCTTAAAACCTGTAAAAGCCAGTTTCCCCTTCCATATTGTATGAATGAAGCTAATCGATTCGCACGGTTCTCAGTTTTCACCAAACGCCATGTCTGGGTTCCCAGAGCGAGCTGGATCGAGTAGAGGTAATCCCATAATCATCGAGGACGATGACGATGTGCAGCAAAATCCAGAGGAACATAACTCAGACGCCGAAACAGTTCGCATGAGTACTCCTGAATACGAAGAATGGGCTAACGATAATTGCTCCACTGCTCCACATAACGTGCCCCTTACGGAATCTACTCGACCTTCAACATTTTTGAGCTATGAGGGTTACGGGCAATTTGACTGTACTCGAATTTCTCAAGCTGCTCCTTTGACGGAAGGAGAATCAAGAGAGGCGGAAGATATCGAAACGGGTAAGTGAACAATTGGTTCGACAAGTTTGAAAGGAATCCTTGCTAAAACAATGCCATTCCAACTATCCAGAAGATTTGGATAAAAGATTGACTTCAGATGCCTTATGTGCAGGCCATGTTCAATCTGGCAGCTTTTCACCCAGCTCATCTGTCAATATAAGCAAATCGACCTTGAAAGCCAACCCGAAATCGTTGCATTTAAACATCCCAGCCAAGCGCAAAATGCACGACAAGTTAGGTGCGAATGTTCCAAAAAGACGATCAGCGCGTCTAAGGCTGAAAGAGGCTAGGACGCAACGAGGCCGGTAGACCATGTCCTTAGTTATTCTCCATTGGCTTGCAATAGATGGCTTCATTTTGTCTCCTCGGTCCCTGGGAGTGTCGTAAATATCACAATTAACTGCAGATACGGAGATAACGATGGATGTTAATGACTTAGCGTTTGCGCCGGAAATGTTCAGCTCATGGGATTTCTCACGAGCCCAACGAGCTCATTTTATAAGTTGATGGGCTTAGCCATTCAAGCAACTCTAAATTACCCACAATCCCACAAAGAAAGTTATTTGAACGTTGCACGGAATGTGTCTTCTGATTGAGTGACACACACCTATTTTCTGCAGAAGAGCCTGATACTTGGTTCACTTTAGGTCGAGAAAATGGGGTGGTAAATTGCCCCTGGGACAGGATGCTTCTGATCTACATCTCCTTATGTTGTATGGTAATTTGAGTTTGACCATACTTGTGCATTTCAGACTCATCCCCTTGTTCAGAGCGGACCTCCTCCCCGTTGAACAGACGTCATTTACCCGTGTGTTTATCTCGGCGCGACTAAGCGCAGTCAACCGCGATGTTGATCGAGCATAATTACACTCCGCATGAGAACCCCGTCTGGGATAGGGTCCCGCTCGCTCTTGTAATGCTTCCTTGACGAGTAGCCATACCAATGCCCGGTTTGTTTAGATAACACGAATGCTGGATTTGATTTATTGCATGCGTGCGTGCGTGCAACAGGCTCGAGCACGCCCTTTCTGTTCATCTATTACAAACTAAAACTGAAGCTGTTTTCTCCTTAGTCTCTAGCGGTTTAACCAACACAATGTTATGCAAGGTGTAATTATCGTTGAAGATCTACGATGTTTGGTTGTATTCTGAATAGTTCCTCTACACCCCAAGTCCTCGGTCGAAATGAATGTTGAGATGAGGGATAGGATCTAGAGGGAATCGCACCGGCGAGCAATTGAGTAATATTGAAGATATCTAACTATCTGAGGTAACCCCTGAGTGAAAGTGTGTTATACACACTTCCCGAATATCCACGTTACCGTAAGAGGCTAGTGTGTCTCAGGGAGGACGACTTGGTATCTGTCAAGGCCTCAGCGGCATTGAAGACTGCTGAAAACTCAACAATGAACAACACGAGTAAATTGTTACGAGCCAAGAGGACAGTTTAAAAACTACCTGTGCATTCAACAAAGGTATCAAGACTGAGGAGGGAAGGAAGAAGAAAACCAGCAGGGAAGAGAGAGTTTAAAGGTTTACCCAACTAGATCCGTACCCACTAGGCGGGTACGGATTCGTATTTTGGTCTAGTTGTGTAAACCAACTTTACGAATGCACATGATCTTCAATGAGTTGTGGTTTTTAGTCCAACCCGCGAGGAATTAGGTCATTATATCATATCCCTAGTGTTTCCGACCGGTTGTCTGTTACTCACTACGCGGCTTTCAATGGCGAGCCAATAGGATACAGAGCGGGACTTGAAAGTCTACTTGGAAGCTGCTCCCTCAGGCAGAGGACGGGAGTCACACCAGGCTCAGGACAGAGTGTAATACAAGTTATATTCATAGACAAGGTATATTTAGACGACCTTCCTGAAGACCACTATCTTGACAAAACCCATTCAGGTTTGTTGTCAGAGTCACTGGCAGTGTATCAAATTCAGAGCACAATGACGTTTACAAAGTTCAAAGACTGGTTTAACGATGCTGCCTTCCTTGCCAGATTTTGTTGATCCACTCCCCACGTAGCATGTGCTCCGCTTTTGTAAACATATTCAAGAACCAGCTTGGCTTTAGCTAACATCAGTTCGACGTGATAATCCGCTGTGCGCAAGACTTGACCCGCTGGATTTATCGAACATCGGGACCTATGCCTGGCAAGAGGTACGGCATTTATCGCCAACAGACTTCTGCTCGAAGGGAGGGTTGAACTATCGTGCACCATGCCTCGCCTTTCCTCCTATCTATTAGCTTTATTGCTACTGCCGTGTGTGTGTGTGTGTGTGAATTCATTTACCCTGACCTCTCGTCGAAACGACATGCAGGATACAACAACTATATATCTGTGTGTGTACATGTAGAGTGTTCCACTTCCTGAAAACGAACTTAGAGCCTCGTCAAGGCCTACCGTGGCCTAATTGCCGTTCCCATTGTTAGGCTGCCCTTGTGGCGCGCGACTCTGAAACCGTTGTGACGCCTCAGCAAAATCCAGTACGGCCTTGACCGTCTTGGCTCGTGAGACGGTGTCTGGTTTACCTTTCTCACCTTGTTTTGAGCCTCCCAGCAGACTCGACACGCTATTGAATGCGTCTCCAACTTCTTTCCTTAACTCTCTTCGAAGCTCCCTCAGGTTCGGACAGTCCACCAGTACATGGGTGACTGTTTCTTGCGCGCCGCATACGCACTGGTCGTCGTCACTATAGCCAACTTTCTTGCGGTAGCTGGATAGCCAGTTATGGCCCGTGCGCAACTGTGTCAAGAGGTACGCGCGGTTCCTCGGAAGGTTCCCGTATAGTCTTCTCGTGTGGCTTGCTGGTAGGGTGTTATCGATCTTTCGCAAGTGACCACCCTTAGTGGATGACTTCCACTCTTGTTCCCACTGCGCGTAGATATTCCGACGTATGAATGCCCTCTCCCTGGTAAGGAGCGGGCGGAAAGGATGGGTTTTGCCCGGACTGGCGGCGTTCTTTGCTAATCGGTCTGCAGCGTCGTTTCCCGGATTGTCACAATGCCCTGGCACCCATTGAAGGCGGAGTGTGATTCCCGCCGCTGGAACCTCAGCGGCGGCCTGGAGGATTGCATGAACGATACGTTGCCCTGATCTATTTCTCGCGCTCTGAACCGCCTGTAGGGCGGACCGGCTGTCGCATAGGATCGTTGCTGTCAGTTGCCTATCTGCAGTTCTTGGGTGCTGGTGGGCGATTTTAAACACGATGCTGATCGCGTAGAAGATGCCTATGAGCTCCGCGACGTGGACAGACCAGCGGCTCATCGGTCCTACTTGGATCTGCTGCGCCTCGACGATCTCTTGATTGTTGTCTAGGGCTACAGCGGCAGCACCCAGGCAGTCCTGTCGACTAGAGGCGTCAGAGTAGACCACAACGTCGGATGTTGAGCGAGTAGCCTCGGCCTTTTGTGCCGCTGCTTCGCGGTCAGACCCAATCTCGATTTCAGCAAACGGATTAAGACGCCACGGCGGTAATGGACGTGGGTCGATGGTTTCCAGTTCGTTTAGCCTCTCGATGTTCATGGTCTTCATCGCCTCCGCGAGTGGGAAGCGAGCATATGATCCGATATTATTCCTACGTCTCTGGGCTCGTGAGAGTGCACTCCAGATGGGATGATCCCTTGGCAGCGTGTGGAGGCTAGCGATGGTCCTCTGGGCTCGGTGGCGGAGACGCAGGTGGGTGGGGGGAACGTATGCTTCTACCTCCAAGGTCGCCGTGGCCGCTGTTCGGAATGCCGATAGAACCCGGATCAGCGAGGTCCTTTGTACGGTGTTCAGCTGTCGAAGGTGGGTTTTGTCTCGTAGTGGGTCGTGCTAGATCGTGGACGCATAGTCCACTACTGGTGTTACACACGCCTGGTACAGTTGTCGCATCTGTTCGGGTCGTAGGTGTCGTAGTCCATTCAAAGCGATAGTGACTTTTGTTGCGCGCTTAACAGCTTGTTGCACATGTTCCTTCCATCTTAACTCCTGGTCAAAAATCACCCCTAGCAGCTTAGCCGTGGGCGATGGCGTGACTGTCGTTCCATTCACAACAACCTGGCCATGCAATTGGTCCCCTCGTTTCCGGGTTAGGTGGATGAGTTCGGTTTTCTTAGTTGTGAAGCAGGACCCAGTTCGCCGCGCCCAGGCTTCGATGCGAGGAATATCTTCGGTCTGTATCTTGACTAAGTTCTCCTCGGCCGAGCGACCTACTCGCCAGCGGAAGTAGTCATCGATGAAGGCTGATGCGCCACCGTGAAAGGTGACGGGTTGGTCGACTAGATCGGAGTTGAAGAATGTGAAAAGAATTGGGGAGAGAGGTGATCCTTGTGCGAGTCCTGCGTTGGCCAGCGGTGCCATATCTGTGCGAAAATCGTCGAATCCTATGCTAGCACATCGGTCGCTCATGAAGCTCGCGATCCACTTTCTCGCGACCGCAGGGATCCTCCTTGCTCGTAGGCAGGCATCTAGACTCACTTGATTGACCCCGTTGAAGGCTCCTTTTAGGTCAAATGACACGAGAGTTACCACTTTGTGTTTGTACCAAGCCCGGTCGATCGCATTCGAGAGCACTAGTAAAGCTTGTTCAGTGGTTCTTCCCGGCCGTCCACCGAACTGGGTGTCCGGTAGCAGGCCGTGCTTTTCTGCTAGATATGACAGTCGGCGGGCTACTATTGCTTCGAGAAGCTTGCCTAGCGTGTTGAGGAGTGAGATCGGGCGGTAGGCCTCCGGGGCCGAATAATCCGGTTTCCCGGGCTTCCTTAGCACCACGATCTTCGCATTCCGCCATAGCTTCGGATGGTAGCCTAGGTTCATAGATACGTTGAAGATTCTAGTGATAACGTCCTTTAGGTGTTTCCACAGTTGTTTCCACACGAGCATTGGCAGGTTGTCATCGCCCGGTGCAGTAGTTCCTTTCGCCGCTGCAAGAGATCGTCGGATCTCTAGCTCAGTGATGGGTTGCCACGGGAGCTCTAGTGGTGTCGAGGTTGGTTGACTGTCGAGGGGAGTATTCATTTCAGGGAAGAAGGAGTCCATGAAAGCCTGCGCCTTCTCTTCGTTTCCAGTAAGCTCGCTTGTACCGATCTTCAGCGCGGGGATACACCCCCACGCCTCTCGGGGTTTCATGTAGGTAGCCGCTTTCCACAGTTTCCCTTCCCCTGCCTCGTCGAGGAATTGTTTCCAATGTGATGCTTTAGCTTTCTCAATAGCCCGAGTCCATGCCCGGCGTTTTTCTTGCATCTCTCGGAAAAGGGTTGTGGATGAAGGGTGCTCTCGTCCAAGCTCGGCACAGGCTGATTGCCATCTTCGGCGTAGCTGGTTGACCTCGGTCTGTTGAGCCTTGAGGTCTGGAGTGAACCACCGCTTAGAGTATGGCGTTGGACGTGCATCTGGCGTGTACCGATCTATAGCTGCTGTCGTTGCTTCAATGAGTTTCATCACAGCCTCATCTAGTGCCGGCCGTGTTTTGATTTCCTTCTATGGGCCGATCCGCCGCACCACCTCCTCGCCAATCTTGTTCCATTCTGCGCGGTCAAACGCCTTCTTTGTCTTAGTGGCGGGTTTGTACTGAGCTTGGAGGTTCCATTCCGAGTACGTGGCGCGGTGGTCTGACCCGTAGTTCTCGTGGTAGAGATGGCATTTGATGAGTAGGTCTGGTCGGTTCGTCACCGTCTGGTCGATAGTGGAGTTTCTTCCCGGGTCGTTTAGAGCCCAATATGTAGCTGTTCCTCGTGGGAGACAGCTGTGTAGACCATTGGCTTCGAAGAAGGTGATCAGGTCGCTTGCTTCTTCGATGAATCGCGGTTGGATGTGGTTACCACCCCAGGTTGGGTGATGGCGGTTGAAATCTCCCGCGAGGATGACGCTTGTGGACCTCCGGTTGTCCTGTGTAGCGGATGCGATCGTGTTTTGAATAGCGTTGAATGCTGGTTCCGCCGACGTATCTGCCGGTGTACACAGCGGGACAGATGGGATGTAAACAGAAAAGAGGAGGAGTTGAGAGTCCGCTGTCCAGATCTTGATTGCGGTAAGGTCTGGATGGTCACAGTGGATCTGTCGGTGAGAGGACGTTGAGACTCTCTTGTTAACGTAGATTAGGCTCCGGAACCGATCAGCATCAGTCTCGACGGTTGGTCGATATAGCCGCCAGGCGCTGTGGTTGACATGTGTTTGGTAGGTAGTAATTGAGGGTTCTTGGATTAGGAGCACATCCAAGTTTTGGCTTTGGTGATCGTTGATGAGTGCTTCCATCCGTGGTCTTGATTTCATGATGTTCAACTGTAGTATGCGTAGGTTCGTCTCTAACATTGATGGGGGTTGGAGGTTGCGGGAGTTGGACACTGTCGGACGCCGGTTGGGTGTTCGCCGCCGCAATCGAGGCATCTGGCCCTGATCCCGGGGGGGCATCGTTGCCGCTCGTGTTGACCCGCACAGTGTCCACAGCGTGGGGTTTCCTTACACGACCACGCTAAGTGACCGAAACGTTGGCATCGGAAGCATCTCTTTTTCTTGATTTCGCGGCGTTCCACGCTTCCAATTTGTCTTTGTCCAACAAGGAGACTATTGTTAAGGACATAGTCGGCTCCCTCAGCGGAGTCGAACCAGATACCCAGAGATGCAAATTTCCCTAGCACCTTATCCTTCCTTTTCAGCCATGCTAACTCTTCGATCCGGAAGCCGCGTTCCGCTAAGTCATTTTCTTCCATGATTTTCTCAATAGCCGGAGTGGTAGCGTTTTCTAGGTCGAAGTCTTCTGTCGGGGTACGGTGTACGACGACGCCGAATCGTGGTTTTACTAGCTTCGTGTTGTTCCCTAGCTCGCTTAGCCATTCGGTGTTGTTGCGGGCTACTTCGGCCGACTCCGTGTCCTTGAAGCGGATAATATAACCCGTCTTGGTAGTCCCGATGCCGGCAACCTGAGCATCTTGCGTGGAGGGGGTGTTCAGCAGGGCGGTGCGGATGTGGGTATTGGCGGCCTCAGTGGGGAGGTATCGGCAGAAGGTATTCCCGTCGGTGTTGTTATTATCTCTTAGGTCTACTAACGACCTCTGAGTGCTGATTCGGACGCAGTTCCGCTCTTTCTCGGGCGATTGATGGCTAAGTTGGGTAGGATTGTCGCTGCCGTTGGCTGCCACTGCAGCCCACGATCTGGTTGGGGTTGCTGGTGTCAGGGCTTCAATTTGTTCTCGCAATGCTCTGATTTCGTCGTGGAGCTTTTCGTTCTGATCTCGGAGAACGTTCTGGCCATGTTTAACCTCTAGGATCTCGGCTTTGGTGGATTCGATGACTGTAGTTTGGTGGGAGATAATTTCCTTCAGGCTGTTGATGAGCTGTCGCACCTCCTTAGTCGTCACCCGTCCGTTATTGTCTTCCGAGCCTGCAAACTCGGGGTTCGAGCGTGCAGCAGTGGTGACTTCGTTTCCATGGCGAAGGCTTCTTCTCTTTCGAGGCACAATCGACGGTTGGAAGTTTTCCAGCGAGAACAGCTGTGCCCCTCCTTGGGAGTTTGTGGGGGAGGGCTCGGGCCCTCCCGCGGGTGGGTCGGCCATCGGTCCGGGTTTGGTTCCCGTTCGGCACACAACCACGTTTTGTATCGCAATAGTATCAACCACAACACTCCTACTGTCGTTCCGCCTGTCGATGACCTTCTGATTGTACTCGCCACAGTCGGCTCGGAGGAAATGTACAGGACCCTATTGCTACTGCCATATTCGAAATCAGATTCCCCTTCGTCCACTCAGAAAATAAATCTCCAACCCTATCCAAAGAAGCGCTAGTCTATATTTGGATTAGCTGCAGATGGTGGCTTGTATATAACTGGAGACGCGCGCACCGCGCGCAGCGGCCCTGAAACGATGAAATGGAGAGCAAGGAAGCGAGGGCTTAGAAAAACAGATAAATTGTGAACTGCAACTGAAGGGACAAACAACGTATGCTTGATAAATGAGACAAGCAAAAACAATTACGAATAACTGTAATGTAGAGAAAGCGGCAGAGGTTGCAGGGCTGGTAGTGTGACTGTGGAAGGCAGTCGGCATCTCATAGTTTGCGTGGTCGCTTAGAACGTCGGTTCGGAGTGGGAGTGGTAAGTGGTGGCGAGGAGTTAATTTCGTCAGCTGTGTCTGACCACGTTATAAGCGTTTCTTTATCGTTATCGTCTGGGGCTTCGCTTTCGGTAGGGCTGTAAGTGAGTTGGAGCGTGGTAGGAAAATTGGCTTCAGTGGGAGAAGACTGGCTACTTTGCTGCAAGTGAGCCACTTTGGACGGAGCGCCCGGGGAAGCTCTTCGTGACCAGCGATCAAGGGGTTTTCGTTTACCCGTTGTTGAAGGTGGGCTGTTGAGCATAGGCTGCATTAATGTTGGTGTTGGAAGGAAATGTATATCGTCTATTATCACGGCAAGTTGACGATTCTCCTTGGTCACGCCGAAGATGCGGCCCGTTATGAATACATAGGTATTTATATTTAACGGAGGGAAATTGACCCAACGCTGGCCGTTCTTGAAGTAGGCGGAGATTGGAAATGTGTGAGGGGCTCGAGTAGAAGCATTATAAACCGTTGACAAGAGACGATAATGTAAAAGAGTAGAGCCGCTGTTGAGTTGACCACCTCGTTCAACAACGATACCGAGGAAGGTTACCGTTGGTTGTGCAGCTTCGGGGCAGTGTAGAAAATATGAGTCTGTCTCCTTATGGTCACCCGGATGGCTGGCTTATGTCAGTTTGAGTATTACAGAGGTTGGGTACTAACCGACCAGGCTAATGGTGTTAGCGTGAAGGAGGATATGAAATTCCTCTTCATCAGAGCAGTCGGTAAGGAAAGTGCCAGATGCATAGACGAAGGCGTTTTGTTGGTATGAGTCAGGTTGGTTTCGTTCATTGAAGAATCTGATCAAAGTAGGAATGTCATCTTGCTCAATGTCATCAGAGCATATATCTTTGTATGGCACATTAAGGGAAACGTGCAGCTGTATGGCGAGGCTATTGCCTGGACGTGTTGGATCTGGTTCGGCATGGTTGATGAAGTCCCGAATATGAAGGACTACAGGGTTAGTTATGTTTGAAGGCATTATATAAAATATACGAAGTTGGAACATAGGGTAGGTCTCGGTACGCGAGAACAACGGGGAAAGTAGGGAATATACGACTTCTCCGGTTATTAGGAACGGTAGGATAAAGTGTGCCGACTACGTTATAGGCTAGAATAACACGTAGTGTGAGCCAATAGTACTTTGCCCGCTGGATGCTACGTGGCGTGCTCGTAGCTATAGATCCGAACCCCGAATATGATATATCTGAAAGATTTCAGACCGCCTTTCTAATGAAGAACTCTATTGGAGAAAGCATAGTTTTGTGCGACTCTGAATATATTCAATTGCGTCTGTTGGGAAGCGTGGGGGGAAATGATTGGAAGACGCGATAACCTATGCAGAGTTGATGTTTTGCCACGTATGGAGAGTTTCAAGCTCCAGTGCCCGTAGCCGTCGCATCTCATCCAGTAACTGGGGATCGGGGCTATGTCTGAGATCGTTCATGTTGACAGGCTGTAGAAGATGGAGACCTGCAAATGATCGGAGGCGTGACAGTTGTACGTATGTGGAGCAATACTTCCGATGCGAGTCCTGCCGACGATTTCCATTGCCATTGTTCAGATCCAAAACGGCCGAAGGGAGTGTGGCGCCTTGGATCTTGTAGTCGGTAAGGCAAAAGGCTGGACATATTGGAATCTGCTTCCGGCGGACCGAATATCCTTTTACTGTTATAGACGCCTCAAAAGGAAAGATAGGTAAGATGTCCTCATCCAGTGAAGCCAAGGGAACAGATTTAGAGCGACTTGGCTTGAAGAGAAGACAGAAGGGGGGTTTGGTGCAGAAAATATATAGATCGTCGAGTTCGTGGAAGTCGGCTAGCCGCGTGTGGAGGGTGTTAGACAGCTGATGGAATATATTAGAGATGACCTACCTTCTGGATCGACAACAATGCCTACCGCCTCCCCAATCGCTCCGTTGACTAATCCTGCCGGTGTGCATGTGTTTGTCAAAACCATGGTCGGCATGGAAAGGGTGTAGAGAATCAGCCCCGGGCAAGGAACTCTTGAGCCTTGTTCTGGAAGACCGAGGAGGTCATCTGCGCGAAGCTGTAGGTCGGCCGTGTCGGAGGATCGTGTGCGAGTATGGAGGGCGGGGAAAATTATGACTTTTTGTTGCCTCGCCCGAGCAAAGCGTTCTACCTGGAAACGATTTATGACGTGTCGAAGTGCATTCAGCTTGGCAACAATTGTTGCGTCTTGCAGATAAGGATCGGCAAGTGACGTGAGGGCTTTAGAGTTTAAGGTCGACATATCGTCGTAGGTAAGTGTGCCAGTTCTCGCTCGAGTAAGCAGATTTCGATAAGGTAAGTCCTCTGCTTGTCGCATCTGCTCATGGAGGATGATGACTTGCTTGAATTGGCTCCAGATAAGTTTTCCGTCCTGCTCAGTTTCGTTTCTAGGAAGTTTCCATAAGGGCTGGCCTTGGACCGGAGGAAATTGGTGGAAATCCCCCATGAGAATCACTACAGGCAAGCCACCGAAGAGGTCGGTCGAGGATCTGTCAAGAGATCGGGCGATCTTACAACGCGTATTAATGATGCTTAGCGCAGAAAGATCAATCATACTCGCCTCGTCTATGATCATAATTGTTTTCCGAGCCCACAGCCTGCGAACCCTCGCTCCCACTCCGGTTCGTCGATACCGATTCAGAGAAATACCAAGAGATATGTGATAGGTGCTTCCTCCGATAACATCGGCGGCTGCCCCTGTTGGTGGCATTAGGATTACTTCATCTTTGCGGTGGATCAGATCCATTCCAGCGTCAATCGCTTTGACAATCTGGCTTTTGCCAACACCACCTTCGCCTCCTATATAGAGGAGAGTTTGATTACGTTGGGAATGATCATACGGATGGCTAGCGCAGATGAGCACGTCGGACAGAACTTTCTCCACGATGATACGCTGTTTCTCATTCAGGGGGATAGTTTCGCGCACGAGGAAGGTTAGAGAAGCGCCTGTGGGGTTCTGCCCTACTCGAGAGCGTCGGTCTAGCAGGTCAGGGAGCGGATCTGAGTAAGTTAGCATAGGAACTAAAATATCATCGATGATGTCGAGGTTAAAGTCATCAAGGTCAGAGATCGCGGGGTTTGACACGTTGGCAGAAATATTTGGATCTGTGAGCATGGTGATATTTTTAAGACGTGTTTTCCATTCTTGCAAGGTGGGAGGCGGAACGAATCTGAGGCCGGACGATTCGTACAGCATGTTGTTGGAAATATGGACCGGTCGGAGGTTTTGCGGTTGAAGAGATAAAGGGGTGAAAGAAGTTAAGGCGAGAGTTGTGATATGGCGTTGGGCATCATATGCCTCATGAGCCCAACGTCGGCTTATGGAAAAAAATGCTGCTAGGAGAGTCTCTTTGCTCAGAGTATCGTTCAATATTTGTGGAAGATGTGGAGTCTCATCGTCCGAGTCAGAAGCGGGATAGGGAGGATTGGATAGGTCATGGTCAATCGGGGAGGTATGTAGGGCAGCACGTTTTCGGAACACAGCGTCAGCTTGGCAGTCGCTCTTTGATTTTCGTAAGAGCTCAATATTCTGTGCGAAGGAGCGGATATATGCTGGTAGCGTTGGTTCAATAGTGGTCCAGACGTGATGAAGATTATCATGTGCGGTTTCGGTGGCAGTATGTGTTTGACGAATGGCTAAGGCTAGGTTCTCCCATGGGACGAAAAGCCCTAGTAGGATCTCAGCGAGGTCATTTTGAATCGCAGTTGTTGTGGGGTGTCCTCCAGGAACGGAATCCTCCACGGACTGGAATTCCGTCAGTTCGCCTTGGAAAGTCACCGTAGCTGTCTGAGAGGGAGATTGAGCCAGCCGCTGTATATGAGTAAGGTGTCTTGGATGTTCCTCGGCGAAGGGTACGTCATCCGTGGTTGCATCTTTCAGTCTTTTGGTGCGCACTAACATACAGTATTCGAAGATGGATAGAGAGGACAAGAGACTGCCGCGCAACTTATAATTATCGAAAACATTTGCTGGCGCAGCTGAGCCATGGTCGTAGTTGCACGGTTCATCTCCAATCGCGTCTGATGGCGAAGCATTTAGGGATTGTTCTGGATAGATGACCGACCGAACGTACCGCCTGAGCCACCAGAGATTGAGGCGTGTGAAATTATAGTTGAGTGTGTAGTAGGACGGAAGTTGGAGTAAGGAACTCGCAACCTGGACTCCACTAATTTCTCGGTCTTGTGACAAGCTATTAAAGCAGCGGAGAGCAAAGTTGTCCATCCCTCTTTGTCGAAGGTGTAAATCTACGGAACTAGGAGCGGGGGTAGACATGGCACGATCGATCATTTGTTTCAACAAAGCGGCCTTCGCTACCATCTGCCATGGTGTAACGTCGTCTTTAGTAGCGTAATTGGTGATATAATATAAGAGGGACAGAGACTTTGACACAGTCGGAATCCAGGAGATATCATGGTTAGAACGGATACAGCTGGCGAGAGCTGGATTCCACGGATTGACCCATGCGTGGTTCCTGGCAAGGTGAATGATGCCGTTCTCGTCTACTCTCGATTTATCCTGAAGATCACGAGGCATACCAAAACGGCAAATACGATCGCCTAATGCTTGGTGACGGTATTTGAAACAGGTTGATGTGTGACGCTTAGAGTGAAGTTGCTTGGTATGAGCAACACAATTGCCATCCTGGAAAAGGTTGCGAGTAAATTCAGTGTCCGTCTCCGAGCCTTGTAATGAAGGAGGCACGCGCGAGGCGGAACTTCCAGCATTGTCAATATCAGCATCATGTAAACCATGCATAATGACCGCTTCCAAGAATTGGATCATTCGATTTGCGAAATGTCCATCTGCAAGGATACGATCACGCAGTTGCATGAATCCAAGATTACCCTGAATCCAGACTAAAGCGTGAAGGTAGAGCATGCCTCTCCCATTACTTTCGACAACGCCAAAATAATTAGATACGTCCCCAAGAATTCCAAATTCACCAGGCTTGCTACCAAGGAGACCGTCAAGAACCGCTTTGCAGGTATAATAGAAGAATCTGGCAACAGCCACAGGGTCTGATGTTGCTGTCGCATATCGAAGAGTTGATGTTAAATTGGTAGAGGAGTGAGTAGGAAGATGAACACCAGCAAGAACAAGAACCAGTGGATTCTGGAGGTCAGACGGGTTGATCGTCAACCAGAATGCAGGCATCCCTTCTCGAACGAGAAGACCTCGAATCTCGGCTCGCAACTGCAGTTTTTAGAAAAAGGAACCTGGGACCTGCACGCCAATGGCAGTTATATTTTTGAGGAGTCGCCGGACTAGGGGGTCGGTTGTGACATGATTCGCGGCAAGTTCTTCAGTCGCCTTTCGCAGACGATCAACATTAAGCGAGCCCAAATCCTGGGTTACAGAAGTCCATTGAGATCGTTTGATGAGCAGCGTGTTACCCAAGCATGAATTTCGAAGCTGAATAACGTCGTAAAGCAGGTACATAAACGTTCGGTGGCGTGAAAATCTAAGCAGTTAAGCCTTTGCTTTTAGCTGACAACCAGAGGGCTGCATACCTTCGAGTATGATGGCGTAGTGCCCAGTCAGCAAGGGCGGCAATTGATACAGGTATAGCACGATGGTCTAGGTGGCCTCCAACACCGGCCGGGAATAGCGTTGGGAAAGCAGATGTGAAATAATGAGGATCTTGCCATTGATTCAGAAGAGAGGCCTGGCCGTGTATGGCAAATCTAATAACAGGCGGATCCCGAGAGCTAGAAAATTGATGTGTATGGTCAGCATGACCAGCAGAAGGATGGTGAGATTGGACTTCGGGCGGTCGGTCATTGACAAGAGGGTGTACCGTGTTGAGTAGACGAATATCAGGGTTCTGGCGTTCTCCGTTGATGTCCGTGAGTACAGAACCAGTTACAGGAAGAGAATCCCCAGCAGGGTGATCCGGGTGATCTTCAGCGGCTTGCCAATCGTTTTCATAGTTGTGCTCTTGTAAATTGACAGTGTACCCCGCTCGTTCATGATGGTCTGATTCGCCCAAATATACCATCTCCTGTTGCAGGTCGGAGGGGACGAAATCATCGGGCCATTCGTCTACGGCTGAATGATTAATAGTCACGTCTTGGTACAAAGGATTGTACCGTACAAGATATTGCAAAGCAGCAAGTACCTTATGCTTGCGAACAAGCAAAAATGGCTGTAGATCATCAGTGGATGGAGGCCGGTTCCCCAGCCAGAAGACTTTGATTAGCTCCGCAAACTGTAGATCTGGGCTTGGTAGTATTTGAAGGAGTGGCTTCGGATCCTGGGGTATAATAATGAAATGGCCGCGAAGTGCCCGGTAGTTTGCTGGCGACGTTTGGCCACCTGGTCGTAGCTTAAGCACCACGCCAACAGGGTGGGACTTGGCGATGAGATATTCTTCGGTCAGAGAAAGATCTTTGAGGGCGTCAGGATAGTGCTGGCAGAGAGTTACATTTACTAGGTTCTTGGCGGAGAATTTCGGAACAGATCCTCGAAGTAAGGCGGAATGACAGGACGAACAGAGACACCAAAGACCTTCGGTACGACCGCAGGTATCGAGGAAACCTTCCACCGGTCGTAGCAAGGGGTCACCATCCAGAAACCGGCGTGTATCAGCAAGAGGAACAAGCTTCCCACAAGAACCACACACGGTATCGCGGCTGGCAAGAGCCATGTCTTTCTCGAACCGACCCACGGATTGCCGTATATGGGAAGGAGAAATCTCTGGCGGGAAAATACTCGACGCACATACACGAGACTCATGTTCTTGGCGTAAGAAGCGAACTCCTTGGTTAATAGCGAAGGACGCGGTACCAGAACCCACACTCTGTGTACGTGGAGGCGGCGGAGGCAGAGATCTCCGACGTGTCTGCGGAGTGCGAATTGGTCCTAGGAATGAATTGACGAAGGGATTGAAGGAAGTTGTATATAAGGGGCCGAAATCCACAGGCATAGGCACGGCGTTCGACCTTCTAGATCTGCAATCAGGACAGCGGATTAGGCGATACCGAGCAGGAAAAAGGTTCCCACAGTCCCGACAAGGAACATCGGAAACCCGTGCAATTTGACAACCCGTACAGTAAGGATCTGACACGGTGGCTGGGAGGGGAACGCGACAGCGAAGGCAGGGGCGCGTTTCAGGCAGAGCGGGTAAATATGCTAAACGACAAGATGGACACCGTGGTGGCTGGATGGTAGTAGATAGACGCACGCAGCGACCACAGTCATGACAAGAACGACGAGTTAACATTAGAGAGTTATACAGCACATACGAAAGCTGAGGGGCAAAACCCAGGGACGATATATCTCAACAGAGGCAGACGTGGCAAAGAAAAAGCAGCGCGTCACAGTAAAAACAGAGTTCAGGAAAGGGAAGCGAAGCAATCATCTAAACGGAAGGTGCATATACATTGCAGATGAAGCCCTAGAACCCTAACGTTATGAAACACCAAACCTGATATGGAAAGCAGAATAGAAAAGCGGTGGGCTAGCAGGCGAATTCGGAGGGTGCGTGGCAGGACGACCTATACGTAGTTAAGCAAGCCAAGTCATCTGCGGAACGTGCACGGACATCCGAGTTTATTAGCCCCCTTTCCCTCACTACGTTCGTTTCAGGGCATACAGTCACTGTTCATTAGTGTTTAAAACATGGTACTTCAGTCCACGGGCATAAAGATAGGTGGGGTAGGTACTATGTTCCGAACAATTACGAATGGTGACTGTATTATATACAAGCCACGACCTGCAGCTAACCTGAATATTAACTAGCGCTTCTTTGGATAGGGTTGGAGAATTATTTTCTGAGTGGACGAAGGGGAATCTGATTTCGAACACAGCAGTATTTACCCGCCCCCAGTGAGCTCGCACTGGGCAGCAGTCCTCGCCAGGCTGTTGGGACAATGGATTCATACCTTCTCGTGGTGTCCGGTGTTAATCCCCGTTGGGGAGACCAAAGTGAATCCGCTGTGGTTGTGCGGTCCGGCCCGGTGCGGTTGGCGCGGGGCACGACCGCACAAACACGCCAAAATCAGGGGAAAACCGGATATGAAAACCATCCGACTTCTTTCTACCCGACTCGCACTCGGGCCCGGAAGCTGGTCTTGCAATACCAGTGAAAGTGGTGTCGCCCTAGAAAGGAGACAGGACACCCCTGAGCTTGCATACGGTCTGGGATCGCATCGTGCGAGATGCGGCGAGGCGGTAGTGAACCGGTGACACAGGCAGTCAAGCTAACATCGGACAGACCTCGTTCAAGGCCCAGAGACCTCGTTAAGGCTCGGACCTCGTTAAGACTCGGAGACATCGTTCGCTGGAGACCTCGTTAAGGCCTAGCCACGGGCAACCTCCCGGCCGGCTGTTCTTTGAGACACGGGCACCACCGAGACACGGGCATCCTCTTGGGAGACACACGGGGACTCTGGAAAATGTTGGTAGTTGACTGGTGGCACCCGGCGGAACTCGTTAAGGCTTTGCCACGGGTAACCCGTCGGCCCTGTTCAGACATCGGGGACCAAGCTTGGTTAGTGGAGAGCAACCAACGTACACTGCCGGATGGAGCGTATGAAGGACTTTCTGCGAGACACGGTCGGCCTGACGGAGGGAGACCTCCTTAGGTAACGCGAAACGAGAGTGGAAGCTCTCGCGGGGCGTGGTGTACAATGGCAGCCACTGCAACAGGGTCGGGGCCTGTCAAGAGACTGTCTGTATAGCCCGAGAGGACGGATGCGCGTGTCGGTGTACAAAGAGCCGGGAGTCAGCTACCTCACTCGCACTGAGGGCCTGAGACTGACCTTGGTCGGTTGAAGCGGTGTCGTCCTAGTTGGCCTGCCCGTGATGTATGCTTAAGGAGCAAACTGAGAGACACCCAGGGTGAGAGGCGTGGTGAACCTCAAAAGACCAGAAGCCTCCATTGCTGGGCGGAAAACTGGGGTAGTGGTCTATGCAAGTAGGCCTGTCGAAGCTACTTAATGTCTTTTGGTCCCGGAAATGACATTGCCGACCGGCTAGCAAAAGAAGCCGCCATACCGGGCAAGACACACCCATTCAGTCCTCTAATATCACGCGAGAGGGCACACCTCACGCAAGGAATCCAGGACCAATGGGGAAAAGAATGGAGAGAGTCGAAGACCGGCAGTCACCTACGCCAGATCGACAATACATTGCCAGCCAAGTACACCCGACGTCTCTACGGGTCCCTACCTAGAAACCGGGCTTACCTACTAACGCAATTGCGAACTGGACACTGCTGGCTATCAACCTACGCGAAGACCTTTCGTTTCCGCGATGATGACCTATGTACCTGTGGCGAACGAGAGAGTGTAACCCATGTTCTGCTGGATTGTCCGGAACTTAGAGATCTACGGCGAGAGCTCCGAGGGAAGGTCGGCGAGGCCTTTAACAGCATATCTACCTTGTTGGGGGGATCTGGCGAAGAGGGAAGGGGTAAGATCAACAGTGCTTCACGGGCTAAGACAGTGGAGGCTGTCTTGGACTTTGCCGAAGCATCACAACGGTTTCAAAGCCAAGCAACATGAAGGCAGCAGGAAAACAAATCGGCTATTGAGCCACGAGAGGCCTCGGCGAGGCATCAAATTCGCTTAGGAAGTGGGACACGGCATCTGTACACATAGAGAGATATATAGTTGTAGATCCTGCATATCGTTCGCGAGGGGTCAGGGTAAATGAAATCATCATCATCATCATCATCATCATCAGCAGTATTTACCCTCCTCGACTCCTACACTCAATCGCCGTCCGCTATAACCGACCTAGAACCACAAATAGCCCCACCAACCTACTCTCCCCAGCCTCCTCAGCCAACACCGCCCATTACCTCGCCTCAAAATCAACAAACGACCTATGCTTCTGTCCTCCAGCGATCTATCGCATCCAGTCCAGAATCGATTCCTTCAACTCAAGAACCTATCACTCCCGCCAAATCCGTACTCACGATTGAAGATCTTCACCGCCGTTTTCACAATAAGCCGTCACCGTTCCAGCTCGAGGATCGGACAAAGCAACGTGCGACTAAACGAATTCGACTCAAAACCACATCTGCAACACAGTCACTATCCAAATTCTTGGCTTCAGCTTTGCCCGCGTTCTCGCGGTTCTTAACCGAAATGCAGCCAAAATCGGACGCTTGCTGTCTGTCTCATGCGCAATTCCACCATAGCCGCGCCATAGGGGCAGCCTAATACCACAGATGGCAATAAGGCCACGACAGGCTTTACCAGGTGAGGCTCAAAGTTCACCGTTCAGGCAGTTTGGAACAATCTGAGGGATCAATCAGCATGTATTTAGAAAGTAGTTGTAGCCTGCATATCGCTTTTTGAGTTGGATTATAAACCACAGCCCACTAGGCTAGGTACGGATTCGTATTTTGGCCTAGTTGGATAAACCAACTGGTTATGAGCCCGAATTAGCGTAACCTTTGTGCACGCTGGTTCAAATCCCACAGTCAGCATGTTTGAGCACCCAGAGCCACCAGAAGAAGGCCTATGATTGGCCGCACAGCCAGGCAACAGAGCTTCATGCACCGCCCCCAGCCAAGCGTCTATGGTTTACGGGGGAGAGTTGGATTATAAACCACAGCCCACTAGGCTAGGTACGGATTCGTATTTTGGCCTAGTTGGATAAACCAACTTTTTGCGAGGGGTCAGGGTAAATGAAACCAACCAACCAACCAACCAACCAACCAAGCAGTATTTACCCCGACCCCACGCAAGGAAGTTGGTTTACCCAACTAGGCCAAAATACGAATCTATACCTAGCCCAACCTTTGATGCCAAGATAGCTCTAACCGTATACGGTTAGCGCATTTCCTACCCTTAAGGCCGTAATTTGCATAGCGTCGTTACAGACTGTAACATTCTTCGGTACTGTATGTGTCTCGTGGTAGAAGCTCCTGGGACAGTAAATGCCTACGCAGCCCCAATTAAGACACGGTGGGCTGTTATGACATGCTACATAATCTATAAATGCGGACCTCATTGATATTAAAACATTCATAACCTAGCTCTGCAGCTAGAACTACGTCCGATATCAACCTAGGTCAACACAACCCGTCGAAATGGATTTTGAATACAGTGCTTTTCAAACCGAGGGTCGCGGTGTGGGGGATGAGCTTGAGTTCGGTTCACGAGCCTCACGAAAATGTCGTGCCCACGTGCGGCACGCCCTCCATTGCAGAGAAAAAGAATATGCCGAGCTTTTGTCCAAGTAAGTATCCGGGATATTCTTGTACTGTATGTTCCAAATTTCATTGAAAATTTAGGTTTCTCGTTGAAACGAAGAGAGTGTCGGATAGCTACAAGCTCGAGAAAGGGGTTCCAGCTCCTGATACAACCGCAATAAAATATTTCATTCTGTGGTACGCTTTCGTTAAAGGGGGACGACTTCGCCAGAATGGAGTTCCCACAATGCTCTCGAAAAGACAGGTCTTGGCTTGTGCTGAGAGGACTTTTAACGGGATCGAAGCGATGACCCAAAATAAGATACCACACCAAGCTCGTTTAGAAGTATCTGGGTTAAGTAAATATACCTGGGTGCCAGTATAGTGAGGTTGACTCAGATAATAGTGGATTAAACACGATCTGTTCGTCAATCTTAGCTTCTTACTGTTTCGCTTAGGGTGTCGATAGTGAATAACCTTATATTTTCAATTTAAATGCATCTACAAGCATTGAACTGTAATAAATCATATCTTGAGGAAGGGTTACCATTATCTCTAACATCCATGGACATAATGGAATATAAAAGGAGATATTGTAGCTTTTACTGTTCACAACAGGATTACCTCGGGGAGTTAGGTTTTGATGGTTTCAAATGAGGTTATGTGTAATCTAAGTATACATACAGTGAAGGAATGGAGCTTTCTCGTATTCTTGGAAGCATAGATATGCGATGTCGGTCTATCGCACCATTTGCGCACCATTGATTAGGTATCCTTCTCGTATAAGTTATAAGTGACCCTGCAAGAATATCCGTTACAGCTCCTGGGAAGTCAATGTTTTTAGTCAGAGTGTCCTGGGAGCGTACATTCTCACTTTGTTATAGCTATCGGTAATTGCCTACGGTAGATGAAACTGATAAACCAAGATATAAACTGGCTGGACCCCTTCGCGATATTTTGGTTAATTCGCACCAAATTCATAGCACATTGGAACCCTTAACCAGGTACCAACTCCTTAATTCTCTCTCAAATTCGTAATACCAAGAGTTTACCACGCTAAACTGCATTTAGTTCTCTGAAACCTTGGCATCAAATCATCATGTCTGACTGTCAGTTGAAAGGCCCAGACAACTGTCAACATATAACTACCAATAACGAAAACTACGACGCTCAAAAGTCAGATGAAGATGTTTCTGATGCAGGCACAATCAGGATGAGTTCATTCGAATTCTGGAACGGAGTGGATACGGATAATGACCCTGATATTCCACAAAACCTAATATTCTCGGAGTCTACTGTCATTTCAACATACGGGGGGCATCCCGGCTGCCAGCGGTTCAACTGTGCCCGCCTTTTTCAAAACCCAGAATCGACGACCACTCAGCAGGCAAAAGGAATATCAGAGACACACGATATTAAACGAAGTGCGTGAACTCCATTCACAGTTCCTTTGATTGCGCACTGCTCAAACTAACGTCGGGATAGGAAAATTTTCAGGAACACATCAATCTTGCGGTAATAGTTCAAATATCACAGGACCTCCGATCATTTCTTACGAACAGTTTAAAGAACTCGATGAAGTGGACCAAAGGCAATACTTCTATATAATGACTGGAAGTTCATACGCTTGGAAAAATTTCAAGAATTCATGTCCATGCATTCACCAGACGGGTTTCCAGCGTCATGATACTAACCATTGCTCGACCCTTGATGAGCAAGAGGCCGCATATGTGTTGCGGGAAGATATCAAACAAAACTCGAGCTTATCAAACAAAATCCCTGGAGGCAACGTCAAGACACAACCCTGAAACATGAGTGGATGGGGCAAATAGTTCCCAGGTTCGAAAACAGACACCCCGCATATATTCACAGACTGTTTTTCCAGACCTCTCCTGAAACACCTTAGTGTATATTCAATTCAATTGCAAATCTCCTTTTGTGGTAGAGAAGAAGGAGACTCGGAGACAAATAAAATCATGAATTCTTAGGGAAGCCCAGGAGCCCACCCTTAGCTATACGATAATCACCACTCGTCGGGCGACTCCATTGGACCGCCATCAGGGCAGGCCGAGAGAAATTTACTACCGTTCCAACCAACATTGCTCCAAAGAGATGCATCGTCTATATCACCAATGCAAAAATTCCAGCCGTAATGTTTACGGGTCTCGGGGCAGTGATTAGGAAGGAAACGGATCGAGCGTTTCCGGCGCGCCAGAAACCGCTGCTTCTGGTATCGCTCCTCGTAAGAAAAGTCTCCGAATGCTAGAATCTCTAGCCCGGGTAACCCATTTGGGCCGAAAGCCCAGTCCGCAAAGTTCAAAACTTCTTTGATCTCAGCTGACTCACTGCAGAAGGCCTCCGATCCTGAAGGCTCGACAGATTGTTCTTCCCAGAGAGTCGCAAAGTCAAAATCACAATCAGGATGAGACGTTCGTCTCGTCAACTCGCTCCAGCAACCGCACGGGCATTCCCTGCCCGCGTCATCTTCGGTCCAAATCTGCGAGATGATTTCCGATTGAATGTCTCGATGGAGATGGTCTACGCCTGTAAGTCTAATATGAAGCACTTGGAGATGGGAAGCTTGCGAGCCCGGCTCAAGGCTCTCTCGCTGTGATAAACGAATTAGCAGCTTCTCTCCTTGGTTTTCCTTCTCTTATACTCGTAACTGACCACGAAAGATGTGTTTGCGCACAGGGCCAAGGCAGAAAGTCGATCGAGATGCCTCAGCTCGGCTCCATCGAATAGCCATGATGAACAGAAGTCTCGAGTATCCCACCACAGTCTCTCATTATCGATCGGAGCGAGTTGCTTCTCGTGAAACACAAGGGTCTCCAGGGTGCGACTGTGATGTCGGATCACATCTCCGATTTGGTGGGTATGTGAAAAGTTGGAAAGTTTCAAATAGAGATGTTGTAAGCCTTGGAAGGAAAGTAAAAAGGCAATAACCGGTTCCAAATTTGCCTTGTTCGGGTCAACTGGGAGATTGTCGAAGCAGAGCTCAAATAGCCGCAATTGAAGTTTATTCTGCAAGCGCGACAGCGCTCCCAAAAACTCGCAGGAGTTTACACAGTCACGCAACTTCAAGGATCTTAACCCAGCAAAAGTTGACAAAGCGGTCGGTTGCGGGCTTCTCTGCAGATATGCCTTGGAAAGCACCAGGTCTGTGAGAGAGGGCAAAATTGTGGGGATAGGGCCCACCATGGCTGTTGTGGTCGCGAGCGTGGACCCTTGCTGCCCAAGTACTCGATGGGAGAAATCTGGTCTACCAGCCGATGCGCTGAAGCCAATTGAAAGAGTTTTCAATCGCCTTTGATTTCGACGGATGCATTTTTGCAGTAGCTCAATCTCACTCGAATGCTGTATACCTTCCCATTCGATGGCCTCCAGGGAGGACAGTCGGCACAGACCACCTAAATGGCCCGCAGCGTGAGAGCAGGAGCCGTCTGTGACCAACGAAAGGTGGACAAGATTTGCCTGATACCGGATCAGGTATCCCTCCTTATCCAACACGCCGGCTGGTAGGCAGGTACCCAGGCGCCACCTGTTTGCCAATTAGTACGACGATTCATGATATGGGATGATTGATGCGAACGTGAATGATCGAAGGAGACCAGGACTGAGGTGTCCAAAGGCCAAGCCAACCTGATCCCCAATATCCCCCAAGAACTGCTGATGGGCCTTCGCATTGTCAGGAGTTCCAATGCTCGAGAAAGGATCCGCGGCCAACCCAACCGCCCGGAAGATGTTGAATGCCGCACAGCGGTTGAACCGAGTAAGATGGATCGGGGCGTCAATTTTCAAGTGGCGGGTGTGTAGAAGGTGACCGGTACTTTTGGAGTGTTGGATGAAGAACTTATCGATGTTAAGCACATTTAAGGCCCATTCACTCGCAGCACGAAACTTGACCACACGGTAAATCCGAGGGACTAGAGCACGGTAAAGCTTTGAGGAGACGTGGCTGAGGGATCGAATAGCAAGCGGTGGTAACTAAAGGCATCAGCGAAATGCTGAGAGCTTTCCAAAAATATACGCACCCACTCGGCAATATCCTCCAGGAGCTCGGTCGGGAGATCCTCAAGCATGGTTTCTGCGATCCGGGGTTCTATTTCCCCGAAAGGGCGCCCCGACTCCTTTGTACTGCGTATTCCAACCCAGTTGCTGGTAGGCAAGACGGGAGAAGATAGAACTTCCGTCAACCAGTCACAAAATAAGCTTCCCACCGCACATGTTGAAACAAACACAGCATTAATGGCGAGCTGCGTCGAAGAAGATGCCAGGAAAATTGAACGCTGTAGAGAATTTTGTCCAAGTTCAAACTTACTCGGCACGTATAACTATGATCATCTGTTTAATTCTGGCTGTGACTGTAGATTTGTGCTTTGTTCTGAAGCTTAATGGAGTAATTTGGCGAAAAACAAGATTAACCCATCTATTCGCTGTGGAACGAAGCCCTGTAGCTGTGGTGGATGGCCCAGTCAATGCCATTCTTGCCTTGGAACTTAGGTGAATCTATCCCACCAGGCTGTCCAATCATTGAAGGGCTTTACGACTTCTGGAATTACAATCCAGCTGGCAAGATACATCCATCTCTCAGATTTACCTGATAGCGTTGTGTCAAGGCAATGAACATGCAATATTGTAGGTAGAACCAGTTCCAGACACATCGCAAACAAACAACTAATTCATCGTAGGGAACGATTCAAGATTGTGCAGCTTTGCGACCTCAGCCTCAATCAGCCCCAAGGGTTTCTGGGTCTTACAGAGCTTCCCTCTTACAGTGCACTGGATGCTGAGGGTCATTGCGGGAAGCAAAGTCAACTACCGTCATGTGGTCAATTCAGCCATCGCGAATATGTCAAGGGTCATCCAGCAGCTTCCCCTGACTATATACTGTCTTCTCTTCCTTCGCTGCGAGTATTGCTGCTTGGTCGAATGGAGGATACCCGATCTATTGTCCCCGCTTACGTACAGCGAGGATGTGTTTGGTTTCCTTCACTCCGCACTCCCCGGCGGGCCAGTCCGTTGGCTCAGCACAAGACTGTCAATTACAAGTCGGTTTTCGGGCCAGACAGTAGTCAATCTTCCATTCACGATTTCGCCGAGTAAATGGAGCGCCGACTCACTAAGCAGCTTTCAGCTACATGTCTACGATGCTCTATTACACTGGGTTTCCTAATGTTGTCAGCATGCTAGTTTCGATCAATTTGTGGTGCAATTAGCGATGTGGCCGTAGCGAGACCGACAGTAGAGAGGCGGAATCGAGCATATGGAGGAGAGTTCTTCAGAGATTTCTTCCTTTGATACAAGGTTTTTGGTCCATGACATCATTAGCAATTTCTAAGACAAGAATCAACTCTGACTTGATGCAATGACATGTACTGTATGTAGCATAGCACCAATGAAGCAGTATATTACGACTCCGCCATCCTTACGGGAATATCCTACCATAGTTACCCAGGGGCTTGACCATGTTTCTCTATGTTTTATGGATTTCCTTAGTCGTACTTCTTGAGTTGAACAGATTAGACGGTACGAGTGCCGGCTCTTAGTTTTTAAACAGGTGTCCACACGGTTGCAGTATCCTGGCCATTGCATTTACGGCTCTTGCCGTTCAAATGAGTTGTCCATGATCTTTGATCTTAACTAGCGGCATGTCTGTATAAAACTTCCATGGGGTCGATTACACCATCTATGCCATCGATAGGGGTGGCGGTCGGGGCACCTCAAGAATTCGTGTAACGTAATTCCCGGCCGACCGGGACACCCGGTCGCGCGGGACACCCCATCCAAAATCGCGTCTTCCTACTAACCTACCCTATTCAACCAACTACCATGCCACCAATTCGCTCTGAATCTCGGCAGAAATTAGCCAGCCAAGAGGGCAAGATCCTTCTAGCCCTTGATGACCTTAAAAATGGTCGTATCAAATCTATTCGCGCAGCAGCTAGCCTATACGCAATACCGAAGTCAACACTGCATGCGCGCGCTGATGGGCGAATCCCACGCGTTGATAGCCGCCCAACTGGCCATAAACTGACACAATTAGAAGAGGATTCGCTTTGCAAATGGATACTCTCTATGGATTCGCGTGGAGCAGCCCCTAGGCCCGCTACTGTGCGAGATATGGCGAATATCCTCCTAGCCGCGCGTGGTAGCCAGCCGCCACCTACCGTCGGCAAGAATTGGCCATCAACCTATATTCAACGACGCGATGAGCTTCGGTCACGTTTCTCTAGGCGATACGATTACCAACGCGCATTAAACGAGGATCCCCGATCGCTCCGGCAGTGGTTTACTACCGTCCAACGTACAATTGATGAGAAGGGGATTCAACCAGAGGATATCTATAACTTTGATGAGACAGGATTTGCAATGGGCCTTATTGCAAATCAGAAAGTGGTTACGCGCGCTGAATACTACGGTCGGAGATCTATATTACAGCCAGGAAATCGCGAATGGGTTACTGCGATTGAAGCAATCTGCGCAGATGGTTATTCACTACCGCCATGCATAATCTTCAAAGGCAGTGTTTTCCAAGCTGGCTGGTTTGATAACCTACCAAAGGATTGGCGATTCGAGGTCTCTAATAACGGTTGGACTACTGATGAGATTGGCCTACGCTGGCTACAAAAGATCTTTATCCCATCAACGAATTCGCGCGTACGCGGCCGATTTCGCTTATTGATTCTTGATGGTCATGGTAGCCACCTTACACCCCAATTCGATCGAATCTGCGCAGAAAACGATATCATACCTCTTTGTATGCCTGCGCATTCATCGCATCTATTACAACCACTAGATGTTGGGTGTTTTGCAGTGCTTAAACGCGCGTACGGTCGCTTCGTAAGCGATCTTGCCCGCGTAGGATATAACCATATCGACAAGTTTGATTTCTTGGATGACTACCAACGCGCGCGGCTAGAAGCCTTCCAATCGAATACCATTCAGAATAGCTTCATGGCTACTGGTCTAAATCCAGTGGATGCAGAAAGGGTCCTTTCTAAGCTGAATATCTCTCTACGAACGCCTACACCACTAAGCAGCCGACCAAGCAGCAGATCTAGCCAATTCACACCAAAAACGCCTAGGACAGTGGTTCAGCTACATAAGCAAGCTTCCAATGCTTAAAGATCTGCTAAAGCAGCGGTCAAATAGCCCTCCGAGCCCATCAAAAAATATATTAGATCGCATTCTCAAGGGCCACTGCGAAGCGCTGCATAACACTGCAATACTTGCGCAGGAGAACGCGAATCTCCGCGCAGCGAATGAGAAGAAGCGCCAGAAACGTAATCGGTCAACTAGGCAGATACCCCATGAGGGTGGCCTATCGGTCGAAGAAGGCCTACAGCTAGTTAAACAGCTAGACCAGCTAGTGGAAGGTGATGAGGTAGTATCGCATGGACAGGGCGAATTGCCTAGTCAGGCAAATCCACCACGTACCAGGGCCCCGCCTAAGTGTAGTGGGTGTGGGGAAATTGGCCATAGGATCAATCGATGTAAGAATCGCTAGTAGTAGTAAATTCAATGCGTTTTGATGGAGATAATTAACTTTGAAATTCTCTTATGGGAGTGGGTGTCCCGCGCGACCGGGTGTCCCGGTCGGCCGGGAATTACGTTATAACTAACTTAATCAATTCTCAACCTTCCACCCTAATTCAATTGAAGCCTACTACATAAGCAATTAAACCACCCTATTTAGCAATTGGGCAGGTTTTACATGTATGACCGATTTCCCCACAGTTCGAACACTTCCTAGGTGCCTTTGGCTTTTTTAGTGGCCCAACAACCCCTCCATTATCAGTGGTCTGATTAGATCTCTGCGTTGTTGCTGGTCGAGGGTTTAAGAGGGGTGGTAAATAAGCTTCTTCAGCTGAATCTAAGCCAATTCGCCAGAATGGGTGGATCTCAGCCAATGGGATTGGCTGTTCTGATTTAATTAAACTAGCTAATCGGTGCTTGCATGGTAACCCCATTATACTAGTAAAGTAGTTAGTACATGTACCAATTGGGGTCTGAGGGCTAGCTTGATCTGCATAAAATCGCTGTTTGTCAATTAATCTTAGTGAATAACGAGATATTCGCTTATTAAGATAGACGTATAGCCAATTCTTTGGTAGATTTAGCCGATTAATCTTATCCTGCTCAATAATTAAATCAATCTGATTATGCTGCTGACGAATAGCGTTATGAATAGCTCTCCAGGTAGTATATAAATCGCCAGACGAGCTATCTATCTGGCGTTTTATCACTGAATGAGCACCCTCGACACGCGAGGACGCTGCGTTACCAAGATGTAATTGGTTTTTAGTCCAAGCATGTATAAACTTCTGTTTATAAATCAGCCATGTATCTTTAATATAGTTTATTAGCTGGGGGTAGGGCTTAGCGTATATCTTCTTAAGATTAGCTAGATTAATATCGTAATCGTCTTCGGTAGGTGATTTGATTAATTCATTCCATTTTTGCATAAAATCATCGAATTGCTTCTTAATCGATTGGTCTGATTCGTCTGATTGGTTTATTAACGATATAAAACACTTTGCTTTTGCAAGAACTGCTTTATTAATATGCCAAACGCATAGTAAATGCGGGTAATTACCCCAGATACTATTAATCGCGGCTAATAGAGCTAAATCGCGGTCAGTAACTAAGATTGGCTTATAGTTAGGATGTAAACTTAGCCAATTAAAAAACGTTTTAAGCACCCAGGTATAGCTTATTTCAAGCTCATTACGCATAAAACATAATGCGATTGTGAAAGTATTATTTGATGGCGTCATACCTACTATATGACATAGCGGCATACCAAACCGATTAGTTTTATATGTGCAATCTAGCACATAAACCCTATTATATATATTAGCTAATTTGATCGCACGGGGATGAGCAAATAGAAAGAATTCAATTCGTCCGTCCTTATCTTGTTCAAATTTCGATTTATATCCTTCTAAATCTAGTAGTTCTTGAAGATATTCAAGAATACTCTTTTGTCCAATATCTTTATTTCGAATTGCTCGGCGTTTATTATATATATCCTGATAGATAATTGGCTGGCCTGGCGTTTTATCGCGTAGTATATTCGCGATATATCTTGGTTTAATATTCGTATACGAGAGAGATTGGATTATTTCGTCCTGTTGCGGCGTAAACCGGCGTACGATTGGATGGGCTATCATATTATCGTCAGCAGGGTGATTATGAGCACTATTCTTTACCTTTAGTAGCCAATCAGAATTCTTCGTTCGGCTTCCATATACCAAAAACGGACAGTTTTGACGCCGAGTACTAGTCTTCCGTCGTTTAGCCCCATCGGGAGCGTTTACCCTATCTGAATATACGCCTGATCTATCACAGTGGATATAGACCTGCCTATTAGCGTTTGAACGCTTGATAGTAGTCGCATAGCCTTGCGATATACCAAATTGGCGTACAAAATCCACTAATAGATCGCGTGTAGCGAAGGTCCTCTCCGGCGGCGGCAGTAAACTAGCGTCCGGTTCAACGGCGGGGACGTTTAGAGAGCCAGGAGGGGCGTCAACTAGCGAGTTAGCTAGCTCATCAGCTAGCTGACCAGCTGGATCATTAGCTAGTTCAATAGCTGGTTCGATAGCTAGCGGGTTGGTTTGCAGGTTGGTTTGCAGGTTGGTTTGCAGGTTGGTTTGCAGGTTGGTTTGCATGGTCAAAAAGCAGTTCAAATAGGAGTTCAAATAGCAGGGTAGTTAGGAGGGTGGTTATAGAGGTCTAAAGACATGTGTCCTGTAGTAGATAGTAGTGGGTTGCTATAGTAATAGAAAATATTGGAGGTTGGAAATTGATTATATAATATAAAAAAGATTATGTAAGAAATTGAGGTGCCGTTACACGAAATCTTGAGGTGCCCCGACCGCTACCCCATCGATAGGCTTCGGTCACACCGTTTGCCCGGCTAAATGATATACAGGGTTTCCCGTCACTCCACCGTCGCTCGTGATGGAGCAATACAAACATCTCAATCGCTAATAAAGTTATTGTCAAGTACAAATGGACTCTTAACCCTCACAATTTTTGGACTCATGAAACAGCGATGAATTGGCATTCTGGAACAAGATTGTGGCTTCGCGCGGTATGTACCCTCCAGAGAGAACATCAGTATTGATATCCTGATAAAACAACTCCTACTAGATACAGGAGATCACATTATGTGTCCATGCCCTTCGAAGATATTGTAAGGGTGGGCCATGAGAATACATTCGATGGGAAAGATTCGGGTTGCTGGGGGAGAACCATACTCAGAGAGTTGAAGCTCTCAAGGGAATCCATCTGGTTCGGGATAGCTTCGCCGGTTTTACAGCAATTCGCGTCAAGAACAATGAAGAATGGTACGACGCGCCTGGAGACGGTGTTGACGACATTGAGCTTGAGTGGGAACCAAGAAAATTTTGAATGTTATGCACTAACATCGCCACCACTCTAGGGCATCTGGACGAACATTCAAGGAACGTCATTATGGGCCATGCACGGAGCGGTACATTCGCTTACTATGTCTCTGTGAGAGACGATACTCAATTTGCCTTCATGGAGACACCTGCCCGAGATGCTTTACTCAAGCTTGCTTGCAACTCAAGCCTCACACGGGATGCATCCGCACCTCAGGATCTCACAGAGCCCCAAAAGAGGTCCCTTGAGTACGACCAGGAGCTCAATCGATTGAAGCGAGAATGTCAAGGGATTCGAAGCGACCTAATTGCAGAATTTCATCAATTGAATAAAGCAAGATGTGCTGACCCTGGGCGATATAACGCAAATCGCAACCTTCAAAACAAAGTCAAGGCCCGACGAAAGAAAATTCACGATGAAGCAAAAGAAAAAGTCCGCGCAGAGTTTTTTGAGAACATTGGGAACCATATCATTGATCAAAATTATCAAGGCAACCCTATGAAATTCGAACCGGACATGTCGCATATACAGCCGGAAAGAAAGGAGCTCGCGGATCTTGAATTCAAGAACAGAGATGTCGACACCGTTGATGATGCAGAGTTGATTGAAGACCGGATCCGGTCACTAGAGCTACGACTACGGCTTCATGGACTCCATGTACCGAAGGCCTTGCGAAAACGAGTAAGGTTTGAGTCTATGCCCCTTATCAAGTCTGAACCGCAATCTTTCCCATGGAAAAGCGCCACTGGCCTTGAATGTCCGGCCTGCTTAGGGGTCCCACATACCCACCCCGTAGCAAAGCAATTTGAATATTCGCGGAAGGACGCGCTACAAAGGCATTTCAGGACCCATCGTCTTCCGAAAACTTTTCCGAAGGGTCGCCAGTGCGATATCCCTAGCTGTTCCGAAGTGCTGTTCACGCTTCCACAGTACATGCTGCACCAAGCGGAGTGCCACAATATTCTCCTTTAGAGTGGATCGGCTAAAACTCGTGGTTTTTCTATCCTCATTGAAATGAGGCTGAACGTGAATGCTCCCGGAGCATAATAATGACCTATTGTGCATCGAGTTTTTCATGAATGTGATTTGTAATCCTGAAGCCAGGGATAGCTTCGTATGTGCCCTTGCGGGCCCATGACAGTACCTTACCTTCCCGCCGGCCCTTAATAATAATAGTAGTAGTAGTAGCAGGGCCTCACTTCAATTAATCAAGGGGGATGGGGGATAGGCGGTAGAAAGGGAGCTGGTTACTGTGTGAACGCGACTCCCCGCTTGTGGGTTATTTTTAATGAATGCTTGTCTTTGTGTTTTGGGAAGCTGGTAAGAGCCTACGGACGCCCCGGTTTGAGACTGAATAAGAACATGATTGGCTGGACTGAAGCCAAGGGCCGAAACTCGGCTCCGAAAAAGCCACCGCTTCGGCCGAAATCTGATACAAGGATGAAGCTGACTCGATCCTTGAGCGGCAATTTTCCATAAAAGCTCCCTCCCTGCGGAGTACTTGATTGTGACTTGATTGTCGCGATTCTTGAACCTATTGAGATGTCTCTATCAAAGCTACCGAGCGAAGTCATCTTAATAATTGCGAGAAATTGGAAACGGAGAGGTTATTTTCGCTTTGCTGAGGACCAACTCATTATTCTACAGGCTTGATTATTCTTCGAGCTCAGCTCTTTGATTTCTCTCATCTGTGCGATTTGCCACGGTGGGAAAACGAGAAAGCGGGAAAGATATGGGATCGACATGGCCCTCGCACCCTTAACACGAGACTGAATTCCGGACAGGGTCCTGAACATGAGCGAGGGGTTCCAGCCTCAATTTGCATCCTTAACAGGAGGAAAGGGATTGCGCTGGGGAATTCTACCATGGGTCCTGAGGGTGGAAAGGTTCCGGGAGCTCGCCTTACTTTACAGGGAGCCTTCAGGCACATGGCAAATAATACTTTGAAATCAGTTTTGGTTTCCACACACGAGACTTGCTGACAAAATACTGTAATTCCTCCTGCGCTCGTTTCTTGGGCTTCTCGGCGGTGGGCTTACTGGATCCATATCTTCGTCCAGTCGCCCAGCCGCCCTTCGACCGCCCTTCGAACATATCTCGGCAATGGCGTTCGGAGGACGTTCATAGCGTGGTGTGGACCGAACGTCAGGTGCAGTTGCACCAGATATCACAAGGTTTTATGTCGAAGACGGGAAATACTAGGAGGGACGGCAGAAGATGAATTTTCCTTTAACTGGGATGATTTACCAAGATAAATGTCTCTTGAGCGTGGTCTCTTCCTCCCTGTGCTGTACCGTCCGATAACTCTGCCAAATCACTGTGTTTCACGATGGGCGTGCCAGATCTTCCTCAGACATGATTCCAATTCCACAGACGAATTTTACAGGCCGTTTGCCATTTCCGGCTGATAGTCTCGTTCTCGGATACTCGCGCCTCGTAGGAAAATGAAGCTTTCTTCTGGCCTTGGATATCAACCCCTTTTCCGGAAAGCACCGTTTGAGACTTGCACGAAAGCATGGGGATATGTCCTTTGCGCAATCTTTCCCTCTTTTTGGGTTGTCGCGTGTCAATTCCTCCAAATGAAAGGTTTGGATGTGCTGATCGGTTCGGTTGCGAGGCGTTTTATTGTGGAGAGTTTCGAAAGCTGCGGTCGGGTGGTTCCGTTTTTCATCTTGGTCTTGAGGCAGTATCGACCGCGTCTTCTTGGAGGACAAACTTCCAATTTCCTTATGCCAATAAAAATATCATTAGCGGGTTCTCGGTCTGCTACTCGGTAACAACGTTCATAGGCGTGTAAACGAGTATGGTACTGTAGGTTCATTTGATTGGCATACTGGAAGTGGGGGGCTTTTGTCCGTTTCAGGCGACATTTGATCCCGTCTCGAAGTGGCCGTGTGGAAGTGCTGGGTTAATTTACCCATATTTGCATCTGAAAATACACTCGTAAGCACGTCAAGAAGCGGATGTTTCATCCCGTATATAAATGCGTGCAATGGACATCGAGAAAACACAAGCGCTAGGGATCTCTATGCTCATAACATGCTGTCATAGGTATAGTGGGTATGTGCTTGGAATGTGACTACTGGAGCGCCTGTCACATAAACCCCAATGCAAAAATCACAGTGGGACAAGGAAAGCTTAGTATGAGAGCGACTGTTAATCGAAATGTAGATCCAATGCGAGGGGTGCCAGTTCATGAACTCAAAATGTTCCATTGAACCTACTATGGCGAGAGTAGATTCCACGATGGAGATAAGATGAACGCAGGGCGCCGAAGTATTGGTTCCTGTAGAATAACGTGCAAACTGACATCGGTGCGCAAAATGATATTGACGCACCGTTCTGTTTCCGGAATGTTCAAAACTCCAAATTTAAGGAATTCGGTGGAATGTCATAACGAGCAGGGCCTTTTTTCGAACCTCAGTCTTCCATGACACTTACAACAACAGAAAGACCCAAGATCTTATCACGGACTGTATCGGCTCGGCCATACCAGTTGCTTATGCGCAACGTGCGAGCTTGTGGCTCATCACTTCTTTCCCGATCTGAAAGTGTGTACAGTCGACTAATTCGACAGTCTGTAATGTGAGATTTAGAGGCCATGACGAGGTTTCGCTTCTAACGCACTGTTCATATAATTCACTGCACGCAGTTCATTACATCGGCGACCAAGTGTGATCGGGATGGCTGGGCCGGCAGGGTGGTGTAGCGGTAGACCAGCACCTAGGCAGAACCTAGATGGACAGGGATAGCCGGGGGCCTTTCGAACGCTCGCCGTTCCGGAGATTAGCGTTATGTGGCCTGGAAAAATGAGCAGTGTGTTTTAGAGTCGTTGTGGAACTACCTCGGCCCAATACCTTCGGCCTCAAAAGAATTTTATGTCAGCCAATTGTCCCGGTTCTGGCTGGTTGATCCCATGCAAACAATTAATTTAGAATGTCTGGATAGGTTGGAAATCGTCAACCTTAGAACGATGGTGCTCGCATTCTCCTCAACATTATTCTTAAAAAAATCAAGTACTTGGCCAGGGAGCTGACCAGGACGTCCAGGAACGTTTAATAACCTTCTTGACTCGGCCAAGAACCGCTCAAAGGAGAGTCCAATCCCGGCGATTACGCTGGGCTGTTTGTGATTGGACAAACAGACCAAGGAGCACGAAAAGAGCGCAAGGGTTTGAATGTATGGATCATCATCGGCAGAATGGTAAACAACGACTCAGTATCAGTAATGTGAACGCAAAAGGTTCAAATTGCGGCCGATACTGTAATCTAAATGGTTCTATCGGACTTTAAAACTAACTTCCAAAGAAGCCGGCGGCAATTACAATACTCCCAACTAACTCTAGTTCTTATGACTTCTGTAACGATATGATTATCAAACGTCTCTTCAATCTCCCGTTTCTGAAAAGATTCACCTGTTGGAGGCAGCACCAGGAGAAGCCTGAGGCTTCGTTCAAAGTAAGACCGTGTAAAATACGAAGACACTCAAGGAACCCGCAAAAGGGAACTGACAAGTTCAGGTCCAGACTCCGAGCCCATCACTTTTCTGCTCTGAAACCGATCCTTCCACTGAATCAACAGAAATTTTCATAGTGCATCCTGTGGAATTCGAGGCCTTGATGCATCAGGACAAATTTTCCTAAATGGAAACCACTAACCGGCCCCTTTCATAAATTACCATTTATTACGGACCCTCGCTCCGCGAGGGTCTACCACCCAAACGATATTACCCACCCACACGATATCGCGATTTTACATGAAAGATTGGAGATCAGAGAGAAAAGAAACAGCAAACATACCAAACTGGTAGAGGGGAATTCGGAAGAAGCGCCCCATAAAACCTGGCAAAAGGAACAATAAGGACAGCCAAAGTGGAGAACCGGATAAGTGATACAAACACAGATAGCGAGACTCGGTTTCTCGAAAGCGGATGGAGGCGGAATCGGGAAAGAGATTGAAAAAGTCGTCACGGGTATCATCAGTCGCACCAATTGCTACAAGCATCTATGCGGGATCTCTTCTTAACCTACGCACAGAAAGCCCCAGTCAGTCCCCTCCGGTTGGTTCAAGATCCGGTTTGGGGTTTTGTACAGGAAATTGGGATGGCAACCCACTATCATCGCCTGGTCCTCCGGTAGCTCGTGGCCCGGAAACGACGGCTGGTGGTACTCGGGAAGTAGGTAGTTCGTGCCCGGGTTCGGATTGTAGCGATGCTGCATCATCTGCATGTATTGTTGTTGTTGCTGCTGCTGCTGCTGCTGCTGCTGCGCGGGCGGCGGCGTATGGTGGTGCTGTTGCGGCATGTGTTGTGAGCCATGCGGGATGTTCATCGCTGAGGTGACGGGCACGTTCTGCGTCACGGTCGGCGGCGCACACTTGTGTACGGGCTCCGAGCTCATTTGCACGCTGTGCGGTGAGTAGAAGTCGTGGCTGGCTGTCGTCGAATTAGGGTAGTAGGGCTGCTGCGCGAGCATGTACTGGTCGTTCCAGTTCGGAATTGACACGGTTACGGGAGTTGGGTGCTGATAGGAGTGCTTCGACGTCGTGTCTTCCGAGGATGGCCGAGTGAAGGAGCCGGGAGGGTGGGAGCGGTGCTGGTGCTTCGTGAGGGTGGTTTTGCGACAAAAGCTATAATGAGAGCGCGGCTGTGTGAGGTGGTGGACATAGTAGCGATGGGTTCTGGGGGAGACGCCTTACCTTCGTTCGCAAGTCGGTTCTTGGCAGATATATGGTCGCTTGCCCGTGTGGATTCGTCGGTGACGGGCCAGACTCGAGGACTGCGTTCGTTGTCAGTGCCGGATTCCCAGATCGAGTTCGAGGTCGAGGTCGAGTTGGCTCACATCAGAGAACGCTTTTTGGCAGCCCTCATGGTCACAGACGTGCGGCTTCTCGCCCGTGTGGGTCCGCCAATGCACAGTCAGAGCACTGCGCTGGATGAAGCTCTTGTTGCAATCCTTCACAGTGCAATGGTAGGGCCGCTCATTGGTGTGTATCCGATAATGACGACAGAGATCTGACTTGCGATTGAACGACTGGAGGCCGGTTGAGGTTAGGGGGGGAACGGACGGTGGATCTACGAGACGACCATCAAAGAAAACATACCTTGCCACAATGCTCCCACGGACAGTTGAAATCACGCCCACTGCCAGGAGCCATGGCTGCAAGCTTGGGGGGAGAGATCCTCCACAGAGCGTCGAGTTCACGGTTGCGGGGGGAATGGGTCGCGGGAGCAAAACGTGAGGCGACGTGGAGATAAGAACGTCGAAGGGCGACGGACAACCAGAAGAGGAGGGCGAGGTGTACGGAGTAGTGGATGAGCAAGCATGGTTCATTTATTTCACGGCTCACAAAAAAAAGGATCAGCCAACCCGACAATTCGTAGCCGGACAGAAAATAAAGAGAAAGCCCCGCTTTGCATGGCCAATGGACAGTCCCACGAGTCATGGCGTGCATGACTCGTGGTTCGCCCCATTTCCCTCAACACAGAAAGAGGCGAAGCGTAAGGGTCCTAAAATGCTCCAGAAAGACCAGAAGTCGCCAAGGCGCTACTAATGAATGGGACTGCCCTGCCAGGCCCAGCAGCAGCACTGCCCGTTCATTCGGTCTCCCTCACAAACCAGAGTTACCCCTGTAAAGGTAGAAAAGGAATGTCAAAGGGGCTGATCTGATGGCAATAAGTGGCAATAAGATTCCTTCTCCTGGTTGACGATATGGTCCTGCAGCTTGCGATCGGGATCACAGCCCCTCTTCTATTATCTTTTCCCCTCGACGGGCGATAGCGGGAATATGGTTCCAGCCAGTACGCACTGAAGGTGCGAGAGTACGGAGTACTTCGTAGCTGCTCTCGCTCAGTGCTTTGCGATCGCTGCATCTTAAAGCATATTATCCCATGGTTCGAAGTGGCGTATCCGAGATCACCAAACTCAGTATGTGCACCAGCGAACCTGCGCTTGGATAGGGCACTACGGAGCCACAGAGGCTTTTGATGGGCATAAACCCAGGGTCAGGACGAACCATGTTTGGATGAATAGTACACATTCCCGGTTCATGCACCTGGAAATGGCAATGTGCGTCAAGCTAAGGTCGGGACCCTTGCCACTCATGCTTCCAGCAGAATGAGCTAACTCAGCACCTTCTCAGCTGCAAGCTGAGAGACGGTCTGTGTCCATTGTCGATCAATGATGCTGGAAAAATTAACTGAATTTCCACCGAGATTAACTGACTCCCCGAGATGAGAAGGCAAAAGCGGACCTCAAACCAACGATTAACGCATGGTAAGAGCATCGTTTTCACATTCATCTATCCATAAACATATGGGGAAAGCACCTGAATTCAGCTTCTATTGGACTTAACGATGAGAGTATTAATAGGCTGTGCAAGAACATGGGTTCGATAGACGTAATGGGGAACCCTATTTCGAGTACGGACATGGACGGAGCATTCTGGCTCCCAGAATTCGCGGTTGGGCCCTTTAATGTTAACTCTAAATACGACAACGCAAGGACTACGGAGTACATAACCAATGAAAGCTTTTGAGATCGAACGTTTCCCCACATCACCCCACATCACCCCACATCACGTACTTTATTTTGGTGTTTGTGTAATTCCGACTGAGCGGGGCATGGCCGTCATTGATCGACGCTCGGAGGTAATCAAGGACGGTGAACTCTTACCGTCATTGCGCCAATCAGTCTGTATGTCAAGGGTACCCCATATGCTTCCGTATGGCCGTGCTCTTTCCGATAACAGACGTGGACGGGACAATAATATGGAAAATTCCTCCATGCCCTGTGCATCCAGGAAGTGGTCTAGGTTGCCCTCATGTTATGGTACTTATTGCACTCTGTCTATAACGAGGCATGTCCACCTAATAGATTTAAACAGTGACGACTATCATTTCTCATTTGGCAAGGGCTGGCAACTGTGTCAGTCACGGTATAAGTATCAAGTGGATAGACTTTTCTCTCGCTTTCCTTTCCCTCACTTTCCTTTCTCTCACTTTCCAAAGATCGAAGCATGGTTTCTCCATAGAAATGGCTTCCTACGGTGAGTACTCCTTCCTTTTCTACGTCAGAGTTCTACTTAGGCTAAGTATTTATCCAAGACAAATTCCAACCAGGCTTTGGTCTTCAAGACCAGTCCATCGACTCATACTTCGCGGTAGGGTAGCTCCGGTTAGCCACTAAGTTAACGAACTAACTGCTAGCCAGGTACAGCCAGGCATCCCAGCAGACAAAATGTTTAACATGTTGCCCTTTACGCATTTTGCGCTTATTTATATGGACGCAGACGGCACCGTCCATATACAAGCTTCAGAGTCAATCGCAAACAGCTGCCACGAGATACTATGGACAAAGGTGATGGATGCATTTCTGAGAGCCGTAGGTATGTCTAGAGAAACCTAAGCCTTAGACTCTCCGTCCCAGCAATGGCTCGACTTAACATGACCTGGCAGCGTCCTCTGAACAAGCTACCATTACTATTGCCAAAACCTCACGTCCATCGCAGCTAACTGGGATATCCAATTTTGGGATAAACAGTATGAGTGAAGCGCACATGCAAAACTCTGTCCCAATAGCGAATTCTTTTCAGCCTATCAATTGGCCTACTCACAGACGATGTTGGCCTTCTTTGTCTTCGCAAGGCCTGCAGCATAACTGGAACCAATTTTATAATAAGGACGCCAACATTTCAAGGAAAACGAAGACTATGATATCTGTCAGGGACCGAAATTTCCTGGGCTTATATTATACCGTGGCTTTTAATAACCTCCAACAGACAAGTTGCCGAATTCTTGCGAAGGCATATATCAAACTCGTGGAGCCTCGTAAGCAGGTGAACTATCCATATAATGGACGAAAGTTTGTTGCTGGAACTCTAAAGCAGCTTGACCCTGATATGACTAAACCGCCATGGTGGCCCCTTGGAGTGATCCATCGGGAGCCTGGTCATCTGCCTAAAGTTGGTGGGAGAATCACCGTTCTTTCGACGTATAGCACACGTCTAACTATAAACAGAACGTATTCGACTTCTAGTTCACATACTTCGTGAGCTGCGCTTCAGCCACGGGATTTCGGTCTCAAAGCTAAAAGAAGCTAGCCAGCTTATCTGTCATCAGATCACCCCAGAGCGATTACAGATCCTAGATGAGATCTACGAAGTCAGGAGAGAAGAAGAAAACTTCTTAGATGGAATAAGTGGTAGGTGATCAGAAAAAGGAATTCTCGGTTACGAAGCTAAGATCTCTACCGCAGATGGACCTACTATGGCGTGGATTTCTCGCGCAAATCTTCCAAGGAGCTAAACTAGCTGTCAAGTAGAAGGAGCTGTATGTTACGCGTGGCCAACTGGTCACTGTGAGAAGAACGTCTGAGGGTTATACGCACCGGGTTCCCACTGCGGATCCCAAGAGTACCTCGCAACCGTACCTGTGCTGTGCTAAGCCTTACACGGATTCGGGTCCTATTGAGTATCTTGCAGGACGTGCCAGTTGGTGCGCCAAGTAGGTCTGTCACAGAGTGAGCTCCCTTGTAGGATAGGTTGTCTTAAGGGTGAACTGTGAAGTGCAAAGGTGTATCCAAGTAACAAATTAGGATTGATCGCGAAGAACTAAATACATATGTGATAAACGAGCGTCCCTATATATCCAGTCCTTCCTTGTCGGTATAGCTGGTAGATGGTATTGGGGTAGATGGGGCTTAGCGCGATCTACCCGTCGACCGATCTACCCGCCTACCACGACGAGTCACGTGAGCCTGAATCAGGAAGTTTGTCATGGCGGACATTATCCTGGATATATAGAGGATATACAGACAGGATAATGTCCGGCAAAAGGACACGTCGCTTTTCTGCCCTGATTGATCACTGAGCCTGATCGTCCAAAAGTCCTCACCTTTCTCTTCGAGGCTTGATTGGTCGCACGTGACTTCTGCAGGTGTGCCTCCTGGGAGCTTGGTTGGCTCCCTTGATCCAGTAACCAGCCCCTTTCATAAATTACCATTTATTACGGACCCTCGCTCCGCGAGGGTCTACCACCCAAACGATATTACCCACCCATACGATATCGCATATTCATATATTCAACCACCCAATTTCAATGCGATTTATTCAACCAAAGCAGAGCGATTTAGAAGATAATTAATAGACCGAAATGAAGCAATTTGATTAGCCAATACAGAAATATACACTATTATTTGATGAGATAACCCTTAGCTTTGCAAACCCTCTTTAACTCCGGCATAACCTCCCGCTTGTAATACGGTCGCAACTTCATAAGAGCCTTTAGGTCCTCACCACTCTTTAGAATTCGCTTCATACGATCAACCTGGCTAGAATGCACTATCCCAGTCAATTTAGAAGCTTTACGCGACCGATTTTCGCGTGCGTAGCGAAGCTCTCGTAGATTCTCCGAATTCTCTATATTCTGCTCCAGCTCCGAAGCAATATAGGCGAATTCGGTCGCAGCTTTTGCAAGCTTTCTAAGCAGGCGACGAGAGGGTGTTTGCTGCATACGAGAGATCTTATCCTCTAGCCGCTCTTCTAGCTTCTTCACACGCTCAATAGTCTTTGGTGTACTAAGATCTGATGAATCTTGGCTATTGCTAGCCGCTGATGACGGAGGGCTTGGTGTATTGAAGCCGAAATCGCGATCTGAATCCACTAGGGAATCGAGAACCACACTTGGATTAATAGGCCAAAGGCCAGTTAATCGAAATCCAAGCTTAATTGTAGAAGGTTTAAAGGTCTTCTGCCGAATCTGCGCGATTGCACCAAGGAAATCGTTCTTCGTGATCTTCTCATAGCCACTCACTGTAGCATCGTAAACCCACTCGCTATGCCAATGCTTATATACGCTGAATACACCAACGTCTAGCGGTTGAAGAAGATGGCTAGAGTGAGGAGGTAGAAAGAAGAGGATAATCTTATGATCCTCGCAGTATTTGACGAATTCGTACGTGAGATGCGAGCCGAATTGGTCACAAATCAGCATACGATGCGTACCCTTAGCCGAATCCTTGGTAAGCTTGTTGAATAGCTGTATCCACTGTAGGGCTAGAACGTTATTAAGATAGCCAGTCTCGGTGACAGCGATTCTTTCATCGCCTACTATCTCGAACCACCGTAGTAGTAGTACCTTCGCGCTTAGGATTACTACTGGTGCGATAGTAGTACCAGTAGCTGAGATAGCTTCAATAGCAGTCGCATATTCGCGATTTGTACTAAAACCACCAGAAATCTGGCGCTTAGGCTCGCGTGTAATAATCCACTGGTCTCTACCAACACCAATATTGAATCCAGTCTCGTCGAAGTTCCAAATATCATCCGCTGTAATTCCGTATTGGGCAATTGTCTCCTGGTAGGAATCGAACCACTCTCTTGCAACCTGCCTATCTAGGCACTTCTTTCTCTCGATATCTATGGCTCTCTGGCGGCGAACGAGATACACGGGATGGCGGTGGAGGAAGCGTTGTAGCCAGTGGCGACCGATCGTAGGCGGTTTAGTTGAATCGTCTGTATGGCAGCTAGCCAGAATTGCATTGGCAGCAGCCGCGATTGCCGGGCGCTTAGGAGGTAGATAGATCGAATCGAGGAAATCGATATAGCGGCAGAGGGCAGATTCTTGCGATTCATCAAGCTTGCGACCGTTCGGTTGGCGATCAGAGAGCGATAGGCGGCCCTTGTAGCGCGCAAGAAGCCGCTGGTATGGTAGGTTGCGAGATCGCGCCCACGCTTTAATATTAGGCTTTTCAACATTCTCTAATTCAAGAATAGCCAATTGGATGCGAGATTCGATAGATTGATTCGATTCGGCCATGGTGGTGGTAAGAAATCGCGTGTAAGAAAGAGGGTGTTTACTATGTAATAAAATCAAAGCAATAATATGGCCGACGAATTATAGCACTAGCTGCGCCGAATCTTCTTGAGACGGCGAGCATTTGAATCACCACCTACTCCATCCAAGTTTCCCACGCCAATCACGGATGCCAGAACTTCACTCAGGAGGCTACTGCGAGTATCTAAGATTCAGGTCTTTCATGTCCACAACAGGACGAGGGGATATAACACACCAGTCACGTGAAGAAACGAGGCACGATGATTCTGCGGATAGCCGCTGGTCAGTCTGCCAACCCTCATGTAATCTCCGGCCCAAGGAGCCCCAAAAAAATTGACCTACCATTTAAATTTACGACGCCATAAAAAGAACATTGAGTGCTTCTCTTTCCTAAAGGCCACATTGGCTTCGGTACATGGCAACAGAACAAGAGGCGAAAGTGAACCGGCCTATTTCGAATGTCCGTTCAGGCGAAAAGTCAAGATCAGCCACCACCGTAGTTGTAGTGCTATATTTCAATGTTGAAGATTTGGGGACTTTTCATGTTAATTGGCATATTAATTCAAAAATAAAGGTACCGGAGTAAGAGAAATGTGGTTGAAAAAATCAACCCAGGGAAATCGCAAGCTTCGCGGCATTACAGCCGAAACCCTTCCCAAAATCGATGGCTCCGACATTTAAGAGTCTGAGCCGCCCCAAAATTTCATAGCGATGCGTGATATAAATATTACTGCAAGGAAATAGCAAGTCTTCAAGTCTTTGTCTGGCATCCATGGCTGCCTCCATTGTCGAGCAAGATCCTACGGATGGTAGGTCCAGCTCTGGATCACCTGGCCTAACGGAATCCACTATCAATGATTTTCAGGTAGGGTCCAGGCAGATGCATTGCAAGTATATTCAGGATTCTTTTGACAAGAACTATATTTTCTATATTAGAGCTCCGAGGTAGGCCCAGAATTTCAGGCTTGCTTGACTCCGTCACAACCACAAACGCAAGACCAATGTTCACAGCACTTCAGCCGGACAGCCTCTACGGAAATATTAGAACAATACTCGGTGCTCTGGCATTACTACATGGTGGAGAAAACCAAGGTTCACGACCTTGGACAGGAGGTTAAAATACTTCGTTCTGCCAATACTCAGCTATGCCTTAGGTTGCAGATTGCGGAACAAGAAGTATACAACAAAAGTGCATTTTTAGCATACTCTGAGCAACGATATGCAAATCTTCAAAGAAATCTCAACAATCTCCTCCAATTTGACGAGGGTGATGGATCTGAGGTTAATGCGGAAACAATTTGCCACTAAAGTACCTTGTTTTCAGTGGCTGAGCCATGAATACACTGCGAATACCAACTTCCTAGCGTAATTCTTTGGTAATGAGAACAATTTGGGATTTTGGGGTGTTAGTTAATCTTCTTGTTTCCAAGGCGGTGGTCATGCATTTTCTTCGAGATATACTTGTCTTGGTTTTTATATCCTGTCTCCTGAGGATTCAACGGTTCGCAGATGCTACCAATGGCATTGTTGCAATTATGTGTCATTTCAGCTCTGTCTTTGATCAAATTACAGTAACTGGCGCATTCAAATCTATCCTTACGTCAAAAGGGCCATCGCAGTGGCAGGAAAAAGGACTGCCCAGACACTAGTTGGGAGAGAGCTAGAAGCCAACACAGGTTTTGGGATTAGATATTGACGAATTTGACGAAGTGGTCACATACCACCGGGCTCATTTTGTTGATGTTCGATAACTACTGTATCGCCATTGCCTCCTTAAAGATATCATGCGACTTGGCTTCTACTGCTCTCCGTCCTTTCTGGGACACATCAGCTTTTTTGCTAACTGTTTAAAACACTCCCACTCAAGGGGTATCCAGCACTTCTTAGAGATCTTCCATATTTGCTTTGCTGGCCATCATCCCTTTACTCTTGCTTCCGGCAGAGGAAGCACCTACATAGCCATGACGCCACCAGTTAGGCTGTATTAGGTTAATAGAGTATTGATTGATTGATTGATTGATTGATTGAAGCCATCATCCCTCCGCCTCCGTATCCTCTTCCCTGACACTTTCAAGGGTATTCATCGTCCGTTGGTACGCGTCAATCAAAGAGAACAGATCTATTCGGTACTGCCGATGATGATGATGATGATTTTATTTACCCTGACCTCTCGCGAACGATATGCAGGATTCCGCAACTATATATATCTCTATGCGTACAGATGTCGTGTCCCATTTCCTAAGCGAACTTGTTGCCTCGCCGAGGCCTGTCGTGGCTCAATAGCCGTTTTGTTTTCCAGTTACCTTCCATGGTGCTCGGCTTTGAAACCGTTGTGATGCTTCAGCGAAGTCTAAGACAGCTTCCACTATCTTAGCTCTTGAAGCACTGTTATTCTTACCCCTTCCCTCGTCGCTAAGCTCCCCCAACAAGGTTGACATGCTGTTGAACGCCCCACCGACCTTCCCTCGGAGCTCTCGCCGTAGTTCTCTCAGCTCCGGACAGTCCAGCAGAACATGGGTTACACTCTCTCGTTCAACACAAGCACATAGGTCGTCATCGCGGAAGCGGAAGGTCTTCGCGTATGTTGACAGCCAGCAGTGTCCAGTTCGCAATTGCGTTAGTAAGTAAGCTCGGTTTCTAGGTAAGGATCCGTAGAGACGTCGCGTGTACTTGGCCGGCAATGTGCTGTCAAACTGTCGCAGGTGACTGCCGGTCTTCGACTCTTTCCATTCCTTTTCCCATTGATCTTGAATTTCCTTGCCTGACGCGCGCCCTCTCGCGTGATATTAGAAGGCTGAAAGGGTGTGTCTTGCCCGGTGTGGCTGCCTCTTTAGCTAGCCGGTCGGCAATGTCGTTTCCAGGTATTTCCCAGTGACCTGGTATCCACTGTAGTCGAATCGCTGTGCCATGGGTCTTGGTGTTCTTGGCTGCTTGGAGAATGGCGTGAATGATCTGTTGTCCCGATCTGTTTCCGGGGTTCTGAATCTCCTTGCATAGACCACTACCCCAGTTTTCCGCCCAGCAATGGAGGCTTCTGGTCTTTTGAGGTTCACCACGCCTCTCACCCTGGGTGTCTCTCAGTTTGCTCCTTAAGCATACATCACGGGCAGGCCAACTAGGACGGCACCGCTTCAACCGACCAAGGTCGGTCTCAGGCCCTCAGTGCGAGTGAGGTAGCTGACTCCCGGCTCTTTGTACACCGACACGCGCATCCGTCTTCTCGGGCTATACAGACAGCCTCTTGACAGGCCCCGACCCTGTTGCCGTGGCTGCCATTGTACACCACGCCCCGCGAGAGCTTCCACTCTCGTTTCACATTACCTGAGGCAGTCTCCCTCCGTCAGGCCGACCGTGTCTCGCAGAAAGTCCTCCATACGCTCCATCCGGCAGAGTACGTTGGTTGCTCTCCACTAACCAAGCTTGGTCCCCGATGTCTGAACAGGGCCGACGGGTTGCCCGTGGCAAAGCCTTAACGAGTTCCGCCGGTTGCCACCAGTCAAATATCAACATTTTCCAGAGTCTCCGTGTGTCTCCCAAGAGGATGCCCGTGTCTCAAAGAACAGCCGGCCTGGAGGGTGCCCGTGGCTGGGCCTTAACGAGGTCTCCGGCAAACGAGGTCTCCAGCAAACGAGGTCTCCAGCAAAAGAGGTCTCTGGGCCTTGAACGAGGATCCGATGCTAGCTTGACTACCTGTGTTACCGGTTCACTACCGCCTCGCCGCATCTCGCACGATGCGATCCCAAACCGTATGCAAGCTCAGGGGTGTCCTACCTTCTTTTAGGGCGACACCACTTTCACTAGTAATGCAAGATCAGCTGCTGGGCCCGAGTGCGAGTCGGGTAAAAGAAGTCGGGTGGTTTTCGTATCCCATTATCCCCTGATTTTGGTGTGGTTGTGCGATCGTGCCCCGCGCCTCCGCACCGGGCCAGACCACACAACCACGGCGGATTCACTTTGGTCTCCCCACCAGGGATTAACACCGGACACCACGAGAAGGTATGAATCCATTGTCCCAACAGCCTGGCGAGGACTGCTGCCCAGTGCGAGCTCACTGGATTCGGTACAGTACCAACAGATGAGAATAGAGTATCGCAGCTAAAGAGGAAAGGAAAGAAAAGGAAGGCCAGCCAGAAGAAAAGAGCTGAAGTATACAGCACGCAGGCAAACATCCCAGAAGCCCTCGAACCAGATACATACAGGCATCAATCCCGCAGAATGAAGTTATTCCCAGACATGAAAGTCTCAACCGTCACATCTGTCCAATTACCCTGGTATTGTATGGTAGTCGGGACAGACTCGCAAGGATAGTGTCGTAACACACTACATCTGGATAATACAGACTCCCTTCAACGAAAGTGCTAATTTTTCCAATAATCTCACCCTGTCAAAAATCTTCGGTACTAAACATCTCATCAAATCCTCACCTGGCATATATACTTTAGAAATTTAAAGAAGACATACACGCCCACATACTCCGGAAATTTCAATTCGATTAAATTTCAACGGCTCTATAGTTGAGAATCCTCTGCATCACCGGTTCGCCGTTCTAAATCACCACCCCAATGTTGCACACGAAGAAGGCCATCCACTGGGATGGGATACCACGCCCACATTCCCTCTATTCATTCGTGAAACCAACACTTATAACTCTGTGCATTAATTGAGATTGACGTCTAATTAACTTGGGAAATTTTGTTTAGGCTTTGGATGGAGAGACAGTTACACCTAAATTATTAACATAACAGCCAATAAAACAAGATCCCGGTTGATCCAAAAGCCTATTGGGATCTTGAGTGAAATCGTTGTCCCGTTCCAACTACGAGTCTCCGAAGCGCTGACAATGACGTTCAAAATAGCTGGTCATGTATCGTCTTTCCAAATCCAGATCTCCAGTGAGACTGATGATTTAGTAAGATAAACCAATTTGAACGTTCATTACTTTGCTCATAAAAAGACTTCTCTACATTCCAAGGTCGTTGATACCAATATTGTGACGCCGACTCCCGCTTACTTTATACACCGGTTATGCCTTGACTACACTTATCCGTGGAATGAATAGTTATAGCAATGTGAGACATTCCTTCTTGGTAGATAAGCCCTCAACTAAAATTTGGAGTTCCTACTAAAGCTCTACGGGCCATTTGATTCCAATTATGAGAACTTAGAATATCCAAGAATTGCTCTGCTTAGTCTTCGTTATCTTCATGATCAGGGTTTGTTAATCTATATATTTTGCCTAGTAACTACTTGTATAGCCTCTCTGAGATGATTTTACTTCTATTCCTCCCTCATGGCGACGGAGAGTGCCTATGAGCGCAGCGTATCCCCGGCTGAGTTTGTGGCAAGCCGGTACCAAACACTGGACCTCCGTCCAGAGGTGTTTTTATCTAAGAACAGTATTTTAGGATCGCCAAACACGATCGACACGGACAATCTCCCGCTTGGACAAAATGACAAGTCCCAATATGGTGACGACTGTGCGGCCAGGGATTCGGTTTGCCGCAGTCGCAATGAGGGAGACCGCTACGCCATGGAATCCCGATTCAGTGTCGAATATCTACATAATAGACCACCCTATGTGTTCCAAGTGCTTATGCACACCATAGTCAAGGAGTAAGAAGAGTATATGGTCACAATTCATTCATAGCTGACTTTTGTACAGCTTAGACACCCGTGCGAAGTGAGTTATTACCATGAGATCGGTGACATCTATTGACAACCTATTCTAAATGAAAGTTTAGAAGCATGGAGGAACAGTTCAAAAGGCAACAAAACTGGAACAAAGAATTACAGTGGGGTATCGATATTATTGCAGAGGGTTTGCCCAGGCTTCAGGCTTTAGAGGATACGATAACAGCCCTTGAAGCAAAACTTGATATATTAATGGAAAGTGGAGAGTGGGAAAAATAGGATGTCTAGTCAAAGTACAGTAACCCAGACCATTGGAGAGTGCAGTTACTTCTACATGAAAATTAGAATCCCAGAATTTCCTAGACAGTTCACAGTTTGAAACTGGGTCCTTCGTGGCCGCAGATCGAAGAATTCATCCTATACTGTACCGAAGAAACCGAGGCGCTGGCTTGCACGCTGGATATTAGATAAGCATAGAGACGTCCATGCTCGATGGAATCAAACACATAAAATCAAGTATGACGTTCCCATATAATCATCGGTGCAGATTTCATAATTCCAGTTACTTGAGTTCCACAACAACCCCGCTGTTGGAGTTGGATAAAGATATATTGTGTGCAGTGTGTATCAAACTGGTATATACATTGAGTGATTGTGAGACTCACAATACAAATGTTATCTTTCTGTCTCTATAATCATCATATTTATACCGCACGGATTTACTCCAGTTATTACTACGGGCATTGACTTAGAAGGTGTGAGCTCTTTTTACGTTTGAGATGGAATGAAATGCCCATGTTGTAAAATGGCATTCAAGTTTCAGGTGGAGATCCCCATCTTTACAAAAGTATCTTTCGTCACCTTAGTTTCTGTTCTCAGTGCCTTCAGTTCTGAAAGCTTTAAAAATTATCTCAAATCTGCTTGGATTACATGACGGGTCATCCATCTTCCGTCTCTTTCCGAATGTTACCTTCTATTAAACTAGGGCTTCATGTACAAAACGAGCTATCATGAATATGGCCCTATATCCCTATCACCAGTTGGCTTGGCTATCTACTAGCCCATCTCGGTTAGACCAACTTGCTACACATCCAGCTGTATACCTAGATTTCCTTTGTTAGACTAACTTACCAACAAAACACACATCTCTGTCCAGCACAATTGCATTACTGTCTTGGCCGGCTTGCTAGGACACCAACACATCAAAAGACTATCATTGGCTGCTGTAGACCTATTTAGAAACTCTGTCAACTCGTCGGCTAAGGTTCGTATACACCGTGTGTGAGTATTTCTGTATGACAAACTAGTGCACAAATGCAGGTAAAACTCAGTTATGGCTTCAGATCATACATGAGGGAGCTTTATCACGAAAGATTGAGGTTGACTCTGAACCTTCATCATTATGTCTTCTCTTCACTACTCCTGAACCATATTGCGGGGCGGGGAATAGTCTATCCGTAAAGACAACCACCGGCAGTGTCAAGTCTTATACTACAAAGATACACGCAGCAGACATACGAAATTGATGGCCTCAAACTGTTCTTTTTGTTACACACTTCACACCTCATTCGACAACATCGCAGTCTCTCTGCCTTCTATCTATAAGTAGACCCGAGTTTGCTGGTTTCAATCCAACAGCTCCCCTAAAGTTACGAGAAACACAGTATATTCGATGGATTCCAATCGTATGGATACATCGGAAGACGGATTCTCGACAGCAGGGGGAGGAAGGTCGCTTCGAGATACAAAAGCAAGGCAGAACCAGCAAGCGAAGCTGAATGACAAAAGAGAGCAATTAACAGAACTCGAAAAAGTCGAAGAGGGAGATCGCTCAGCTGCTGAACAGAGGAAGATTACTAAGCTTCGAAAGGAGCTTGGTAACGTAATTCACAAGCGAGTGGCCCACACAAGCGAGTGGCCCACCCTTCCCATTACAATATTTTGAAGGCGAATATATCAACAGAAATGCATTAATTAATATTAAACTAGCGATTTTTACATTGATTAATCTTATGCCCAATCGTTCCACATCCACTACACCTTGGCGGAGCCCTCCTGCGTGGCTGATCCTGCTGAGTAGGTAAATCGCCCTGCTCATGCGATACTACCTCATCAGCTTCTACTGGCTGAATTGGCTGCTGAGCCAGCTGTAGGCCCTCTTCGATCGATAGGCCCCCTTCGTGAGCGATCTGCCTAGTCGATCGAGTGCGCTTTTGACGTTTCTTTTCATTCGCTGCACGTAGATCGGCGTTCTCCTTCACTACTAGTGAAGTGTTATGCAGCGCAATTTCATAGCCCTTAAGAATCTGATCAACCACTAATTTCAACGGGCTTAGTGGGCTTTTTGACCGCTGATCTATTAGATCTCTCATCATTTTAGCCTGCTTTTGTAGCTGAACTACCGTTCTAGGCGTTTTCGGTGTGAATTGGCTAGATCTGCTGCTTGGTCGGCTTGATGGTGGTGAAGGCGTTCGAAGGGATATATTAAGCTTAGAAAGCACTCTTTCGGCATATACTGGTACGATACCAGTAGCTGCGAAGCTGCTTTGAACGATATTCGGCTGGAAAGCTTCTAGTCTTGCGCGAGGATAGTCTGCAAGAAAATCAAGCTTATCGATATAATTATAGCCAGTCCGCGCTAGATCGCTTACGAAGCGACCGTACGCGCGTTTAAGCACAGCAAAACACCCAACATCAAGCGGTTGTAGTAGATGCGACGAATACGAAGGCATACAGAGCGGTATAATATCGTTTTCAGCGCAGATTCGATCGAATTGAGGTGTTAGGTGGCTACTATGCCCGTCGAGGATCAATAGCCGAAATCGCCCTCGTACGCGCGAATTAGTGCATAGAATAAAGAGATTTTGTAGCCAGCGTAGGCCAATTTCATCAGTAGTCCAGCCGTTATTCGATACCTCAATACGCGAATTCGTAGGAAGATTTAACGATTCAAACCAACCAGCGATATAGACCTGGCCTTTGAATATAATACACGGCGGCAGCGAATAGCTATCAGCGCATATCGTTTCGATCGCAGTAACCCATTCGCGATTTCCTAGCTGTAGGATTGATCGCCGACCGTAGTATTCTGCTCGCGTTATAACCTTCTACGCTGATATAAGGCCCATTGCGAATCCAGTTTCATCGAAGTTATAGATATCCTCTAGTTGAATCCCGTTCTCCTCGATTACGCGTTGCACCGTCAAAAACCACTCTTTTATAGCCTTTGGATCCTCGTTAAGAGCGCGCTGATAATCATATCGTCTAGAGAAACGTGTTCGAAGCTCATCACGTCGTTTAACAAAGTTTGATACCCAATTAACACCAACGGTCGGAGGAGGGGTTGTTCCACGCGCTGCAAGGAGGATATTGGCCATTTCTCGTACAGTAGCAGGCCTAGGCGCTGCTCCACGCGCATCCATAGAGAAGATCCACTGAATAAGCGAGTCCTCTTCTAGTTGGGTCAATTTATGCGAATTTGCGCGTGTATCGACGCGTGAGATTGTTCCATTCGCCCGCCGCGATAGCGTTCTGGGGGGGATATCGTATAGCTTCGCGGCTGCACGAATAGATGCGATACGGCCATTTTTAATATCATTAAGGGCTAACAAGATCTTGCCCTCCTGATTGGCCGGTTTTTGAGAAGATTCAGTGCGAATTGGTGGCATAGTAGGTGGTTGAATTAGGTAGGTAGGTAGGAATGAGCGATTTCAGGTGGGGTGGGCCACTCGCTTGTGTGGGCCACTCGCTTGTGAATTACGTTATCGACGCGACCAACACGTCAGTGGATCCACAGAGTAAACCACAGTATCCAGAATCCGCTCCAGGCGACAATGAGGAGGGCAAATGTGAAAAGTTCGCCCAACCACCAGGGAGTGGTGATACACCTCCATCAGAAAAGGAAAGACTAGGCTTTGATAATCGAAAAGGGAAGGGTTCTGCTGGAAGCCCGTCAAACCAGACGATTCCAAAAGGATCACCCGAAATGACTGACGAGGGCGCTGTTGCTGTAGCATATTGCAGATGCAAATCCTTCGATAAATTACGGATAATTTACCGTTACGGACCACCTGGTCATTCAAAACATGAGTTTGGGCCATCCAAAGCACACACAAAAGATGAGATTGCGCGCCTTCCACTGATATCTTCGAAACACAAAACGATCTTCGACATCCAAGAAGCTGGCCGATGGCTATATGGCTTCCACAATATTAGAAAAGTGGTCAGTGTTGCGACTCTGACACCAAATCCTCGCCGAAAATGGAAGCCACGAATGACCAAAAAGGGCAAAGCCATTCATGTATTTCCTACGATACTTGTGGGGATTCTGTGGGATCAAATACAGCCAAGACACCAAGAAGAATTGCTTAAAGATGGAGAAAGCTTCATTTTCAGGGGGAAACTGATGGAAAGGCTCAACAAAAAAGACAAATTGTCTTTAGATGACTGGATTCGAAAAGCCGCCAACCACCAGGACCTATCTTACAAGAACTGGCTTAGGGAGAAGGGCGTTACCGATCGAGATAGGCCTCCCACATTTTTCCCTGGTGCTGATTGGGCCGATGCTCTTGTGAAAACAAAGGCTAAATCTCAATCTGTGCGAACGAAGCCCAATTCGAAGAACTCGGTTTTACGCAGCGAAGCAAATGGATCCCCAAGAGAGGAGAACCATCAATCTGGCAGAAAAAGACAAAGGTCAAATTCTGGAGCAAATTCGGAAAGCATGAAAAAGCCTCGCCCTGTTTCAGCGTCAACCGAGGAGTCAACCAAGACCATAGATTACAGGTCGTATCTCTCTTACAACATGAACCATTTCAAGCTCACCGACAAAATGCGCGACGAAGATCCCGAGGAATATCAGGAAATTCTGGATAAGATTGAGAAAGACTGGGACAACTATCGACGGATTATGATAAAACAAGGTTACACGGTCGCCCCAGGCGGAGAGAAACCCGAAGCTTAGGATGACCCAAACTTTTCTGTGCCACCCCGGACTCAGCGTTATCTGTTCAACTTTTGGGATATGATTTGGATAAATCACGGTTCCATTTCGAACTTGCTTAATGTCCTAACACGTCTGGTACATTGGATGCTTTGCGAGTTTCAATTTAAAACAACGATGGAGATATGTGTGGAGATCCTACATAAACTTACTGATGTTTGCCTGAGATTAGGTAATGTTGAGGATAGTGGGGTGTTAAAATACCGAAATAGTTTAGTTTCATTCTTGTGATTTCTTTATTTGTACTAGGGGATTCTCGACACTCTGAGAATCGGTGGTTTTCAACCCCCCTCTCCCCTAGTCAGGTAAGCAGGGACACCCTAACGTGTCCCTGCAGCATCCCGTCCTTTTCTTGTTTTCTTCAATTCAATTTCATCCTATCTTTTTGGATTGGTTCCCTTTGGTAGACTAGCCCCATTATTGCAGACAATGGCATACCGTATCAGCTTACCGTCACAGGTAAACTTATTGCCCTCAACTTTCTTCGCCGAGTAGGACTTTACGTTTTTGTACTCATCTACTGGTACGTCTGATACTCGTAAAGAGTTATCTACTTGCCATTATTAACGCCGACCAGTATCTCTATTTGGGAAAAAGATAACCGAAGACACATGACGGACTTTGCGTTTGAGTCGCACGTGTCGATCGTGTGTCTCCGTCATTTTGGGGCTAGCGTCATGCTCTTTCCATTTTTTTCATTGCTGATATTTATTTCTTTCTGTCATATATGGTCTGATTTGAGGTGCCCATAGTTAAGTAGCGACTATTGTAGATTGCGTGTAATCTTGGGTATCCGCTGGACTTTATGCACTTCGTGATGTAATTAATGCACTTAGGCTAGATGCAATAACCAACGATTCAATTCAAACCTAATCGTTCCATTCACATTTATTGCACCCTTCACGAACTGTCACTTCCCTTCGAAGCCGTCCGTGGTGCTCTATGAGGCTTAGCCAGCGCATTTCTTAGCAGTCTGCACGACACCAACTCATTCATTGCTGAAATTATGTTTAAAGTAATTATGGACGTTGGCGTATGGTTCTTTACAGGAATTCATCGCGGGTGCTTGAAAGAAGCGGTTAAATTACGATTAACTTATTTCATGCGGCAACCCTTATTCAAAGTAGATACTCCTCTCTGTTGAATAACGGAATCATCATTTTCAGACCTACTGTTGAACTGTTTGTTGTGACCGGCTGTGCCAAACCTGACAGCCAAAAGCCGGACAGTGTAGATGAAGAGTCAAGTTATCCCGATTGAGCAAAACTGGCTTCGAAGTAGAATACACAAATCTATCAAGAACTATACAGTTCATTACCAATGTTTGGAAGTTTTAAACAAAAGCTAGTCTTAATTCGTGTGCATAGGTTCATGTGCACTTCTGTCCTATCGCATAACATACTACCATGCGCACCGTGTAATACAAGTTTAATGACAACTAACGGCAACTCCACGATTTAGACGGAACGCTTCATATTCTCGATTCAGTTAGCTGGTAGATCACCAATGCTCGTTCTTGTGGAACTGATGACTCGCACGCGACGTGCGCACAAGATATATTCTACCATTTACGAAGGATAAAATACTATGGATACGATTTTTAAGGCGCCATTTAAGTCCACAGAGCAAAGAAACTGCTGCTAGGCTTTACCTCTCCTACCCCAATGGTACGCTTTCTTACTTCTAAATCCTTCTAAAGGCCCTCCTCAGCAATAGGAGCAGCAGTGGAAAATGGTCCTTGCCAATAATGAAAGGAAGAATCTCAGCTTACGTAATTGCTGGGTTGACAGTAGGTTAACGGAAGCTCATGTCGAAACACAGCCAGCCACTTTTTATCAAACTTGACGATATGCAATTGCAGCCGTCGAATCTTGCAAAAGAATTACACCCATTAAAGGTCATTCAGCAACTTGAACTAGGGAGATTAGTCGTAGCCTAGTGACTTCTGTATCCCAGTATGAGCTCCTGCTGATACTGTATGATTATTCTTGTTCCTCCATATCCCAAAAGATAATCCAACCGATGAGGCCATTTGGTATTGTTTGTTTCCACACTGAGACGTTTGTAATACGGGATAATAATAATGACTCACATAATTGGACCGTTTTGAAAACCGTTCAAAACGCAATTTTCGTAGGGGTTAGGACGGGAACCCTATGCATCGAAGCTATGTAAACAGGCGCATCTGGCATATTTAGCCCAGGCCCCAGCTTCTCAGTTTCGATTACCTTTCACTGCGCAAACTGTACTCTGTCAATTTGACGTCTGATGACGTAAATATGTTGGGACAAATCTTGAAATGCCTTCCTTTGGCCTTATCTACTGGCGCTTTGATTTGTTTGGCGATTGTGTTCTCTGGGTGCACATCTACTTCTTCTCCTAGTGATTTATATTTCATGAAGGTTCATATGTGCTATGAGAGAGCCGTAATTGAGAACAAGACTAAGCATTGATAGGTCAACTTGACTTCTTTCCCCGTCGTTGACTCCACTCATCTTCGCCGAGATATATCAGCAGGCAGTTTAAACTCAGCCGCAGTTACATCGGACATTACGAACACAGGGAGCAACATTGTGAGCTCTGCAGAGACTGGCGTCGCACAGGCTTCTGCAGTTGCTCAGACGGCAGCAAATGAGGTCAACGACTCTGTACAAGAGATAACCAATAATCTCAAATCTAATCTCCCTGGATACTACTCTGTAGGTCTGTTGGGATACTGTGAAGGTCATGATGATAAGGCTACGTACTGTTCAGATCCCAGCACCTCATTTTTCTTTAACATTACAAGTCTATTCCAGGAGGCTTCCCCTGGAGTCTCTAACCTGATCCCTGGCATTCAAAGGAAGGCTTTGGGAGGATACCAGTATATTTCTCGATGGTCAACCTCAGCCAATATTCTGGGACTCATATTCTCGTTTGCATCCGTTATTTTCGGGATCACTATTTTGACAATCTCATCGGGAAAGATATTCCTTGTCATCTCCAATCTGGTACGTTGATGCCCCCGGCAGAATTGGTGTGGATTTAACGATCATGTAGATGGCCACTATTTTCGTAACTGCTGCAACTATAAGTACCACAGTGATTTACGGCCTTATGACGGGCGCGATCAAAGCAGAACTGCACAATTTTGGTATTTTTGCAAGTTTAGGGGAGCGCACATTCACAGCAGCATGGCTGGGGGTGTTTTTCTCTTTTGGAGCTTTGCTGACGTGTATGATTGAGCTGTTTTGCTGTTGTATTTAGTTCACAGAACGACTAGGTATCTCGTAAGCTTTGGAGGACAATTGAAATTTTAAAGACGGCTGCATACGTCTGTATTTAATAGTATGTCAGGGTGCCATAGTGTACAGTGACTACGCAAAAAGATTTGGTGTAAGAGTTGGGAAGCACACTGCATTCCTATTGGGCGCCTAACTACTAATATAAAGATGACCATGTCAGAACACCCTGGCCCCACTTCACTGACCGCCTAAACTACGCCTTACCGCCTACTGAAAATTGAAAGTGCAATCCATAGTAAAATCCTTATACTGTAATACGATATGATTACAAATTTGATGAAAGAGGATTATTTTTTCTTTCGATAAGGCGGGTGTCCTGGCTCTATCAGGTAGTATTTCAGTCGATTTGGCTTCTCTCACCACCTGTCCTTATCTTCTCCCACCCGAGCTCCAGCTTCACACCACCAAAAAAACACCTACGAAATTGAAGAGCCTCAAATCCGCCCCCTTCAACTCGAGAATTGATTCGTGATATGGTCTTGAGCAGATCGCTTACCGTTTCCTAGACCACTGATGCCGCTGGATGCGGCCCGCGTTCTGTCACCACCATTCGCAATAACGAGCGGCAATTCGGTAATACTAGAACTCCTTTCATTCAGGCGAAGATCACATGTTTGTATTGATCACAACAGACTTCTATGAGCTTTGTATCAGATGTGAAAGAAGGTACGAGCTAGTCGGCACGAGCAGCTATACTGATGTGCGCTATGGACTTTTCCGCATCGAAAAAACAGAAACTATTTCACCTTGAACCAAAGATGTGGAGCGCTCGCGTAGGCGTGCTCGTTGCTTCTTCTTTTCGCTCATATGGAGCCTCCGCCTCATATCGTGAGGAATTGACATCATAGCTGCCAACTCAACGAGGCTTGCTGTTTGGGCTGCCTGTTCTCTCTGCACCTTCACCCAAAACATACTGTCTAGCTTAGAGAAGAAGTAAACTTCCCCATCCTTCAGACTCCAGGGTTGGGAGACCCGTGTGGGACACGTAACGGCGGTTTCAAGCAAATGAATGCTATTTTGATAAGCCGTTCGAGGTGCAATGCACCTGCACCTGATATCTACCGTCTCAAGGCATTCCATTGTGATGTATGCAAATGTCGCACAATCATGTGAGTCTGCAAGCATTCTGACCCAGGAGCTCTGTCCCTGAAGAGGAATTTGGAAGCAACGTGTAAGCCGAAAGGATTGTAACTAAGTATCTCCGACCATGCATAGGTGAGTCAGAAGCAGACCAGCCAAATAGAATTCATGTTTGGACATTTGGTCCATAGTCAGTGTGGCCCTGAGCCAATATTGGTCTGATTGGCTGGACTTTAAACACTCTTGATGTGGGGCCTCTTCCCATTTCATCAAGGGCTATAGCTCTCTTTAATTGGTTGAATTGCCCTTGGAGTGTAAGTTTTGTGAACGATTTTTGGATCTAAGACTTTGGCTGCTTAAGGAGGTGCAATCGGAGACATACATCTTACACTGAAGTTCAATCACTCCTTATGCCACTAAAGTCTGAGTACTCTCGCAACACTCACGTGATGATTGGGATCATTAGCTAACTTTATCTCTCGCTAATTTTGTTCTGATCCACAATTTAGGCGTGTCTCGACCATCAAAAGCAGAATAAACCAAAATACTAGGATATCACAGTTCATGATTTCCTGCCTCTTAGCTATCAGTGAATATGACGTGTCACCATCCCAGGGCCAGGCAATGCAGAAATACTTTTCCGTGGCGTCCAGTCCAGTATGGCGAAGAGAAAGGAGAATTTTCTGGACTGTGTTTAAGATTTGGGTTCGTGGTTGAGTCTCTAACCCCCCGAGCCAATTGTGAAATGCACCCAGTTCCATGGGTTCATCCCTCAATCTATGTTCAAGATCGAATTGAAGGCCGGGGTCAATGGTAAATTGTGATATTAAGTCTGCGACGAGTTTTCGCAGGGGAACTCTCCGAGCTACCCCAGTACAATAACTCACTTGGAGACCCCAATACTCGTCAAGGTATTGAATAAGGCCATGTTGCAAATTTGACAGGGCCACGTCTTTGACCGGAATGCCCTTTTGTTTATTCCAAGTCTCTGTCGCTTGACCCACGATGTACTGGCCACCCTGGAAGGCTACCTGCCGCTGTGATCGTTTCCACGAAGACCGGCTTGCTCCAAGATATTCCAACACACCTACAGATGCCATCCGACAGTCTGCTTCAGAAAGCCGGCACTCTGCATTTGGTATAACCGAGGCGCCAATCAGAAGTGACTGTGAAAGATCAATGGCTCTCATTTGTGCAGACGCTTCCAATTCTCCAGCCCAGTGGAACTTCCCACTTGTACTATTCGCAAAAATAAAACCATCTCCTATTTTGATGGCGACGGGAGGCCCTGCTGTGTCCTCGAGGTAGACTAAGTTTCCTGGTCCCCAAGTATCAAGTATATCCCCAGCGCGACCGAGTACATCGTAACTTGGGGTCGATTGCGGATACCCTGGGCAATCCAACAGTGAATCCTTCAATAGGCCTGGACTAGCATAGAACGTCAAAAATTGTCCCCGAGTCATGTTTCCAAGACATGAGAGGTTAACGAGCTTTGCCACCAGGCATGGGAATATTGTCTCTCCCACAAGCCCTAGCAAGGTGATCTTCCGTAAGGGCGTGTCAAGGAAGAACGGTTGAAGAGGTCCAACATGTGCTTGAGCGTACGATAGAAGGCCAAGGCAGAGGAATTGAGCTGCCAATGCACAAAACGCGAAGCAGCTTCCGACATCTTTATAGGTTGCTAACTCAGCTATCTGTGGCAATACGGGCTGCAAAATTGCCTTAGATGCAGCAAAAATCATATCGTCATGTTCACCGTCTCCAATATTGAGTGCTGCTTGCTTTAGAGTTTCAATGAGTTGAAAGTCGACAGGGACTACCTCAATGCAGGGCGTCTGAGTCGATTTGTCGAGGGGACAGAGCTTGAGTACTGTAAAAGAGTCGCAGCATAGACCGTTTTTCTGTAATAAGCTGACAGCAGAGCAGACTTGGCATAGTACCGACGATATTTGGGCCTTGAAGAGATAGCAACTTGCAACAGTGTTCCCTTCGCTAAACTCAGACGATCCAACCCAGTCTTTTATTGCTCGAGTCGAAGGGGTAATCCCAGCTAAGCCACAAAGCTCTTCGATTCTTTCGACCAGATCTTCGTTGTAAGCTGTTCTTGAATCTATCGGGGCTGCAAGAACATCTGATGCACGTATTGGCCCCGGCTGGTCATACAGACAACAATGATGAGAGCACCGAGGAAGGTGCTGGCCAGTTTGTATCACTGAGCTTGGAATATTCGAAGGTGTGAAAAATATCCATGGAGAATCTTTTTTTTTCTGACACAAGCTCAACAACCTCCAGAGGGCTATATCCAATAGACAACAGAGCTCGCATCCAAGAACTCCCATTGTCAGCTGCGGCCTCCCCTGTTTGAAGCAACAACTGATCAGTCAACTGGTATTCTGCACCTCTGCCCTGGGCCCGTGTGTTTGCTGTCGAGATGAAACCCTCGACCTCGAATGTGTCTGGATTTCTCCGTGAGAGGGGGAATTCGAAGGGTTCGGAATTTTCAATGAGTGTATCTGGATTGTTCCGTCGGCGCAAGATGCCTGTGGCTGTTTGGCTAGATTGGGTTGACTTTCGCGAGTAAGGACTTGGATATTCTTGTGCTGCAGAGCCATGTTGTAGGGTACCGAAACTGATTGGACTATTGTTCAAACCAACTTGGAAGCCATAGTTGTGGCCATCAAATGTGACATGTGTATGGCGATCCCCTTCCTGCAGAATATTGATGATCTTCGCCTCCTGCTCCACCTGCTGGGGGCCGATTCGATATAGAAGATCTTTAGCATACGCTGCTGCGGCCATTGCCGCATATCCCTGCCAGTTTTTGTTCTTGTGCGAATCGGCGTAGTCACAGATGCCACGGATTACAAGGCAAGGAAAGTGGTTCATAAGCCCGGCCGCTTCCATTTCAAAGCATAGAACGTCCTTTTGCGTCGCCAATTTGTCTCGAATCAAGGCATCTTTCATGAGCTGATTGGCTGATGCGACAAGGCCGTAATGAATAGCTGGATTATCATCGTCTTCAGTGCGTGGGCGTCGCGAAACTAGGCAAGATGGGCCATCCCCGCAATTCGAATCGCAAGCCGATCCACCATCTTGAGGGTGGACAATCTGACTTTGGTATAGCCGATCACTCTCTGGATCTGGGCGCCCATATTTTCTCCGCAACCGTGGTTTCGTCTCAAGGATCTTGCTGACCGCATCGTCAAGCTGATGGCCTTCGATCTCATATTGCGCCTTGAGTCCGTAGACTGCTGCACGAAGGACAGTAGGTGGTTGATCGAGAAACCCAGTGGGCTGAAAGCTTTGGCCCTGTATCGACTTGCCAAAGTCATACTGGAGAACACCGCCCTGGCCATTGCCAGGAATGCTGACCACAATATCTCCAAGACGGATATCATGTTTTGAGCTAGGCGCGCCGCTCCCAATGCCAACCATCAGGCCGAGGCGGATATTGGGGAAACTATGCATCATATCTTCCGCCACGCGTGCTGCCGAGGAGGTGCCATACTCTCCCATGGGCAGAACAGAGATGACCACGTTATGCCTCCCAATTCTGCCTAAGGTGTAGTCATTTTTGTTGTAATGCGGCAAATAAGCGGGACCATCATGTTTTTCATCGAGAAGCGCTTGGGAAGCGACGTATTCTGTGGTTATGGCGCAAATCCAACCCACAGTGTAGTCCTCAGGGATAGACATCGCGGAACGAGGAACCTTTGAATCGCCGACATACACGGGAAGGCTTGGATCGTGGTTGGCAGCTGGCAGGGGAAATGTTGGGGTTGTTTCCTAGTGCTCGATAGGCGGGATAATCGTTATTCAGCCTCCCCAGAGACTGATTAATTTGGTCTCCTCTGCAGTGCAGCGCATAGCGCCGTCAAGTCACCTGATGACGGGGCTGAGATGCCCCTCACTTGGTTACGTGGCCCGTTCCTATTACCATTCCTCAGAACGGACATAACACTCCATGTGCTGCTTTTATAATGATGTCGGTAACATTTCCTGGCGTGACTAGTGGGATTCAGGTTGGGGTTAATAACGGGCAGATTCATCTTCCCCCGGGTAGGTGTCAGGGCGCTGTTGGAACATGTGGAAGCCAATTGACTAATAGCTGTTCCCGTCGCAGAGCGACCGGAATCTCGCCCAGATACCCTGTCGACTGTGCCGTTTCGCACGACCCAGACTTTGTCAGTCGCGATGGACTCATTGTACAAATTCACGAGAAAGCCTCGATCACGGGGTCTAGAGTAGTTCTGGTCGGTCTCGGCGGCGTTGGGTAACGGCAGCACGCCCCAAGGGTGGTCCGTTCAATGCTGACTATGCAAGCAGGAAAACGCAACTTGTAATCGAATCCTGCCACCGGGTTCGACGACAATCGCCCGAGATATGGGTCTTCTAGATCCATGCGAGCAACGCGGCCCGCTGCGAGAAAAGTCTCCGCGACCTTGCCGACCGAACAAAGATTCCCGGGCGGCAGGACTACAGCGCCAACATTCTGCAGGCGATGGAGATTAGCAAGACCAAACTTGGCGAGGATCATCCCTCCACGCTAACGAGCATGGCCAACCTGGCGTCGACGTATTGGAAGCAGGGCCGATTGAAGCAAGCTGAGAAGGTCTTTGTGCAAGTTATGGAGATTTGCAAGACCAAACTTGGCGAGGACACCCCCCAACACGCTGACGACCATGGCCAATCTTGGTTTTATTTGGAAGTCTTCCGGCAAAGCTACGGATGCCATTAATTTGCTAAGAGATTGCTTAGCCAAGCAGAGAAACATCATCGGACCTAATCATCCTAATACAGTGTCCAATTTTGAAGCTTTGCTGAGATGGGAAACCGGAGAGCTGAACATTGATATAATACCATTAATTCTTCTAAAGACATTGTTCATTACTGAACATTATCTGCTGGGCGAAGGAAGCGTACTTGCGTGACGCGTAGTTAAACACCAGCCCTACAGCCCCTAATTACATCGCATTCTCCCGGTCGAAATATCCGTCCATGATTAGCCATGTAGCTATTCTGGAGTACTAATCATGCTATAAGCTTGCTTCCTTGCTTTAGGCTACTCCCTTTATGTTCGAATAGTTTTTGAAGCAGTGATCGAGAAACTTTATACCATGCCGTTGTTTGCAATTCGGTAGGCGGTAAAGCCGTGATACGGGCGGTGTGACTGTGGGTTCCGAGGTGTTGTGTCACTGTATCCCCTTGGCTGGCACGTGCAATTCTCTCTTCAAGTTTCTTTTGGACGTCTTTCAGGAGCATCTTCTTCGAATGGCTGAGCTTTAAAAGAAAAGAAACAAGAGATCGTACATGCGCCCTAGGGGCTCATATTTATGGCCCTGAGTCAAGTGAAAAAGGGAAGGTGGGTGGGTGACCTGGGTGACCTGGGTGAGCTGGGTGAGATTCCTCGCCCTATTTGTTGTGATATGTGATTGTCTGATTGACTCTTGTTGATTGACTTGAGGAGTAATCTATTACAGGGGCCAGATGCCTCATATATATCTGTTCCTAATCCCTGCCATAAGGTTCAGCCACCGTGATACTCAACACTCCCACTCGATGGCAACCACCGTCAAGAGTGCCAGCGACCATCCATCACGTTTGTGAAGGGCCCCGTTAAAACCTCCAAAAAACCCTTTAAAGGAAAAGAAGGAAAGGGTACCCATGCGACTTAGTTTCTGGCCGAGATCCGTCAATCGGGAGGTGTCACTCAATGCCAAGCCCTCTCCGAAACCATTCAAATCGTCCTCGCGCAAGAGGCTTCGTGAACCCATCGGCAATTTGCTCAGTAGTTGGAATGTATTTCAGCTCCACTGTTCCAAGGTCTTGGACCTCTCCTTGCCACTTGCGTTGGATTTCCATGTGCTTCGTGTGGGAATGGTATTGCGGGTTCGAGGACAGGGCGATGGCTCCTTGGTTGTCACCACAGATAATCGTTGCGGCTTTTCCTTGGCTCATGTTCAACTCATTGAGGAGTCTTCTCAACCAGATTGCTTCTTTGGTTGCTTGTGTCTGGCCAAGAAATTCAGCTTCACGGTCGAGAGGGCAACGACACTTTGACGCTTCGATTGCCAACTAATTGCTCCACTCCCGAGGTTGAAGAGATATCCAGCTGTTGACCGTCTGGTGTCGCGGCATCCACCCCAGTCTGCGTCTGTAAAGCCTTTCAGCATCTGGTGATGACCCTTGTACGTGAGCCTGAGGCTTTTCGTGCCGTTGAGATATCGCAGGATGCGTCGAGCGAGTTTCATGTGTTGTGGTCCAGGATTTGCCAGATACCTGCTCGCCACAGAGACGGCATACGCGACGTCCCCCCTGGTTCCAAGCCTAATATACATCAGAGATCCGACAAGGCGTTGGTAGGTGGTCCTTTGATCTGGAGGGCATCTGTAATCTGGATTATTCTCTGGAAGTGGCGAGGTTTCTATCGGTGTGCTGACGGGAGCGCTGTTGCTGATTCCGAACTGACGAGCGACCTTGTCAATATACGCTTCTTGACTTAGGTACAGTATCCTGTTTTGACGGTCTCGCTGGGCGGACATCCCGAGATAGTAGCTGCATGGTCCGAGATCTGTCATTTGAAAACGGTTTCTGAGGCTTCGCTTGATCTTCTTTATTTCCGCAATGCTTGGTCCCACGATCAGGAGGTCATCGACGTACACGGCGATGTACATGTTGCTCCGGACGAAGATCCCAAGATCAGCGCTGATTGGCTCGAAGCCAAGATTCCGTAGGAAATTTGTAAGTGTCTGATACCAGATCCGAGGAGCCTGCTTTAGGCCATAGAGTGCCTTTCGAAGTTTGCAGACCCTTGATGTACCGTCGGTCATGTGGTGCGGCTGTTCGACGTAGATCTCGTGGTCTATGTAGCCGTAAAGAAACGCCGTTTTGACATCCATTTGCTCGATCTCTAAATCCAGGGCCGCTGCGATTGCGAATAGAGCTTTATAGCTCATTGGCTTGACAACTGAGGCAAAAGTTTCGTCATAGTCAATACCCTCTTCTTGTGTAAAGCCTCTCACTACCCATCGACTTTTGTGACGGATGACTTCGCCATGCGGTCCTCGCTTGAGTTTGTAGACCCATTTTCCGCTGAGAATCCGGCGATCTTTGGGAGGATCAACAAGCTCCCACGTTTTGTTTTGGTTGAGTGAGTTCACTTCGTCAAGCATTGCTCTTTCCCATTCGAGCCAGCTTGCGTCGTTCTTTGCTTGTTGAAGAGTCTTTGGTTCAAAGGGTTCGGTTTCCTCTGCAGCCAACGTTAAGAACGTTGGGATGACATTCCCGTCAGGTATACTCATTAACGCAAGCTCTTCTTCGCTATCACTAAAAGTGTCTAGTGTGACCTGCGGAGCGCGAATTTTGAGTTCAGTGTGGTGTTCTAGTGCTTCTTGTCGCACTTCATGAACTGGGCGGTCAAGTTGGAGTTCTGGATATCGTTGCCATTCTCCTGAAACTAGACCTGGTTGAGCGTCGTCTTGTTGCTGGTCGCCGCCGGGTGGTGAGTCATTCCTTTGGATGATGTTTTGTAAATCATCTGCAAATGGTCCAAAGGTATCATCGCTCCGTGTGGGCGACAAGGTCCTGTCTCCCTGTACAGCAACAGGTGGCTGCGAGTCATCGTCACTCGATTGAGACGACGCTGGTGTCTGCGAGTCCTCGTCACTCGACTGGGTTAGCACTCGTGAGTTATCGTTACTCGATCGAGGCAGTATGTGCGAGATATTGTTCCTCGACTTAGGTAGGGCTCGCTCTGGCGGTGCCATCGACAATTGGCGCCCAGAGGCGGGCACGGATGCTTGCCGTATGCCTACCGACGGTTGATTTAATAGTCCCACCGTCTCACTCCCCCCTGCGGCAGCAGCCGTTGCCTCAGGTGAGCCGTCTCGTCTGGCTCCCACATCTTCTGTAGTCTGTGTGGAAGGAGCTGTAAGGACTTCGTGAAATTCAGCATTTGGGGTCCCAACGATTCTTCCGTCTTCCAGCAGGATACGGTAGTTGGTATTTCCCTCATAGCCTAGTAGAATGCATGGCCTGGTTCTTGGCTCTGTGAGCTTCTTCCTCTGCTTGGGTGGGATCAAGTATTCCCCTTTGGATCCGATCACTCTGAGTCGTGATAGGTCCGGCTTGTCGCCGTACCAAGCTTGATACGGAGTCATGTTGATCTTTGATGACGGCGACCGGTTGGAGAGGAAGGCTGCGGTTCGAGCAATTTCTGGCCAGAATTTTGGTGGTAGTCTCGCATGTGCTAGTGTAGGCGCAACCCGATCATAAATTGTCTTATGGGCTCTCTCGGCAACCCCATTCTGCTGGTGCTGATCAACGCCTGTGACCTCGGCATGGATTGCCCGTGAGAACAGTATGAACTTCATGTCTTCTCCCACTTGCTCAGGGATTCGGTCGAGGCGTATTCGTCTACATTTTCGTTCAGGGCGTTCGTTATGATAAAGAAAGAACCGAAGTGATTCCACAACAAATTCTTGTCGTCGTGGTATAGGGATAACCTCAATCCACGCCGTGAAGTCGTCGACGATGGTGAGCCAATAGCGACTGCCATCAAGACCCTCGTCAAATGGTCCTGCAACGTCAATATGGAGGAGTTCCATGGCATATTCCCTTCTTCTGCTCCGTCCTGACCGGTTGTGGGGCTTTTCAATCATTCGTCCCTGGAGGCATGGGTTGCATGGCTGACGGGGCTCCATATCCCGGATGCCGTGGGCCTGCTTCTTAAGCCGTTGTAGGTTCGCATCGCTCAGATGAGCCAGCCGGTTATGCCAAAGAGCTATTTGTGGACTGACATGGTAAGAGGGAAAAGTGAGATTCGTCCATAGATCAAGTGCATAGACTCCATGATATTGGCTGGCAGTGTATAGGTTCTTCCGTTTGACTTGTTGCGAATACTAGCACTTTGACTTGAGAATTCGACTTTTGCTCCTCGTTTGAGAAGCTGGAGCACCGATATGAGGTTTGCATGTGCAGATGGGACGTAGAGGACATTGTCAAGCACATGCCATTTCCTTCTGCCTCGCACATTGCACAGAACATTGACTGCCCCCACTCCCGAGGGAGTTGTGGAGGTATCGACGCTTCTCAGTGGTGGTCCATGGTACTTGTCCATCTTTACAAATCTCGAGGCGTTATTGCAGACGTGCTGAGCACATCCACTATCGACGATCCATGCGTCACGGATCGATAGGGTTTTTGTAGCCATCAATGTGGGGATGTGGTCGAATAAAGCGAAGTTGCCTTCAACGTCCTTTCCAAATGCTTTATTAACATCTTCTCCGGAGACCTTTGTCGCCATGAAGGTGGGCTTCTTTGGATCCCTTGGACCACCGACATCATCATCTTCGTCATCCGGGGAGGGCCGCCGCTTCAACGGCTTGCGTGCGCCTGTATGTGAATTGCCTGGCTTTGACTTGTGGCTCTTTCCGTCTTTCTTCTGATCCCTCGGTCTGGGGTTCTTGCTAAAGCACTCAGAGTCCACATGATAAGGTTTCCGACAGAGGGAGCAATATGGGACGTTATCGATCTCGATTCGACATGTCGTTCCGTCGGATGACGGTATGACTTTCTTATCACCTGGCCCTCGGATTATAGCGAGAGCAGGAAGTGCTTGCGCCTCTGTTGGTTGTTTGCTCAATTGCCCCTTCCTATGTTCTTCCTCAATTGCCTTGTTCTCGATATAGTCGAACGTGGGCGCCGCTTTTGTGATGTTACCATTGGCATCTCTTTCGTTAACAAGGTCCATTTGCCGAAATATATGATCACGGAAACTTTCATACTCAGGACCTAATGCGTGCACGAAAAAGAATGTTCGCTCAATCTCGGAGGTCACGCAGTCAGGGTCAAGGAGAAGTTTCTCGGCATGGATCTTCCTGATCTCGGCTCCGAGGGCTTGGGCGCTTCCACATTTCTCTCTTGTGAGGGACATGTACCGTCGCTGGAGGTTCACGTATGTGCCAGTGCCTTCTGGTTTGAAGTTGTCTTTAACTGCCTTTAGGAGTGCGTGGACTCGAGAGATCTCAAAAGCGTTGATCCTTTGTGCTGCATTGTGGGTCAGCTTTGCCGTGATCATCGCAGAGTAGAACTTTTGGCGATGAGTCCATAGCCGTGCTTCTTCTTCCTCTATTGGTGGAGTTGTTCCATCGTCGGCAACGGCGGATATCCGAATGAACTCATTGACCTTCTGATTCCACTTAAACCAGTCACTGGCATTATCGAGTATTGGAATGCTATTGTAGAATGCATTTAATCCAAACTGCTCAAATTTCGCGATGTTAGTCATGGTGTAGACGGACGCTCCTCTGAGCTGAAGAATTCTGCGCTGGAGATGTCGTCGGATAAACTGGGAATAACCGAGGAACCACGATCTGATGAGTTGAGGGAACGCGTTTCCAAGCCAAAGAGCTCTAGGCTTGATGCGACACTAGGCGGGCTCGAGACGACGGAAGGGCTACGGTCCGATGAGTCTGGCGTAGGTGTGTGAGACAACGGGACGTAGTCTCCGTCTGGCAGCCCGTGCAGGTTCAGGTGGTACCTGTACGACTTGGAGAAGTGAGGGAAACGGCGCCGGTCAACTAGATATCGCGGTTTCCTTTGTGGGAAGGTTGTAGGTCTGTTTGGCCGAAGGTTGTAGCGGTGTGTATTGCTGCTTTGGGCTACAGGTTCGTCTCCAGTAGCAGAATTTGGCGAGGGTAAGATCGAGGTCTCAGTGCTGCTTTCCGCCTGGGAGAATGGACAAGAAATAGGATGATGAAGATAGCTTGGTTCCTGTTCAAGGCCAGGACGCGTAGATTGAGCGTTGGGGGCACTGCGAGAGTCTCTTGTAGTATTGCGAGGGGTGGTAATTGGAGCAGCGACCTTTGATGCTCGGCGTACGCGGTCTTCAGTGGATAGGCGCCAGTAGGCTCCTAAGAGTGCACTTGGTGAAAGTGAGGGGAAATATGACTTCTGGATTTGTTTGAAGCCCCAGCGATGAAGGTATCGAAGGTGCGAAAGAAGGTTCAGCTCCTCGTCGGTCCACGTGTGTCTGCTTTGTCGTTTAGTGCTTCTTGGAGGTTGAGATGACCCTTTTTGAGATCGAGACGGTAACCGCGAGGAAGCAGTTCTTGAGCTCGCTGCAGAAGGCGACATTGTTTCATCTGCTCTTATGATTATGCAATAAGCTTGCGTCGAGGCCCACTAAATGAGGGGTTCAATTCCCTTCCATCTTGGTGTTGTTTCACTTGACGAATCACAGGGGGCGTCACTGTGATATCTCGTGACGATGTGATATCTGCGATAGTGATAGTGTGATAGTGTGATGATGGTGTGATGCCCGTGATTCTCTAGCAGAGGAAAGTCCATCCACTTCATCTCATCCAGAGAGTTTGAACTCTTGATTTCGATAGCCTTTCACCATGTTACTGAATCAATATGGTCAGATCCTTGAATTGATGAAGTTTTCACTTAATGGGGAAGCTTAGCTGTAGATGGCAGTCAAAAGACTGTCGGTTTGAATTTCTGCTGCCTAATCGCGCCCAAGGGTTGCGCCCCTCGGGCTCATAACCTGTTGTGATATGTGATTGTCTGATTGACTCTTGTTGATTGACTTGAGGAGTAATCTATTACAGGGGCCAGATGCCTCATATATATCTGTTCCTAATCCCTGCCATAAGGTTCAGCCACCGTGATACTCAACACTATTCTCACCCGCTCTCACCCCGTTCTCACCCAGTTCTCACCCAGTTCTCACCCATATCACCCACACTCCCCCCTAAGATCAAATCCAACGCCATTTTAGAGCTCAGGGCTCATTGAGAATTGACCGCGTACTATAATGGGCTTATGTGCGGCAGCTAGTTGGGTGGGTGCCGCCCGGGTGAGAAGTTGGTGAGCGCCGCTTTAGCGTCGCGCGACCGGGGTGAGATAGGGTGAGTGCGTATAGGCGGGGTGATAAGCTGGGTGAGAGCGGGTGAGAATCACCTTGGTCAGGCTGAAACAGTGCTCTTTTGGCACTTGCAGACTCCATTAAATCGCAACCCAGGATTGGCCAAATGAACGGCAAGGCTGACTTCAATGTCGCCCTAAGCCGAGTAGTACGTTCGCTGTCCAGACGCCAGAAACATCGTGGGGAGATCCACGCAATACTGTACTTCTTTTCAGATACTGTAATCGAGAGTGCACAATGAAATGTATCGAAGGTAATAATCAAGATTTTTCCGCTCCACATAAGTATATATACGTGGATTTGGTTGTTCAGTCTGCCATTATTCTCGATATAGATAGTAAAGGCAGCGCTATGTAAAAGCTACCGCAAATAACATATACCTCTCATTCCCTTACTCCTATTCTCTCCTCTTCAGAACCGCAACGACACACCACCGCTGCCTATTCTCAGGGTTCCCCTCCCTCCCGCCAGGGAACCCACTCCCGCCGAATTTCCCCGTCCTCCTCATCCCTCGAGACTAGATCCCTCTCGAAGATTCGCTCTATCTCAAACCCGTCCTCGAGTGCTGTCTCAAAGAAGGCCGCCACGATGGCCCGGCCTGTGTGGAACCCAGCTACACACCAAACTCTACCTCCTGGAGCAAGGAACCACTGCATCGTGAGGGTGAGATTTTTATGCTGCGAGGGTATCTAGTAGCAATCCGTAGTAATAATACGGGTAAAAGTTCCCATATAGGATTGGGAGAAGGGGTCGGTAATAGTTCCCTACTTAAGGGGCTGAATAGAGATAGCGGTCTATTGTGAGGTTTGACGTTAGAGGTTCTGCTTTAAATTAAACTCGATTGTACTAGTAAGAGCTGGTGAGGAAGGATGGTCTGTTGCGACGACTAGCGAGGTATTGGCGAGTGCGTAGATAAGGGAGGGCAGAGCGGCGCCTAAAAAGCGGATATTAGCGAGCTTATATATAGAGGATATATGGGGGTCAGATTTGCTGCGTAATTTCGCGCGTTATTATGGCGAAACCGCCAAGCCCTCAATACATCAACCATGGAATGGGGGTCAGATTCCTGTATTGACCTTGTAAAGGGTCTGTTTTTTACATTCTAACCCCCCTCCTCCTTCTGCTGGCAGAAAATCAAAAATCAATTGACTATAGAGTGGCTAACGAGCTTTTGAGAGAAGCTGAGAGAGCTAATAAAGCGAAAGCTTGCCTCTGCATCGTACAAGCTCTAGCTCCTCAACAGCTACATCCAGAGATAGGCCCTTACCATATCTAGCGTAGATCTCATCGATGATAGCCTTTCGGCGGCAAAACATAACCCTTTCGCGAGAGGAAGGCCGCCAGGTCGCACCATACGATCTCTCTAATGACTAGACAGATAGATTTGCGCCTAACCCACATATCCACTCTCTCCAGACCTCCGGCACAGTTTGGATCGTACGAGAGAGCGAGTAGAGAGATTAAGAGGGGGATAATAAAGAGGTCGGAGTATCGATCCCCTACAGGAGAATCTGCTGCTTATCTAGAAGAGGCTATAGAGATAATACCTCAGATAAACATGCTGCTAGCTAAGAAGAAGGTATGGGTAAGTCTAGTGTCCGCGTTCCAGTAATAGAGGCATCTATAGCTCGTACGGCGAAGGTAACGTGGCTAGAAAGGAGATTATAAAGCTAACGAGCAATCTTCCTAAGTTATTCATAAGCCTAATAGCCATAAAGATCAACCGCCTGATGTATATCCTTCTAGAGCACACTAAGGCGATCGGCAATAATTAGAAGCGTCTGCCGGAGCTGAATCTCCTAAGGAGTCTTCGTACAGAGAAGGGACTGCCGTATTTACTCTACAAATATAGTATAGTCTTCTCGTGCGAAAATCGGGTCCTCCCACATTAAATGCCCGGGGAATTGCGCCTGTAGGAGAACCGAGTCCTAGAGGAGGATTATCCGTAGTTAATTTAGTAGCTACAAGAAGCCTTGCGCCGCTATATCATCTCGGTCTTCCTATTCCTGAGTAGCGGCTCCGCCAGGTAGCTCATTTATAGGATCGTTAGACTAGAACTAGGCAAGCCACTAATCGATCTATAGCTAGAGAGCTCGTACGAGAGAATCTAGAGGTTCAATTTTTGCTCGCGGAAGGTAGTAATTCCTAATTACATCAGGCTAGAAACCAGCCATTAAACAAAGGAATTTACGCGGTAGATACGTTAGATAGCAGTTAGTTAATGCATCCTAATTCTATTAACTAGCACGGCGAATCTAGTTCTCTTCTACGCCTTCTAGCTCGGCTTATTTTAACCCTTAGGTACGGCTAGCATACATCTTCTTATCGGTAGAGAGATTTATTGCATTATAGACCTCATTAGCCCATTTTAGCTAGATCTCGTAAGAGATTAGCTTCTCTCGATCTAAGCCCTTAAAGAAGTAGAAATTGTACTACTATAGTCGGCTCCGAAACTGCGGTAGCGACTCTCCTACTATCTGCCAGCGATAAAAGAGATAAAAAGCTACCTAGCTTATTATATAAAGGAGTAGATCCTAATAGCGCATTACTCCTATATACTGCAGGCGACTAAACTAATTCGTCTTTCCGTTATTCATAATCATAATTATTAGCCAACAGGGGGTCGGGCCTTCGTTAGGCAAGGAGATAGTGAATAGATCAGGAAACTAGAGCTACCGGCGCGATTCTCCACGAAGGAGCATATTATAACTGAAAAGGAAATCCACAGCGGTACGAAGATAGTACTCCTAGGCCTAAGGCTTTCGATGCTTAAGGCCTTTTAACCTCCATCCTTGCCAACAGTATCGTACGAAGTCCTTAATCTTATCCTTAGAATATCCGTCCTGTAGAGTGCCTACAGCTCGGTCAAGATACTGCTCGCGCTTTCGCTCGCTTTCCTTATATAGTCGGCCAGTCATTAAGGCCGAAACAGCATATCCACGTGGGTTAGGGAAGCTATTCGTCCCAATACTTTTTTAGAACTTCCAGAGATCCACGATAGCATTGATATATTACGTGATAGAATTAGTCCCTAGAGTTTGTTCAACCTTTAATCTATCTAGCCGAGTGCGATCTTTCTTGTATTAACAGGACCGGAGGGGCCGATTTAGGACCTTAGTATCGAGGAAGTAGACAAGCTTCTTCTCTGTGACTAATTCACCGTCTAGGAAGCCCTGCTTTTTGCAGAAGGTCTATAGTATCTCTTAGCTTCTCGTACGATCTAGAGACGAAGGGGTAGAGTGTTCCTTTACCTGCCATTCCTTATGCTTATTAACATAAGCCCTTGATGTATTCTTAGGCCGCTAGCTTCGCATATAGTGTAGAGCCTTAATGCTATAGAGGTTCAACCGATCCTGGAGCTCAATCTGCGCTAGCTCCTGGGTCTGTAATAATAGAGAAGGAGGAGAGGTATAAGGAGTAGAAGGTGATAATAGAGCCATTTTTTATCAGGTTCGAAATAGTATTCTCTCTCTTAATAATAAGATACGTATAGGTAGTAGGAGTAATGACAAGATAGGAACGCGAACGCGGAATTCACACAGTAACCAGCTCCCCTTCTACACCACTCTTTCTACCGCCTACCCCTACCATCCCCCCTTGATTCATTAAGGCCCTCTATTCCATCATATCATCATTATCATTATTAAGAGCAGCGGGAATGTAAGGGTACTGTCATGGGCCCTTACGTACGAAGCCATCCCTGGCTTCAGGATTACTGCCAAGATTTCGCAGGCGCGATCTGCGGTCAGATATCTCGCGCGGGATGGGGGTCAAAGGGCCGGGTGCGGTCAGGATATCTCAGATATCCGGGGGGTCACGTGGGATTTCGCGAAATTTCGTGGGCGTCGATACATATATATATATATCGTAATAATTCGAAGAAATTACCAGCACCGAGTTCTAATACCGTTTCCTCATATACAGACCAAATCTCACGAGCCTCTTTCTGCGCGGCAGAGTCGTTCTCAGTAGCCTTTCGATCCGCATTCTTAACGCCTTCCGCCACAACCATTCCCGCATTCCATAGAAAGTGCGCAAATAGCTGTCTCGCCTCCTTATCCTGATTATCCCCCTCCTTCTTCTGTAGTCCGATCACGACCTCTTCTAACTTCCTTCTAGTTTAGCCTGGATAGGATGGAATCATAATCTCCAGCTCGCCATAGCGCGGAGACGAGTAGAGGAGGTTCTGGCCGGGATCACCATGGAACGAAGGCAAATCATCGGGAAAGAGATGAGGCAAAAAAAGCATTGAAGGTATCTTCTTGGAATTCTTCGACATCCGAGCTCCCGTCTGCATCGTGGAAGTCTGGTGCTGGGGCGGTAGTTGCCGTGGAATTGTGGCGAGGGGGCAGGACGTAGGCGCGAATGCAAATGCTGCATGGTATGCTCCGCTCGCCTTACGAAAGGTTCGTCTTTATCAATTTTCTTCTCCTTGTGCGTCGGAGCTTGCCCTTCTGCCTCGGATTCTACAGCAGTCCGCTCAATGGGAAGAGCAGCGATCCAGCTGATCACATTAGAGTCTGGGCTGTGAGGGCATTGCGGGCATTGACAACGGCTCCTTCATCTAAGAGGATTTGCATTTCCTCCTTGTGGCCTTGTTCAGAAGCTGTCTGGAGAGTCGTAGAGTGTTGGATCTGCTTCCACTCCGCTGATGCCTCAGACCGGGCAATTCGACCTTGCAACTCAGTCGGAAGGTCAGCTAGGTCTCGCCCATACTAATTTCCATCGGCATCTGAAAGATCGCTGCCCGTAGGGGCAGTTATGCTAACATCGTCTCCCTCCGTAGAAATCGGATAATCTATGCTGACCATAAGGGGGAGGGAAACAAGCATAAGGTGGTATAAATGCTCAGCAATGTGCTCGCCCATTGCCCACGTTGTGGCTTTCCTTTCATCATCTATAGGATCCGGCATGAGTTTGACGCGTTTGTGCGACCGCTGCGGTGAACCGACTCGATGTTTACGATGTGACGAGGGTGCTATGAGCTTAGATTCTGAGCTCCTTGAATCATTTTCTTCGACTTTAAAGAAGCAAAGAGGACACGTTGATGCTAGACGTTGACAATTTTGTAGGGTCGTGGTCAAGCGCAGTTCGTCGTGGTGTAGAGAATTGTGTGCATAGGGCTCTTCACTGGTTGAGAACTGGTAGATGGATTCGTTCTCATGTTCAACGCTGCATTTCCATACTGGTTCCCTGTGGATATCTTGCGCCAAGTACTCGGAGTGCGTTGATACCATGTGCCCATACCATTCTTTAGACGACGAGAAGGTTGGCCTAGACTCGCGACAACCCTCAGCAATGCAGACATAAAGCAGAAGATCTTGCATGTAGTGTCGTCTTTCTGATTGTTAGGATCGGGCAAAAGATAAATTTCACAGAAGCAACAGGTTTCGGGAATGTAACTTGCCGTTCTTCAGCTGTCCATTTAGTATATCCGTCCTCTGCTGTTCTCACGAACGACTTTTCGATCATCTGAAAGCACCACTGGCATGGTGTGTACTACTCCTCTCCGAATCTAGGACGAGTCGGCTCCCTAAGCGAGGTTTCGTGCACTGTTAAAGTCTTGGTTGCCTTTGACTGAGTAGTGGAATGCTCAACATTTGGAGGCAGATATTTCGAGTTGATTGAAGACGCTGTGAAATCGACCTTAATCTCTCTACTTACCCCAGCCTCGGTTTGTTCGGTCATGACTAGGCCTTGAGGTTGTCGTTGCAGGTTCCAGTAATGCACTCTTTTGGGGCCGATTACAACCTGCTCCTGATTCGACAACTTTTGCGATAGGGTCCGTAGGTGATTTAATGTGTTTGTTTCGATAGAACTCATATTTGAGACTTGCATATCTATCTGTGAGTGCGTCGGCCAGCTGCTGGCGAAGGCTTTCAAGGGCACTAGGGTAGAGAAGGAAGAGCATCAAATAGGCCTTTTCTTCAAACTCGCTCAGTGGAACAATACCTGGATTTCTCGCGATAAACTGTCTAGCTCTCACGACGGGAATCGACTTCGTTGAAGATCTGATGCTGATGCCAAGTTTATTCAGACGGGTTATGCACTCCCCGATAGTAGTAAAAGCGTTATAGAAGTTCCGAGGAAGCGGGTCGATCATTGGCGAGTCACCCTCACTATCCACTGTTTCGGTCACTGCCAGTGACATTTGAAGACCTCTCGGGAGCTTACCTGTGCTGACTAGATTGTGTTAGATGTGCCTTTACCATAAGTCTAACACATACGTACCTAGGAAGAGGTTTCTCCGCAAAACCTCCAGAAAGCGGATAAAAATGTCTTGCAGTTCTGGCCGATCTCGTACTCGGTAGTCAAGGCATGCTTGAGGACCGGCAAATACTCCCATAAAAGTTGCCCAGCCGTCGAAGCGACCATAACACTCCTCGATGGATTTAGATATTTCAAGCAGGGGGGAATAATTTTCAATCTTGCCGAATCGATTCAAGCACTTGTCGAAGAGCCTGTCATAGTCAAGAGCCATAAGGCGAATCGGTTGCGCCTTCGGCTGAGTGTCAAGATCCATGTTTGCTCTAGCTCTTAGATTGCTATACTTAAGGTCAGATATGGCATTCAAGGTGCCATGCTTTTGAGCCAGCGTTCTGCGGGATAGGATACCGTCACGTGGTGACGCGAGTTTCCAACCTCCTCCCTGGTCCTCAGAAATACTCGGACACTACAGAGTGACCGAACAACTTTGTCAAGGAGAAAGGTGCCAAACATGAATGTAGATTGGGAACGACTCAAATTGCTTCGTTCGCATGCCAACCGACTTCAGAAGAATGTGGGATATGTCGGGTTGGACGAAACCGAAGTGCAATGTACAAAGTCCGGGATCGATCACGACCATCTCATGTTCCTGGAGAACAGCCTGCGAGTAATCATGCAAAGACAAGAGGTAGATGCGTTACTGAACGAAAGTCCGGACTTCTTTACAACCGACTACACTCAAAGACTGGAGAGACTGTGCGACTTCTTGGATCATTCGGTCAACGTGGCACTTCTCCAAAAGCACGAGCCACTCGGCTCTCCCCAAGTTTATGGGAGGCAAAATCTTGATGCTCTCCTTAATATTTTGTCACGCACCGATTGGCGATTCGTCATGGTGACCGGCCCATAACCAAGATTATTCGTCCCGCAGTCGTTAGAAGACGGTAAGAACCATGTCGATGCCTTTAACTCATCCGCAAGAATTTCCAGGACGGACTATAAACTATAAATCTTAATCGGTTTTCTAGTAATATTGGGAGCGTGTCTAAGGAAAGGACTTGGATAACAAGGTGATGGTTCTATGGGCGAGATTTGTTAATCTCCATAATCAGTATGATTCTTGCCCGACGTACAGTAATTGATTAGAAACGCATCCAGGTTTTCCTAAGGGCTTCAGCTGCATCGACTCTACGAAGCACCTCCTCACGTCAAGAACAAGGTAGATATTCGGCCTCAAGTGGACTGGACAGAATTATAGGAACGACCGTAGCTTTTCTAGGTCATTCTGCTTGCATAAGTCGAAGTAGATGATATTGTTACGCTCAGGCACGAGGTAGATATCAATCATCAAGTGGCAGCATTCACGAAGTAACTAAGCATGAGAGAGAGAGGAAGAAGGAAGAAGGAGAGATGGCGAGAGAGCTATCTAAATAGTAAATTGATGCCTTAGGTACCAGGCATCAACATCAGGCACCAAACACATAGCAAACATGTTGAATCGTAACCGATATAGCATGATTCGTCAAAATTAAAACAAAGTACTGATTAGCAAAGACGATTTCTAGCGATTACACAGCGTCCTAGGACTTCACATTCTTATATCCACCGAGGTGCGGGGTCGGCGGTGCCGGAGTCGATACCAAAGAAGTATGCACGTTGCATTCGACGACGGTGAGTTTTATCTTCCAGGGTCGTTGTGTACAATGCGATAGCCTTTTCTTTTTCCTCAAATGTAAGACAATGAAAACCCCGACGCCTCGCGCAACAGTCGCACTCCATAGTACAGTGGCCTGCTGCTCGCCGTCTTTCTGTAGCCTGCACACGTTTTTCGCAGCACCCACAGTCACTGCCACAACACCCTCCGTTCCCAGCGCAGTCGTTGACGAGTTCGGGATGGAGATACCATTTTGGATTAGATCGCCACAAATTGTATGCTCTGAGGAAAGCACCCTTTGGAAGCAAAGCTTCGTTCTTGTATAACTCCCGTTCAATATACCAATATGCCCTAGGCGGGACTTCCAGTACTTCAAGCCGGTCAGGAATATACCCCTCCGCTTGCTGAATACTTGCTCTCACTGCCAACGATTGATTTTGATCCGTCATGTGTTCCTTCAGCCGTGCATCCTCCCGAAGAAGCTGATACTTTTCCTTTAACTGTACCCACTGTCGAAGAAGGTGTTCTAGGCGCATGATCTCCATGAAAAGTTCCTCCAGCTCATCAGTTTTGAGACGCTCCTTCGTGATGTAAAGACTGGAAGTATACAAGCGGAAATGTTGTATTGAACGAAAACTTCCATGCCGTGTTAGCAGGGTATCCACCCAGTCACATAATGGAATCAGAAGTGAGCCTCGCATTCTGCGCAACTGGGCGAGGAGACTTGGAGGCAAAGTAGCACTCAAGCGCGTTTTGACGGATACGTGTGGTGCGATGGACGGATGTGGAGGAATTGGGACACAGAAGATATCGGGAAGTTGTCACAGATAGCAAATACTCTTGAGAGGGATATACAGAGGTTGGGCCGCCTCTAAAAAGAGTTCGGGATTTCTTTACATGGCAGGATGCTTCCTGTTAAAGTAAAGTAAGATTGGCCCTGACTCAGGTCCATGACGGCTTGGTTCCATCACAGTCGTGACCGATCGGGAAAAGTACCAGGGGTATTGAATCATTTAGCCAATACTTTTGATTTGGTCCGATTTTCGCATATCCTGGGTAACTTTTGAGTTTAGCGCTCCTCGCTTTGAAGATACCCAGGCGTTCTGAGGCTTCATTTCTTCCTAATCAGGCTCGTCTCGAATACAGTACTGTATGGGCCTCCTAGCCTTCTTCTCTCCTCCTTCGTTAATTCTTTCTGAAACTTCTTTCTTTGAAGTAGGCTTAGATTCCCCGGCCGGGGCTAGAAGGGGATTTCTTCATATTTGATCGCTCTCCAATTAGTCAACACCTGTTAAACTGTGGAGTTGACGCTTCCCACTAATAGAAGGCCTGAGTGTTTAGGCCACTGAGGAACCCTTACTCCGTACATACAGATACAGGCCGCTCCCCGGCCTCGGGGAACATTCTGCCGTAATAATAATTCTCCCCGAAACCATACCTGCCAATTTCAAAAGTTGGCCGCTGCCGGCCGCCTGGCTACCGTTAAATTGTTTGTTTGGCTCGTGTCGTCCGCCTTGCTTGTATTTAAGGAAGGATGTTGCGGTCATGGGGGAAGATCAACTTCTAGAGAGAGTTTGATGAAAAAGTTAAGCGTCTTGGTCTGACGGTCCATTTGTAGTCAATTTTCTCGCTCTACCGTCACAATTTCCGCTGGAGCTATACAAGAAGAGTATACCATGGCAATGCTTCATGCCACAACGATGGGGACTTATAATTGGGTTGACCCTGATCAAGGTTTCGCAGATTGAGAGAGTTTAAGTCTTGATTCATCCCTGTAGACCACATGCAAGATCTCGATTATCACATCTTCTAATGATCTCTTTTCGCGCTGGAAGCATGCCGCACTCGGTACTTTCTAGTATGAACCTTCCACCTTCCGGGTCGATGGTTCCTGCATCTATAATGGCACTCGGTCCCACAGAGTGATAATTCAAGCGGAATAGCTCCTTCCTGCCCGTATAGTAAACAATTGACTGTCAACAAATGGCTCTCATGCCCACTCCTTGTGCTGTAGTCCCATTTTTACATCAACAACCATCTTCAACCCCCGCCATACACTCATTTTTCAACTTTCATCTCTTCAATCCTTGCCTCCTCGGCCGATTGGTGCCATCAGTATGGACCATAGAGTCGTCATCTCGATCCTTTTGCCCATTTTGGCGTTTTCTGGCGTTTTCTTGTGGTTTTGTCGGTTTGTAGCCCCCATTCGTCTACTCCTCTCCCGATCCTGGGGCGAATGGGAAGCCGTACAATGAAGACTTTTGCTTACATGACTCTTTGTAGCTCTGCGGTTGCTGGCGTTTACAGTCGTTTGCGCAATTCTTCAGTTAATGAAGATCTACGTTCTTTTTGGGTACTCGCTACCCTTGGCGAAAGTAAGATATCTTTTCCTACAAGAATATATTTCAAATCAGCTGAGACTCTTTGATCTTCGAGTGTTGAGCCGCTGCTGCTGTCCCTCGCGCGGTACTCAGATACCGGAGCTGACGGTATTCCACTACGCCAGCGACCTAGAGATGGGTCCCGTCGTCGCCCCTTCGTTGGCCCCCGCCGACCAGCAGGCCGCCTCTGTGACGCCTGCGAAGTCAGCCGAGAAAGCGAAGAGAGGAGGGTGGATTGGTGAGGCTGGTTTCTGGCAGAAAATCCGGTCATTTTCAATCTCGAGCACTCCAGCTGAAGCAACCGCTGAAGCAACCGTGGCCGAATCAAGCACAGCATCGACGAATCCTCCGGATGAACTGACTCCGCACTCTGCGGTAGAGGAGAGACCGGTTTCTCCGAAAAGCTTGCAGGACAGAGTCCGCGTGACTCTGATCCCCGCCTCTGGCAATTCGGGCTCGTTCCCAATTCGCCTTATCGAGATGCGCACTGCGCTCGAAGGCAAGCCGACCGATGTGGAACACGCCATTGGGGCGTCCACAGACAATGGGGATGAGAGGCAGCAAGTTGGGCAAGGAGGATGGAAGAGGGTGCTTGGACCCATCCTAAGGGCAATTGGTATCGGTGCTCTGGCCATGTAGCACAGCAGAGCCTTATGTCATTCTTTTGTTTATAGATAGATGTCCCTCTTTTTCTGGCTGGGATGAAGTTTGTGTTTCTTCATTCGCTGGAGAATCCCTTTCTTTGGTGGGATTCTTCTCTGTTTTTGCTTCGGCTTGGAGGTGTCTCTCTTTTTGTGCGGTGTTCACCCATGTCTCCCTGCCTTTTCTTGTCGTTCTTTTTCTACTTTTTTTTTCTTGCAATTCTACTTTCTTTTTTGCCTGAGACTATGCTAAGTAACGTAGAAACTAGTTCCATTTTACGAATGGGTTGGAGCTTAGTGCTTAAGGTAATAGGTGATGGATGGGATTTGGATTTTGTTTCAGCAGCAGGGACTGTAGCCATTTATTTCTATTGACTTTATTTTATATAAAATATAACAATCTGTGAATGAATCTTGGAAGAGCGAAGAGCAATTTTAATTGAGGGTTGGCTAAACGATGAAGGTTGTTTCAGTGTTCATGGGTCATGTTGATGATCATTATTCTGCATTCATTACCTGGGGATCTTTGAGAAATATCGAACTTTTAGCTAAAGCCAGATGTCCCTGGGGCAGCGATGTCGGACCCTCTCAGGATTTGGTTAGCTATGTCATTGCCAAGTCTAACGGCATATTTCTCTGGCCTTCCCTGACGGCGGCTAAGCTGGAAGATGCATATAGCGTTGAGCATAAGCAATATGTTCTCCATCATATGCCCCTCGAGATGTCATATGCCCCTCGAGATGTGCATGTTTTACTCCCGCATCATCCCCCAGATTGCCAAGTCGCCGAGCTCTGAACTTGCAAAATGTATCCTCAAATGAACAATCTGCTCACCCAACCCACTCCACGTCGAAGAGCTCGCAGAGGCCGTCAGGCTAGACATTGGTTGCACATTAACGGCGTCGGCAAAACAGCTTGAGACATTGACTGGGCATCCCCTGTTTGTAGATAACGGCACCCGGATCTACATTGCGCACCAGACGGCATTAGCATTTCTGATCTAGCGGAGGGCTGTCTTCTGGATTGATCGCACAAAAGCGGTTTCTGAAATTGCGGAAGTCTGTCTTAATGTTCTGTGCTCCCCTGACTTTGCTCCGCCCGATGCTAGTACTGGCAGTCTGGAGAACCTTTAGCTCACGGCACAATGGTTGAAGGCATACCTAGGTCGACGAGCAAAATTTGAGCCACTAGTCAGCATGAAAATACAGACTTTCGCTGTATGTGCTGCCGATATGTACCGGATATCTGCGGCTTTTATTCTAGCTTACTTAGGTCGCTGTTCTCTACATAATTTCTTATCCCTCATTTTTGCCTATCAAAGTTAACTATTCGGCGGCTTTTTGCTAAGCCAACCTGTCGACTGAAGATTATGGGCTAGATAGAAGACAACCAGCTTCATGCTTATAGCATTTCATTTTTGGCTGACAATCTTAGACTGTCTGATATTCGGGGACAGTGCTGTAATATATGGCAGCCCTTCTTCTTTGTGCCGAGGAATAGGTTGGATGATAGTTTATCTGAGCCTTATAGCTCTAGAGGAACCAGCCTCTTATCCACATGTTTTCCAGTCGGGAGAAGCAATTTCTTACCCGTGGGACGGCAGGATGGCAGTATCGATATATGCGAGTTAAGCTCGGGCGACTTCATTGATAACTTATGCTGCATGACGCATTCACTGAAATCGAGTTCATAGGCTGGAACGGGATAAACAGCTGTATGCTTAGTTTAGATATCACTAGCCGCTGTGTTGTTACGGGATTGTCGTCTACCCGAAAAGGCACTAGGGTGCGAAGCAATTGTTTACTGGATCGCCGCGAAAGGGCATCTGTACGACAGGCATTGATCGACCCAAGTGCCGAAATAATACTTTTTTGCACCGAGTCGGGCGTTAAAATCTTGCATCCTAGGGAGCTGGTGGGCGAGACACCCGTCCAACAACCATCATCTCATCACTATTTGTGTGAGTAGACTCTATCTCTTCGAATGGTGTTCTCTAAAGAGCGTCTTGTAGACGGATGGAGTCAGTCTTATCCCACCGGAGCCCGGCATGCAGAAAGCAAGCCGCCTGTGGGTGGGCGGTTCCAGTTTAAGCTCTCTAGTTCAGGGAGTCCTCGGTTCGAAGCCCCGAATAGGCCACCTTGTCGCGTTAGAAACGTCGAATATCACCGCCGAAACCACACGAGAGCCACTCCAGGTGCTCGTATACGACTCGTTAAATATACATTGTCTGCTGGGCTGCTTGAGGTCCAGCCTGTACTTGCTCGACACGAGTGGGTGGGTCTGCTCGATTACGCTGAAAAACCGGAGCAAGGTCACTTAGTACACGCGCCACTTCTTCATCCCGCATGACTGGCCCACTAGAGCTGATGTGATCAAGATCATCTCTAAAGCGGCAGTGTTAATTAGGCGAGGGGAGTGGCTAATTATCTTCCAAGGGTTCCTAGAATTAGACGAGCAGGTAACGCTTTAGTTTCATTCGAATGGAAATCTCGGAAAAACATTACGGAGGGGTGCTGGATTGGTCTTTATGCAGAGAAGTCTTTGTATTAATTGATCACAGAGTGTGTATCATCGGAGTAGCCATCATAGTCGGAGTACAGTATTCGCCGAGCTGCAGTTATCAGTCAACTATGGACGCCTGGACTGCCATCTTCCCTACTAATTCCGCAATGCTGCCATCTAGTATACAATGTAGCCAATAGTATCCATCTTATAAACTACTAATTTTGTACTCGTTAGTCGGGCTTTGTACATCACCTGACCTGGGAGTGGTTTCTTTCAGAAGTAGTTGCTTGTCCCCCCTCGTGGGGCTTCGTTTCTTAACCTAACCCCAGGCCTAGCCGATAGCCAATATGACGATTGCCATTTGCATATTCGCACTGACAGTCTGGAAGCAAGCTTATATAATTTGATTGATCGACTCTTAAATAACCCAGTACAATGGCTCCCGCGGGTACTACTGTACCAGATGCATCCAGCAATGTGGGCGTTGTGGAGGTTGGTCCACCCACTCAGCCAGTGCAGGAAGCAAACGAACCCGCTACTAACGAGAAACACGACATAGAGGCCGAACCGCCCTTTTCAATATATACGAAATCGGAATAGAAGTGGATCAGCTTCGTTGCGGGATTTGGCGCCATATTCTCGACGCTTAGTAGCTACATCTATTTCTCACCCCGTTCTCATCTCTATCACCCTAGTCTCCAAACTTCTCACCCATATCACCCACACTCACCCTAAGATCAAATCCGGCGCCATTTTAGAGCGCAGGGCACATTAAGAATTGACTGCGTACTATAATAGGCTTAAGTACGGCTGAGCGGACGGGAAGCCCTGTTCTCCACACCCTATGGTCGTATGTGCTCGATAACTCATTGAATTGAATTCTATAGCACTTGTGTTCTGTCACAGAATAATAATCATGCGCCATAATGGACATACTGCGCCCATCGTAACGGCAACCTTCGATATTCACTACTCGTTGCAACCGCTGAAACTGCCTTGTGAAATGCCATTGCGACATCTCTATCAGTATATTCCAGCGTACCCGTCCGGCAAAGCTCAGAATAGAATGACCTTCCACACAAACACTATCATTAGACGGGCACAATGTCCCAATAACATGTCTGAAGCCCGCGACCTGGAACCCACTCACAACGTGGAGCAACTCGTCCATTAAATGATTCGCTCGGTTCTCCGCGGTCGAGCAAGCAGAGAGATATGCAATGTTCCCATGCAAAAGAGAGCTCCCGTATAGCCTGAGAACGCTGAGATTGTCCTGTTCCGAATCTTTAGTGGCACTTTGTAGTAAAAGGCCACTTTGAGAGGGATCCGGCTCATGTGAAATTCCATGGCAGGCAAAATGGGCGATATGGCATTCTCTGATCTGGCTCATAGCGCTTGTAGAGTCTGGCCTATGCAGAAACTCGATTTGGGCGGATGTTCCAACTGCTTTCATGATTGTAGACTTCTCGGTATCTACCCCGGGCAAGTCACAGGCGCCAGGTGTACTGGACATGGTAACCAGAAGTAGCCTTCGAGGGCTCGAAGAAGAAGGAACAGAAACCCGCTCTCGAGTATGTAGCAGTGCCTTAATCGAAGGTGTGTTGGAAGATAAAATGCGATTGAATGTGTTTTCCCTTGTAGACGTATCGCATGCAGCATGGAACGGAAAAGAGCTACACAGTCCAGTTCCAATCCACCAGACTCTGGGGAGGTCTTCCAGGGATCGAACATGATAATCAAGCTCAGTGAGGATAGGTTTTACGACATCGCGCCAGAGCCAGGCTAGAAATCCACGGTATGCTGGGGTCTTCACGCCAGGTGGGCCAGGCGAAGTCAAATCCTTATTGATCTAGTCCTGCGCCAGCAAGGCAACACATCGATAAAGAGGGATTAGGCGAATTCCACTTGGCGTGACAACGATAGCATCACTTCTTATGTCGGTGATATTCACGATGATATTGTTACCTTCCTTGGAAGCATCTTTCATTTGTTGCTCTGTGAGAGGCTGTTGGAAGGAGGCAAATCCTGGAAGACAACTTATTTCCTGTATGCATTTATTGAGCTCCTCGAGAGCCTTTGGCCGCCTTACGGAAATAGGTTCACGCCTATCCGTGCTTTCGGCGCTGAGTCTGCTGACAGGCGTATTCACCTCGAGTCGAAGGGTCTCATACCGTGCAAATCAGGCGGGATGGGCCTCTTTTAGCTTGGATGTGTCACTCCGATCGTCTATAAGGATGCTGAGGATAACACCACGTCCACTCTCCAATGAAGCCACGGCTTTGAAGGTAGACTGGCCAGCTTCAAGACTAAGAGAGCAGGCTTGTGTTGCTAAGCCGGATATGTGCGAGACGACAAATTGTTGATCCTGTAGGGTTAAAGATTGGTTATGGATGACCTGCAGGAGACCAATAGCTTCAATAGCTAAAGCATAGCCGGCTTGAAAGTCTCCTCGCTTGATTAACAAGCCAACGGCCACAGTAGACGCCCTGATTCGGACCAAAGGAGTCGCTGGTTCCGCCTTAGTAGCCTCGGTAGATACTTGAATTGCCTCCTCAAGGTCATCCACCTTGAAAAATTCCCAGGTCTTGGAGCGACTACAAAATCAATTGGCCCCGTGTACTTGTGGAGAACCACAGACCGCAGTGGCAGTTCCATCGTCCGAACGGTGGCAGGCCGTCACAGTGTGCCAGATTCTCCGACCGAGTTACCCTGGAGGGCCGAAGTTGTCTGCGTACATCAGGGACGAGGACAAGATCATTGTGGACATCGAGGGTGATGAGGTGAAACGGATCTTTGTTGTGGGGATCTTGCAGTCCCGCAAAGGTGTTATATGTAAAGATTGTGTTCACTGCGCGTACAATAATGTTAGAGAGGGACAAGAAGGAGAGCGTTGCTTTGATTATTGGATGATGGGGCACTTCTTCAACTAGACTGTAGGGTCTTGAAGATGCATTTATGGTTTGAAATAGGTGAGACAGTCCTTTTTATTCTGTTCGATTTCTATTATCAAGTTAAATGCATACTGTTACGCCCAGTTACGAATAGTCCTACCCCAGCTATTGTCAGTGGTGTCCAAAACGTCTATCTCCATGATACTGATGACACAAAACCTGAGATAATGGGCCCAACTTCCGGACCCAACGCAGCTAAGAGCATAAAGAATCCCGTCGCCAGGCCTCGGTGTTGTGGGTCACCATAGATATCTGAATACAGCCCATCAAGAGCAACATTCGGCGTACCAGCATTTAGACCACAGAGAAATCGAAACACAAATAGTGCAGCGTAATTAGGCGACAGAGCACAGCCTAGCGTAAAGGTTATGTAGTCAAGTTAGGCGGCAATGAGGACTGGTCGACGGCCTCTCTATTCGCTCAGGGGACCAAAGATGAGCAATGGCAATGTTCCTAACGGCATTCAACATTGAGATATTTATTGATGAGGATTCTAGAATCCAGCCCGATTTGAAGTATTTCATGTTTGGTATGATGCATCCAGAGGGGAAAATACCCCTAGGATTCGGAAAAGGGGTTTCAAATGATGGCCATATAAAGATTTATGATTGCTTCTTCACAGCGCAGGAGCGAGATTCGGGTGGGAAAGAGGCTGAGTGGATACAATCCCTGGAGGCATAGCCATACATAAAATGTGGCGAATCCTCAGGTTACCTATCCTCAGTGAAACATTAACGTCAGCCATCTCGAGTACACTGAAGATAGGAATATAATCCCTCGAACTATGGGGAACCATCTTTTGTCTCTAGGGCATTCGAGAATCGATTTGGCTGGCCATTTCCCGAGAATATCGATCCCCTATAAATAATAGCAGTAGCACGCGGCGCACAATTAAGGAAAACAATCGCAATCAACGGCGCTTTCGCAAAATTGTCACGTCCGGGTGGCTCTTCCGATGGGAGTAAGGATGGATGGTGCCGTTCCTGTGACAACTTAGGAATATCTCCCCAGGGGTAATGGCTTTAATATTGTATATTACAGCACTCGCATCATCCATATCCATAAAGTATTACGCCCTGTCTTTGTCTGGTTAAATCTACAACCAAAGGGTACTCTTATTTCACGACAGACGATGCCTGCCAATGAGCTTGCTTCAAATAGCCTTTAAAAATGGGGCTAGCAGCCAAGCATAAACGAAAGCATCTCGCCAACTGTCGGTTTCTTGGAAATAGTATCTTTTTACCACTATTGACCACATAAAATGCTTTGATTTGATAGCTGAGACTCATTGAGTATTTGACTATTTTCACCTGAGATATGAGTACCTTACCGAACCCCGCGGAGTAATATATTATTGAGACGGGGGTCTATAGTGTGGGGAGCTGTTATCAAGGCAAGCCCAAAATAAGTGCAAATTCCACACGATGGATTGGAAGAATCCTAAATGGAGGTGTACTTTATACCCTTCACTTTTGCTCCATTTTCTATTTTGTAGAACCTGTTATCTGCCTAACACGTGACCAGCGTGAATCTCGTATTCTAACATAAGATCAGCCCCATCCCCTGAAAGAAAGTCGATGACACAACTCAGCCGCCCAAAATGAAATCCCAGAAAGGTCTCCCCCTACCTCCAGAACTTCTCCTGCGGTTGGCCGAGTATCTGGAACCACCGGACCTCGTGTCCCTCGCTCAGGCGACGGAAGCCTTCGCGCGGCTCGCTTTTGAGTCCAAATCACCCGCTCTCAGCGAGAGCGGGCGGAGCATCCTCTTCAGAGTGGTTTCATGTGGACACGTTAGCATTCTCCGGGAATATTTAGACGCAGGAGCGGACCCGCGCGCCACAGACGTAGAAGGGATTACCCCGTTGCATGGGGCCTGCTGTTATGGGCACGAGGCGGTTGCTGCTTTACTGGTCGACGCTGGAGCGGACATGAATGCTCGGCACAAGAAAGGGATGACGCCCTTGGATTTTGCAATCGTGACTGGCCATGACCGCGTTGTTGAGGCGCTCCTTGCGAAAGGGGCGGTCATTTCTGACTGCAGAATTGGTGACCTGCAACGGACAACTCTCCATGTGGCTGCCATTAAGGGCTATCCCCGCATCGTGAAGTTGCTTGTTGATCATGGTGCGCCTGTTCATGTAGTCGACCCATGCCGGCATACACCTCTGCATTTAGCAGCGTCTGAAGGGGAAGTGGAAATAGTGAAGACGCTCCTTGGTACTGGGGCAGATGGCTCAGCCCTGGACAAAGAAGGCGACAGTCCTTTGCATATCGCAGCTGGGAAAGGAGCCGCCGACGTCGTACAAGAATTGCTCAACGCCGAAACGAATCCTTCACTCCGGGGCCAAGACCAATCTACACCGCTGCACTGGGCATCGCTCTTGGGCCGAGCTGAGGTCGTCCGGCTTCTCCTTCTATCTGGGGCGGATGTCTCAGTTCAAACTAGCGATGAAAAGACCCCTCTCTACCAGGCTAGTAGTGCTGGACACGAAGATGTGGTACGACTGCTTTTGAGTGCGGGATGTGCCCCATCAACCCCTGACGATCAAGGGAACTCGCCATTGCATCTTGCTGTCATTTTAGAGAAACCCACGATTGCAACTCTTCTTTTAGATGCAGGAGTCCATGTGGATGTCCGAAACAACAAGGAACAGACGCCACTGCATTGGGCTGCCAAAGGACACGAAGAGGCAGTGCGAGCTTTGCTTGATCGCGGGGCTGATTTCGACGCCATCACCCATAGCGGATGGACACCACTGCACTGGGCTGCCTCTGTAGGCCATCTGGGTATCACTCAACGTCTTCTGGAATCGGGGGCTTCCGTAAAAGTCCAAAATCGTTCCGAAGAGTCATCACTGCATGTCGCCACTCAAAACGGCAATGACGATGTGGTTCAATTACTGATCTACTCAGGGAGTGAGGTGGATCTTGCCGACGCAAAGGGACGAACCGCACTGCACATTGCGGCCTTGAAAGGTAACAAGACAATAGCGCGGATGCTTTGGGCTGCCAAAGCAGATTCATACATCAAAGACAAGGAGGGCTATACTCCGTTCTTTTATGCTGCAAATGAAGGAAACTCAGAGATAGTGGAGATGCTTCTCGACAATGGCGCAAGACTCGACGAAACCAGCAAGGAAGCTTTTCTAGACGCGGCGGAAGCTGGCTACAAGTCCATAGTAGAAGTTCTCATCAAGCACGGCGTCGATATATCCGCGACAGATAAATCGGGAAATACTGCGCTGCATCGGGCAGTGGTGGGTAGTCAGAGGGATGTGGTTGAATTCCTAATCAATGCTGGAATTGATTTTTCTTACCGGAACCACTCGGGCAAGACAGCACTACATCTTGCCGCTCGTGAAGGTGAACAAACCATCGTTAGACTCCTTCTGGACGCTGGTGCCTCGGCCGATACACCAGACTCTGATGGATGGACAGCTTTGCATTGAGGTGTTGCTTATGAAGAGGAAGATGTTGTCCGGGTTCTGCTGGAGGCTTGCGTCTATCCAAGCCCGTCGTTGTTGAATTGGGCAGCAGAGAAAGGGACTTCGGTGTCAATGATGGGCCTTCTCATAGAGGGATCAACGCAGCTGATAGAGTGACTCAATGATTATGACACTGTATATTGATCCAAATGAAGCAAGTACCGTCAACTAAAAAGGGAGTGACAAATAAAGCAGAGGTAGGGGGCCAAAAAAAAGGGGGAGGGGGCTCAACTTCCCTGAGCATGAGCTTCTGACAGCTCAAATGGAGATCTACAATTGCGTTAGCTCATGCAGAGTTTGGGATAGGACTTGCATGGATTTTTGTTCAATTTAAGCAGTCTCAGGGATACTTCAACAATCCCGAGACCTTATCCTTCGTTTCCTCTGGAGAGTCATCATCAATATTAGTTTCAATGCATCTTTCTCCATTTTTATTCCGTTGCTGTGATTGGCCAGTTCAATTGCTGTATTTCGTAGCCGATACAAACCAAAGCCTCTTAGCTTCACAGCGCCAATCCCCTCAGCTTCCACGAAACCGCCCGCCGTGTCCAGCATCTCGAGGTGGCGTCGCGGACTGCTAAAGCAGCTCCCATTCCAGCAAATGTGGCTGGTGGCGACTGAGTCGTGGATCCACCGCGAGTACAGTGCCGTGGGTACAGAAGGTAGTTATCCACACCCTCAGGGTATTGACTGGTTTGGTGGTATAGTTTAAATATTATTTCTTGGTGAGGGACATTTCACCCTGCCTTGACGGCATGGCCTATTCACTGACGCACTTCTGGTTACAGATAATCCTTAACATCAATATTCAGAGCTAAATAACACGTATAGCCTATCTAGAAGGCGATTCGAGAGGGCGATTCGAAACTAGGGCATTGGCACGACTGCGGAGCCACTGTAGCATGTTTCTCGATACACCTCTATCAAGTCGGAATTGGAACCACACCACAAACCACCCAGTTACACGAAGAATCGGATACCATATTGCCTCCATTCCCCAATAACAACCGCTTCTGACCAGCAACTTGGATGATCCGTAAGGACCGAGAATAAGAAGACCACTGGCCGACATTAACCCTCTTCCATCCGTTTGTGTGAGCTGTGTCCTCATTCACAAACACCTCCTCTCTTGATGCGCCGTTCATAATGATAAGACCCGATCCATCGGTGCGGTTTGGGTGCAGGGTCCAGATCACATAGGGTGAACCCACTGGGGCGATCGCAGTGTCATTCGACACGATAGGTAATCCCTGCACTGAAGCAAAGGTCAAAGGTGATGAAGATACCCTGTAGTAGGCGCGACACTGTTGCGAGCCACAGTACTCATAAGTCATAACATACTGGTTCGTGGACTCAATATGCGCGACAGTCGCCATGCCGGGACGATCGGCGTAAGTTGGGTACACGACAACATCAAAGTCCGCTGACCAGGTCACAAGGTCGCTTGTAGTGACTGCGACTAATTTTTGAGCGTGTGCTGGGTCGCGTTGGTCCGAAAAGAAGCAGATCATTTTGCCATTGTACGACATCAAATAGGGCTCCCAAATAGCAGCGTTGCCGTTGGTCACAGTCTCAGGTCCCTTCCCATATGCGATGTGACTGACAAATTGCCAGGTCTTAGCATTGTCTGTGCTCGCGTAGAGGTCTATGTAGGCTTGGCTTAGATCAGACGGGACTGAGGCGCCAGCCATAAGAATGGTGCCGACAGCATATTTGCCCCAGGCTTGATCAAGTTGGTAGAGGAATGGTTGATAGCGTAATCCCCATCCGTTCATGGTGTCATGGACGCGTGAGTACTCGGACCAGGTAGCACCTCCGTCAATCGATCGGTAAATGGGGAAGTAAACGGTTGGAGGCTCAGGAGGATAATCCTCCCATGTCATGAGGAGCGACTCATCCGGCAATTGCAGGGTTCGCCCATAGATAGTGCGCCAGCTGGTATAGTTGGCGGGTGGGAAGAAGACGGCATTGTTATTGAATGTAGTAAAGGCGCCTGGGGTAGGAGGGGGGTGACGCATGCCTGAGCGAGGAAGGACAATGCTGCTAAAGCAAGCAACAGCAGCATCATGGAAGAAGAATGATTGAATATAGTCAGAGTTTGTCTTTTTATTATTTCTCGGTTTTGGGATTAACAGCAGCAGAAAGCAGAATTTATAGATGGGGAGTTCCAATACCCCACGGAGTTATTCTGGCGTATTGGGGCCAGAAAGAGTTCTCCGCAAACTATTTTTTTTTCAGTACGATGGATCATGGAGTGAAGATGGGGAATGTGGAGTTTGTTGATGCAGGTGGAAAATGGACCAATGGTTGGCCTAGGATTCCGCCAGCTTATACAGAGAGCATGTAAGAAACACCATCTCAACCGAGGATAATGTGGAATCAATTTTAGCGGTACATGCGAAGGACTAATAATATTTGACTGGCCTAGGCTGTAATGTATACCCCACAAAAGGACAGAAGAGAAAGCCCAGGGTCAAGAAAGCTAAGACAAGTAAAAGGAGGATTCCGGAAAATCATCAAATGTAGTTAGGCGTCCCTGTTGAGAAAACATTTGCGCCTGGGTGGAAATGATTTCGAGCTCAGCGACCGAACGGCGGTCCATGACTTTGTCGTTAAGCGGCAGCGCATACTCAAAAAGAAATCGCACCATCCAATGATCAATGCGATGGGTAGGCTGTTGAGAGAAAAGGAGGCAATTCTTTTGAAAGTTCGTAAGTCGGTTAATCTGAGAATCATGTCAGCCACGGCATCAGTCAGACTCGTGATAAAACTACCATTGATTTTACGGTAGGCCAGTATTGTTCTAGCTCGAGAAGAGCTTCGAAATTGGTCCTTAGCCAGTGGTGTGACTGGGGCAGTTCGTCCTCTGTCCCAAACAAAATCGTATGTAGAAGAACCGACGACGATACAACCGTCATGTGGCCCACTGTAGGATAAACGGCCTCACAACCAGCCTGCTGTCGACCGTGAGCGAGCAGTGTGCTGTAGTTGAAAGCATGAAGTTTGCAGCGAGCAGCGAAACGCTGTGTCTGTATTGTCGGAGTTAACTGTGTGTCCAAGTATTGATAGTACAGTAGAGTGCAGTAGTGATGGAAGCCCAGATGCAGGGCGAGAAAAGGGCCACCAGTACCACGTTTGGTGTGCTCAGCAAGGTTAAATTCTGTCGGTTGAGCGCCGCGGGGAAGCTTTTCCAGCCATGTATCCAGCTGCTGAGCGAGCTGCTCGGTGTTGTGGTCGATTTGGCCTTGCTGTAGGCTCTCGCCATGGGCAACCCGCCAATTGAGTTCTTGGATGGGTGCGAACAGTTCTACAAGGGTAACCATGTGCGCCCATAAGCCCGGTATCTCGCATGATTGCCACACAGATAACGGTTGGTCGGGGGTAAGAGTAGAAAACAATTGCTCATCCATTGGCAAGTGAGCTGGTCGAGGGAAGTCTCTCATCTGGCGGGGTAGGCCCAGGCTCGAGGAGCACCAATTGTCTGCCATGAACAGCGCCCACCAAACGCGGATTCTGATTTCTCCGGTGATTGCATTATCGCTGGAGTTTCCGGTGGGAGGCTCCATTAACTGCAGCATGGTGATTGCTATGCCTGCCAATACAAATTAAGGTTTCATGAGTATCCATTTCGTCATTTAACACCTGTTAAGTAACTGGCGAAGGCTTACGAAAGAAAAGCAACTCCGATGATGGATTTGCATGCGCTGCACATAGGTTCCCAACTAGGATGCATGTCTGGATATTCTCTATGCAAACATTCTCTGAATCAGCCTGGAGCAGTTGTTTTGCCTCAGTAGTGAGCAGCGGTTCCAACGATCGTGCTCTCTCCCGGGTGGATAAGTGAGCTCCCATGGCACAGATAGCTAGCAGTAAGGCCTTCGGAGCCCGCCGCTGGTTAATGTCACTCCACAGGGTCTGCGCATGGAAGATACTATGCGGACGGTCGTGGATTTTTGTCAAATACAGATGGACAAGCTCCGCCACGGCCTTCTCATCGGCGAGGAACTCACTCACAGGGTCCGGGGGCGCCGAGACCCTAGACGAGAGGTGGGTGGGTAATTGTAATGGAGAAGTGGAACGTGCAACAAGTGTCTGTCTACCAGTCCGTTGGGAATAGGAGTTTGAGCAGGGAAGATGACGGCACTGACAGCGGTTGCAAGGGGCCAGCAAGTTGGTTCTGCTGCGGACACACCTGCGCTTGGCTTCACGGCATTGCTTACACGCTTTCATGTTAATTGGAAAGATGAGGTTGAAAGAGAATCTCGACTGCATGCTAAGTCTTACTTTTTCGCTTTCACTTGCAGCTCCCCCCGCAATCTTAGTCTGGGAACTGCTTGCGGAGCAATAATGTGGGGAACTTATAACGTTGGCGGGGAGCCTCTTTGCTTATTGGCTGAAATGCCGCTCCTCACCGAAGGCATCCCATGACCACATTAGCAGGTTGCCTGGACGCTCAATTCGTGCAGGCTGGAATATAATTCTGAGATTAAATTGAGTTTGTGCGAGGAAATTTAAAGACCGACAGACAAGGAAGGGCTTGATAAGCATGAACGATCGATAGGCCTCCCACCGGAAACATACTATAATGGTTAAGAGGCATACTTAACGTATATGTTGGAAAAGTCCTTTGCCGTCCCTGCTGGTACTCACCGTGGGATTCTACTGCGGATTCCTAGATTCTTGGTTAGCTCAATTTCCACTCCGCCCGAGTGGATGCATCCTCAATACTTCCAGCGTCTTTAAAAGTGGGGGCCAATGAAAGCAATTCCTGGGTCTCTTTCACATTGGAATTCTTCGCGTGGGAAATACACTTGGGTATTTTCAACTTTTTATAGCGTTTTTTTCTTGTCTAGATATGATTATATACAAATAGTCCTCATCCCCCCCCCAAATCTTGATTCACGAATACACTCAATCCTAACTTCGTCTGTTTATAACGATAGGTGATCTGATATAACGACAAGATGAATACTATCGACCTTCAGGTCCCTCATGTCATCTGGTGGAAGGACCCAGCCCTGCGCAATCTCTACTTGGCGATGCCGGTTCTTATGCTAGCTGCAACAATCAACGGTTACGATGGTAGCTTGCTGAATGGACTGCAGACAATGGACTCATGGCAAAACTGTAAGTGTTAATCCACAAAATACGTAGTTGACGGATGGAAAACGCGGCTGTATGCTGACTGGGGGATAGACTTTGGCAACCCTAGCGGGTCAAGGTTGGGACTTTTCACTGCAATCATGAATTTGGGAGGGTTCAGTGCCCTTCCATTTGGTGTGTACACAGGATCATTCTCTGATATTAACGCAAACTAACAGTGTGTAGCCCCTTACATTGCCGATTTCTTCGGTCGGAGAATTGGAACCGCACTTGGAATCATGATCATGATTCTCGGCATCATTCTGCAGGGTGAGCTAGTATTGCGGCAATCACTGAAGTAGAGAGGGGGCTAATACCTTGTAGTGGCTCCGGGTGTCACCTCGAATATGTTCATAGGAGGACGGTTCCTAGTGGGATTTGGGTAGGAAGATAAACACCACATTTCCGCATTCGATGTCCATGCTGACAGGCTACAGGTCAAATATCTCGATTGGCGCAGCACCACTTTTGATCATGGAGCTTGCGTATCCGCAGCATCGAGGTAAACTGACGACCTTATACAACACGTTGTGGTATGTCGGTTCCATTATTGCTGCGTGGACAGTCTACGGGACTATCAAATACTCTGGAAGTGTTGCATGGAGAGTCCCTGTAGCTCTTCAAGCCCTCATGCCCTTTATACAACTGATCGGCGTCTTCTTTCTTCCTGAGAGTCCTCGGTGGCTATGCTCCAAAGGCCGTTACACCGAAGCGATGGCAATTCTGGTTAAGGTGAGAGCGCCCCTACCCCTACCTTCCTCCCAACCGAACATAAAGCACAAGGTTAATATACAGTATCTAGTACCACGCTAATGGAAACCCTGACTCTGACTTTGTGCTTGCCGAGTTTGCTGAGATCCAGGAGACGCTTCGACTGGAGCGGGAATCTGCGAAACTAGGATGGGCTATTTTCCTGAAAACTCCAGGAAACAGACGGCGGTTGCTTTTGATTGTCCTCACCTCGTTCTTCAGCCAGTGCTCAGGCAACGGACTCGTATCTTACTACCTGCATGATATTCTGAGTTCTGTGGGCATCACAAACACGACGGACCAGTCTCTCTTCAATGGTGGTCTTCAAATCTGGTCATGGCTGGTTTCTATTTGCTTCTCCGTCTGTCTGGTCGATCGGCTGGGAAGGAAGACCCTTTTCCTTATTGCAGGTGTGGGGATGCTGGTAACTTTTAGTATCTGGACTGGGTATCACCGCCTTTCTTTCCTTTTCTTTTCCCCTTTCCTTCTTGAAATGTGGCTAACTAGTTAGATGCTCCGCCGCATACTCTCAAACCGGTAATACAGGAGCTGGATCTGCCGTGCTCGCTATGATCTTTCTCTTTTACGGCGTTGCCGGATTTGCCTGGCCTGGACTGACAGTCGGCTATTCGTCGGAGATCCTGCCGTATGGCATTCGTGCAAAGGGTCTATCGCTTTGTCTTGGGATTACTGCCCTCTCTGGAGTCCTGAACCAGTATGTCAATCCCATAGGGCTGGCACACCTGGCTTGGAAGTTCTATTTTGTATACATTGTCATTCTGGTTATCGAGGTTTTGTGCATTTGGTTCCTGTTCGTCGAGACCAAAGGTCCGACCCTAGAGGAGATTGGACGCCTCTTTGATGGACACGAGACGCAATACGTCGAAAGTGAGGAAGATAAGGCATAGCGAGCATGTCTGGTTTACTAGAAACCAGATTTAGTCTAACTGTGCGTCCTTTATAACTTTGCCTTATTGTTACCATGTGTCAAGGCTTATGCTACACGCTGGAGCTACAATTTTGCAATCACCAACTTAGAAGACAGATGGAGAATAGCATAAAATAGCAAAAAACATACTCGGGAAAATTGACTAATACATCAGAGTAAACATGTTTGTGAGAGCGTAAGAACCGAAGATGTTGATAGGGACTCAACAGACTTCGAGACTACAGATCGATCATAAGGGTAACGATGGCATCACAACTAGGAGAAATATTTTCTAATATAGGCAGAAAATGTGATATGATCCATCATGGTCACGAACGAGGGCAGTTGTGCCTGGGTTGAAGATCGTCCGGTCGTAGGGCTCAGCACTCTGCTTTGGGCACTGTCGCTTCCTTTGAAATTTGAAAGTTCTAGACCTTGTTTGCTTTCGTAATAGCGATATTAGACAAGGACATGGCATAACCTTCGCTTGGGATTCATGCCTTTCTGCATTAGCCACAGGAGGGCTGCTCTATGGAAGTCACATTAATGCCTCGGTTAGTATTTTTGACGCCCGAATATTCCTCCGATTAAGCTCAGGGTCTATCAACTTATACCTTTCTTGCGCCGCCTACAGGTATGACATCCTTTGGAGCGACCTGGAATCCTTACCATTGGTAACTGAGACTGAGGGAATAAAATAACCGTGAAATAATAGTGATGGTAGATATCTTTTCTGTATAGTTTTTCCAATCACCGGCGGCAGTTTGCTAGGTCATATTTCTAACAGAAAGCTGTTTCAACGTATCCTCTACCCCAGGTCCTTGCTTATAGGCTGTCAATCGAGGTTAAGAGTGTCAAATATTCGCCAGATCTTGCCCAAGCACGGCTGATAGCGAAATCCCAGGCTAAATCCAAAAAGGAAGATTACGCACGGGGTGCATTTAGGTCTTTACATGACGCTTGCCGCCCAAAGCACCTCCATGGTTCGATCATAGGGTTCGAAAAACCGCTGCATTGCCTCCAATGTGGCCGCCATCAAAGTGAATTCCATTTTTCAAATGCACATAAAAAGTTCTGTAGATACCGCCGCAGACCAAGTCATGTTCTGGAGACAAAGAATAAATATGGCTCTATTAAAGCTACGTAGTTTCGCTCAAGAAATATAAAGTGATGTCCTCAGACCACATTCCTGGTTCATTAAGTTGAGCCCCTAATGGTGTTTCTCATCCAATGAAGCGTAGTGGTTTGGTCTATGTACAGGTCTACGTGGAAATACTGCTCAACTTTCCAGGCCTTGATCGCTCTGTCAGTTGTGTCTGTATCCGGCTTAGACAGCTTTCATCAGCGCTTTGAATTTAGCGCAAGCAAAATCGGCTCTGATTATCTTCAAAAGGATGTCAAAAAACATATATCGTTGTTCCATCAATCCAGATCTATTATTCAATAAACACTCTAATCCTACGTCTCTTTTAGCTCCTGTTAAGCTTTCGTAGTAGATAATGCATGAATTTCCTCCGTTTTGATAAGGATTTAGATTAGTTCTTCTTATTCTAAACTTGTCCGTCACTCGATCCCCGCCTAGTATATTTCTTAGTATTATTAAATCTCCAGAGTAAAAAGGTAAAGTTACTTATAAAAGGGATTGTTAGAAATGCGTCTAGTATATAAAACCGTAGAAGAAATCGTTCGTGTACACTAATCTAAGTACCACGATTATAGAAGAGAGACGAATCAAGATAGAATATAATCGGCTAATCAGACAGAAGAATCAAGCAGTAGAAGGTTGATTCAGATGGTCTACTATGCCCGGTAATTCTTCCTAAGATAAAAGAGATGTCAAAACTTGTTTAATTTAGATAGTAAATAAGGCAGTATTTATAATATAAGGTACATAGCAAATATCATATAGAGAAATCAAGAACATCCGAGGTCATCTTAGAGTGTTGAGCATTCTCTAGCCTAGATAGGCCATATTGACGAGATCGTTGAGGATCAAACTGATAGATCAGAGAGGGGTAAACAAGATGGTGTTTTTCTCCGCGGTAGAACCGGAAAGATTGCTTAGTTAAACAGGCAGGATTCAAAATGGCAATCTGGGCCCACAGCCTACATATGCCGACATGATCTTCGAGTGTGAATATTGCTGCATTGATACATCTATAAAAGACTGTTAGGGCTACGAATTAAATTCCAAACGAATACACTGTATATTTCACACTTGTAGACACGCAACACCACGACTTTCATACAGATAAATCACCCACTCACTCAGATTTAATACATACAGACACAAAGCCTCATCAAGCGTCCATTATCACTGGCTGCATCCTAGATGGAGATCGGTTGCGGCGCGCCTGGCTTTGCTTTATATGAGATGCGACCTGCCGGGAGGAAAAACAGAGCAATAATCGCGCCCCCACGCACTTCCGGATAGTGATGTGTCCCCGGCCCCGGTGACGTCCACCCGGCACCCTGCCACCCACTCATGCCCATCAGCTCGGCCGTCGGGTCCAGCTGAACCACGCAGTTGATCTCGCCGTAAGGGTGGGCGTGGTACTGCCCTCGGTATGCATCTTGACTCTCCATATAGACAGTGGTAATGCTGAAATACCTCGAGGCGTCGGTCGGGGAACAGATCCTGCTCCGGCGATACTTCGAGCCATCGATCTCGTCTGTGGCCACCCACCCCTCCTGGTTCTCGATGCCGTGGCGGATTAAACGACAGAAATCCTCGTAGTACGGGTTTCCGGGGCCATAGTCACGGTTCAGGCGCTGCTCTAACTCCCGGCCGGGGGTGCTGCATGTAGTCGATATCGTCAATGACGGACGGCGGCAGAGTGTAGATGCAGGAATAAGAGTATACTCACAGGTCTTCAATTTCCGCGAAAAATTCAAAAGCACGATCTAATAGTTTCTGGTGGTTAGGCTGCATCTTAGTTGCCATGGGAGCGTTGTCTTGACGTGTAGATATTGAGGGTGTTTCAGGCGACGATGTACTACTCCTATGCTCTTGATAAGACGAGGCCTATCAAGAATTATAGCTGATTGAAACCCCATCCCGAAGGGAAACCCTATGCCGTATCTATCCGGTATCTATCCGGAATCTTGACATTGCAGCCCGAGTACTTGCCAACGCGTCTTGATTTGCTGCCTAAAATGTAAACCCCCGTAGTTCAATGGTCGTGCTAAAACCCACTGGCAAATCTGTGTAATATTGCAAGCCGCGTAATATTGCAAGCCGCCTATGGTGTACAGTGGCCGTTCAAAAGTATTGGTAACACAGTACTTCCCGCCCATACCGCTTTTCTATTCCGCCCACTTACATTAGCCACACGCGTCCTCGCGCAAGCGGTCGAATCTAGTAAATTCGCTTAGATTATTGGTATTTTGTTAATCTAGCTAGACCAATACCTCATCATGTAGAGAAGGTCATTAGATACAACAGATGGTGTACTAGTTATTGAAATATTGAATGAATTAGGTGGTTTAACCGGCAGAAAAATAAGTGGGGCATGTAGCGTATTCCAAATACTTTGAACGCTGACTGTTTATTGGGATACATCGGATCTTACTTGATGTTTCAGGGAATACTCTGTTCTCGGCTATGTTCAAGCGTCGCTTCTTCTATCCGGTATCTATCCGAACGCAGAGATGAGCAGGAAGAGTCCTCCACCACGACTGGGGCAATAATGCACAGAAGGTTTGTCTCTTTCGGAAAGGAACGCAACACTGGAGATTTTAGACAATGGGGCTACAGCAGCGTAGGATGGATTTCTGAAGAGGTAGGGTGTTGTGCTGGATGTAGATAAGCTGAGGATATATATTCATAAGAAAGCCTCAGTCATTGCAATGTTGTGTCTCACTGTTTGCATACGCTTCTTAATCTTTTACCTTTGCCAAGCCTCAAGCGCTAGCAAGATTACTCTGCATCCATGGAAGGTTCAGAAGAGATCGACATGCTCATCGTTGGCGCTGGTAATGAACCCTTTGCTAGGAATAATGATTCAGGGTTCTTGAGTCTAACTGACATTACCAACCTAGGCTTGCACGGCCTCGCCATGGCTAAAACATATCTTCAAGTCCATCCGAATGGGAGACTTCTTGTCATGGACCAAGCCAAATCAGTTGGTGGCTCTTGGGCTAAGGAGCGACTATACCCAGGACTTAAGACCAATAATATCATCGGCTCGTACGAATTTGGCGATTTCCCCATGGTCCCAGAACGCTATGGAGCAAAATTCCATGGGCATATTCCCGGTGAAGTTGTACACGCGTATTTCTGCGATGTTGTGGCGCACTACGGCATCGACTTATGTCTTCGCCTCGAGACCAGAGTGCAGTCAGCAACGCTTCGAACAGACGGGCGATGGTTGATGAGGGTCGAATCTATCAATGAGCAACAGCAGTATGCGGATACGCTCGTGGCTGCGAAGATAGTCATTGCTACGGGACTTACCTCCGAGCCATACATTCCAACGTTTCCAGGACAAGGAGATTTTTGTGGGCTCATACTGCATTCGAAACAGTTAAAGGAGCAGACTGACAATCTTGCGTCTCGCAAAAATGTCGTCGTCCTTGGCGGGAATAAGTCGGCATGGGATGTTTGCTACACAGCAGCCCGGTCTGGCTCTCAGGTACATATGCTCATACGCCCGACGGGGGGAGGTCCGAGTTATCTCTGGCCGAGGGCATTTTCCTGGGGACTATTCAATCTCTCTCTGGCCAAACTGTCAGCTACGAGACTGTTCGTCTCATTTGATCCAACTCTGTACGGGAAGAGAGGGCGCCTTGCTTTCCTATGGCATTTCCTTCACCGGACTCTACTGGGCCAGAAGGTCTGTCAGTTTTTCTGGACACGACTAGATGCGCATATCAAAAAACTGAATGAGTATAATTCGCATCCGGAATTGCAGAAGCTCGAGCCCTGGACGAGCCCATTCTGGATGGGCAACTCCCTAAGTATCCACAATTACGACACGAACTGGTTTGACCTTGTTCGAGAAGGAAAGATCAGCATACACATAGCGGATCTCGCCTCTCTGTCAAACGGCAGGGTACAGCTGTCGACAGGAGAGACGCTAGATGCTGACGCCTTGGTGTGTTGCACGGGCTGGAAAACGGTCCCTACTATCCAGTTTGACACGTCATGCGTCAGGGAAGGAGCATGTCTTAGAATAGCAAAGGGCACGGGCACAGGTGACTCAGTTGCTGCTGAATGGCAGATCAATCGTGACATCAGCTATCTCCGATCTATCCCAAAAAGAGCTGGAAATGCCCCGGCAATTCCCGAGGGTCAGATTCCGCAACAGCCTTCCTCCTTTTATCAGCTTTACCGTATGGTCATCCCAAGCCAGCCTGTTTTCGTAGAGAAGAACAACTTGGCTTTTATCGGATTGCATTCTTCTGTCCACGCTGTGCTAGTCGCTCAGGCCCAGGCTCTTTGGATCACGGCTTTCTTTGATAATAAGATAAGGCATCTCAATCCTCCTCATATTGATATCAAAGCCGTGCAATATAGCAGCATCCTGGAAGGCATATATGGGAGGTTCAGACGTCCAAAGGAATGTGGGGGCGCGGCGGGCAAGTATCCGGATCTAGTGTTTGACACTCTGCCTTATGTAGATACGCTGCTTAGGGATCTCGGGTTAGCGCCGAATAGGAAGAGCAGTTGGTTCAAGGAATTATTCGAGGTCTATCTTCCGCAAGATTATAGAGGCATCACTGAAGAATGGAGGGGAATGAATATGAAGGGAAATTGTGAGGGAGTATTTTAACTGCTTTGTTACCTCAACCTACCCATATCTAGGGCCCAGGAAGACCCTATCAATTCCCTGGCTATTCGGCATTGTTTTTAAAGTCTTTGTGAAGGATTTCATACAAACTCTCTTTCCTTCCTTGTTTAGCTCGTTCCCCCCGGAGGGCTTTTGAGATGGGGTTTACTTAGCAGGTGGAGCATATCAATTACGTCATGTATTTCAGAGGGTAAAGATCCTTTGCATTGCGGATCTTGGAAGAATCTTCAAGATTCAATTCATGTATCAACGTGCATGAAAAGTGATCGTCTCGACTACGACTCGTTCTACGGTTGTCCTGGCAACTCCTTCATGTCCTTCCTACATCGTCATTGATTGTAGCTGTTTGTCAACCTAGCCCTAGGCCCTTTGTAATTGAATCGTCCTTACCCCATTCGGCGACTTCGGTGACATTGGTCCTTACCCCCTTACACTTTTAGTCGAAATCCTAGAATCTATGTATAATAGAAATAGCTATATGTTTACTACTGTGAAAGCCTCTAAGGATCTAGCTAAAATTAAGACTAAACTAAAAGCGAAATACTTAAAAATACAGTGAGATTCTGTATAAAATATATATATCCTTGGGTTTTCTATTTTTGTCTTTTATTGGTGACCTGCGCAGTCAAAGTAGGAGGAGGATAGTATGGTTTGGCCGTAACGGGTCACTCGCTGCGGTCTTAGACCGGGCCAGACGGTTTGGACCGGTTCGGGCGCGGTCTTTTCGGTCCTGTGCAGAGGCGTAGTGGTAGTAGGTAAAAGAAGATAGATTGTTTGTATTCGCGTCGTAAACTGTTAGTGGTAATTTAATGGCGGTGCGTGCGGATAGACCTTCGTAGACAAGGGTGAACGGAGTAAAAGCAGAGCCGCTCACTGAGCATGGCAGTAGCAATCACGTGATCACTGGGTCAGACTGTACTGAAATATACTCAGTGAGCCATGGGCTTCGCGCCCTCGATGAAAGCCCCGACGGATACGTACCGGATAGATTTCAGCAGGGAAGAAACGTGTGATTTATGTAGGGGCTGGTTACAGCATTTGGTATAGGAAAAGCGTTCATATGTTTTACCTTACAGCCTTCTTGATTTTCCCCTTCAGCACATTCTGACATTCTAAGAGCGATTACTCACCGTTCGACATGATTTCCAACGATCATCCCAACAGACAAAGGCTGATCCATCGCGCTCGAGAATTCCTTGCCGAGGTGGAAGGCCTATAAGCTTTAATCTGCGACAAAACCTCAGTTCGCTAATTTATGTCCGAAGAACTCTTGATCTAGCAAGGACTAGCGAATGCCGAAGGTTGGGTCGCGACGGATGAAATAGACGGTTGAAAATATCGTCGCACAAAAATCAGCCAGCCGTCTGAGCAGAAATGCTACTTTCAGCATCGCCGCCGTTTATATAGACAGCCAAGAAGACTACCACGGCCAATCTCACCTTCACCCTTAAGGCGAAACAGGTTGTGTGATTCAGTTAGATCCGTCGGCCGAATTGATGGGCATGCCCGGTGGTAAGGAGCGGACTGGACATCACCAGGTGCAGGACACATCATTATCCTGAAGCCCGTGGTGGTGGTCCGATACCTTTGTCTTTCCTCCTGCTGGTCGGATCTCGTACCATAGAGCGAAACCCGGGGATGCACAGCCGATCACTAGGTAGAAGATAAATAAAAGCAATCAAATATTGTATATTGTGTATATATAGATTCATTCTATGCGACGATTTCTAGATTCAAAGTTTCGTAATGGTCAGCTTGCAAGTGAAAAAAGAAACTTTTCAGGTCTGCTACGTGATGCTTACTAACTGGCGCCTTCATAACTAACGAACATGACGAACATTGCGGGGGAACCCCTGTCTGCCCACACGCTATCCACGCTATCCATCCCTGCTAGCACTCAGTCCGAGTTCGCTGTTCTGATTCTTTTGGGTCTACACGGACCGTCTTCCACTTCGAGACTATGCCTCGTCCCAAGATCTCAGAGCAGAACCGGCAACGGATCGCAAAAGCCTGTCTATATTGCCAGTCCAGTAAAGTGAAATGTGATGGCTTACGTCCATGTGGACAGTGCATCAAAAGGCAGCGATCGAGCGAGTGCGATTATTCTTCTCATCTACGTTCATACGGTCGTCAGCGCCGTCGTCGCCAAACAAGTCCTGTGAATAGATCAACTGGGCGTATCCAGTTTGACAGCTCCAGTCAACGTATCCCTGTGGGCAAGGATGCAAAAGACGATTTTTCCGAAACACATGTCGCTATTTCAAACCTTCCTCGCAACCTATGCGACGCCAATCAGAGATCTCGTATGTAATATCTAACTAGCTGCTCTATACTCAGAAATATCAATATCACTAAGACTTTATCAATTATAGTGCATCTCGGGAATTCTGCTGCGCTCTCTTTCCTTCAGAATATTCAAGAACTAATGCAGGCCGACGAGGCACTCCCTACACTGCCAGCCGATTTATCTAGTAGCGCACCACTTGAAGTGCCAACGTCTCACGTCCGTGAGAACTTCTCGCTCTACGATTGTCTTGATGGTCCCGGCCTAGTCTCGCTAGTAGACGTTTTCTTCACCTCGGTAAAGCTTCCATTTCAAACAAAATTCTGTTGGGCATCTTAATCCGTATTAATACTGGTAGCAGACTTGCGGTATTTTAGACATCTTTAATCGTTCTCACATCCAAGGTCTTGTCGACTGCTGGGTAAATAGAACACCTTCAGGATCGAGCTCCAATACCACAATCCTATATCTTGTGATTGCATACGCTGCGCAGACTCGTAGTGCCTCTGAAGCTGACAAAAGCATTTCTCAAAGTTGCTTTCACCGCGGTCGGCAGATTGCAGTTCATGAGTTAACGAGGGAGCCTAGTATCGAAACCGTCCAGGCGTTCCTGCTTATCAGCTTATACATGCTCGGTTGTTCTCAGCGCAATGCTGCCCATTTTAATTTGGGAATTTCGTTGAGCGCGGCGAGGTCTCTCGGGTATCATCGTATGCATGCGGAAGTTGAACAAAAGAATGAGTTGCGGTAAGCCTACCTGTGAATAAAGATCGTAAGTGACCTATATTGGTGGCTAACAAGGCGTAGGAGGCGCATCTGGAGGACTTTATGCTATCATGATTTATTTTTCTGTGCCATGATGGGTCGCACGCCGTCGACATCTACTACTGATTTGGTAACAGAAGATGATTCGCGGCTTGATTCAAGCGATCCGGACTTTTGTCAACAGCTTGGGATGCTTGAATCGGCGCGAGCTTTTTCGATAATGCGACAAACGGTCATCGAAATATACACAAAACAGTCCGTGCCATTGGGGCTACTACAAAGTATCTCGACTAAACTGCAAGAACTTAGCAAGGAAGTCCCCGCCGAGCTACGCAGCCTAGAGCATGGCTCATCACAAAGCCATTTAGGATGTCAACATCAGCGATTGGTACTCCGAAACGCCAGCGTTGCTTGTGACTACCACTTTAGCATGATGCTCCTCACCCGGCCATTTCTTGTTGCTTGTTTGAGAATCAGTTTTCAAAATAACAGGAACCCGCAATCTGGAGAGTTCACAAACTCTCAGGACTCGAATATTCACAAGGATGTTGCCCGGGGTGCGATGCAAGCTATTGATGCTGCACTCAGCACAGTCCAACTCATCTATGAAATCCATGTAGCTGGGTTGCTATTCAATAATATGCCTCTTGTAGTGTGAGTTGCAGACTAAACGAACCTCCCCTATTTTCTTAGCTAATGTAGCTAGGGCCCGAGTATTTGTATCAGCTTTGACAGTTTGTGCGGCCTTTCTTGGCCGACTGGGTGATTCCAAGGAATGTGAGCTTGCAATTCACCGAGCCGATCAAATTCTACAGCACTTCATGAAGAACAGCCCCCAGGCAAAGCAGTACGATGCTATTCTGAAGAATTTATCCAAGGCCGCCTTTGGCTTTGGCCATCACCAGGGGCAAAGAGACTCGTCAAATCGTATCACTTCAATGTCGGATCTATTCGGATTGTATTCGGGTGTTCACTACGATTCTGAAGCTCCTCATGATACCCTCGCTACGATCAACTCTGTCGCAGTGGACGACCCTCAAGGCATTTCTTTGTCTCGAGGTGTTTCCACATCTAGTATTTCCCCGCAAGCCGACGTGGTCCGGTCGACAGAGTACGAGTCTGGTGTTGTTTTTTCTCAAACCGAGGAAATCTGTCGACCTGATGATTTTATTCCCCCCGGCCACCAAACGACAGCCGACTCTTTCGACTTTAGCGGACTGAGTGGAGATAATTTCTCCCTTGATCTTCAAGCAACTGAAAGCATTTGGGATATCAATTGGGATGGAATGCTTCTATAATCCAGATGACATTATGATAACTGTTGTCTGACTTGAGTTTCTCCGGGTGCCTTTGTAGCATCGATTCATCGATCTCTGCATCGCCAACCCTCTAATTTGATATGTCAGTCTGGTTGTGAGATACTGGTATGTCACGACAGAAATGATTGCTCCGCCAGCCAAATACCCTTGAATATCACCAGGATTTGGCTACCTGGACAAGTCTCTAAACGTCCTCAAGCTACCAGTCTGCTCTTAGGGTCTTCATGTTTTGTTCGGCTGGACCCTTCTAGTTCTTATTAATAGGCGAGGTTATAATCTTCTCCCCCTTTACAGAACAACCAGAAGAATAGGCACACCAATGGCTTATTACCTATTTATTAAAGACAACGGCTGTAGTTTATGCCTCGCTATATGGCGAATCGTTCCCTGTTTGTCCAGTCATTTGAAACTGTACATTCCACGAAGGCAAAGATTAATAAAAGTGATAGTGTTATAAATATCTAAGGTGATCCCGCATCGCTTGCATTATGTCACGCTAAACTAGACATAGTCAAGGCCTGGGGTATCCGCGATTCTGTAGATCAGCTTCTTCGCGCATACATTTCCATCCTTCAACTGTTGCAATCCATTTTCAACGGATGCTAGACCGTAAGGTAACAACTGATATGGGTGGCCGCTGATTTTGCCCTCAGCGAGCCACTTGCTCACAAGTCGAAACAAAGCATAGGCAAAGTCCACGTCCTCATCGCACTTCTGATCCCAGTAAGGTGTGGGCTGACCATGCACCGTGCCGACGAAAGTAGGCCCGATGGTGATATGGGTTGGAATGGAGGTGTAATCCAGACGGGGCAGATAGACTGACATCCGACTGCCCTCAGGCTCTAAGACTGCCACGAGATGGTTCCAGCTGGTACCGTTGTTTATGGCATCAACGGCATGCAAGCATTTCTCACCATCCAAGGCGGTCTTCAGGTCATTGACAACGTTCCCCTTTCGATAATCAACGAAGTGGGTCACTACGCCAATTGACTCGACATAATCTCTCCCACTCCCACAGACGGCAATGATTTTGGTGAATCGGCCGAGCTTCGCTAGTTTCAATGAATAAGCTCCAATAGACGAAGATCCACCGTAGATGATTAGCGGTGATTGAACTTCAGCATTATTTGGCGAGGTTGGGAACGGGATTTTAAGTCGCTGATAGAATCCTAGAGCTGCTGTACACAAGGCGAACGGGATAGTGCAACCCTCTGAAGGAACTTTTGTCAGAAACATGGACGTATTCAAAACAACGAAATACGAACCTTCAAGTGATATGTTAGGCGGCAGCAAAAAACATGTATTAACAGGTGCCGTAGCATATTCTGCGTAGGTCCCATTTGCAGTCTGTATCGGGTGGGCTGCAGCGACCCGATCACCCTTTCGAAATTCATAGACGTCACTTCCAACTGCTTCGATCACTCCGGACATTTCATTCCCTTGGTTGATATCCTCACCTGGGATCAAGTGATCAGGAGCCTTCCAATCGCGTGGGTTGCTCGCGCAGTAGATGACTTTGATAAGTACCTCCTGCGGACCTGGCTGAGGGACGGGGACATCAACAATCTTGCAGCGGAGAGGGTGCGCCTGAACGATAAGAGACTTCATGATAGTTTGATGAATTTGTTGTGCAGAAAGTTAAAGGATGAAAGCGACGTTCGAAATGTGCAGATAAAAAAATAAATATAAATAAATATATACGAGAGCGGTGTGTAGGGTCCGACTTAGGAGTGAGTATAAAGATACTCCTGTGCGTGATACGATGTTTTCTAGTTCATCGACAGGTGGCAGTCTACCTCAGGTTTGAATAGCTTACAGATCTTGGAACTAATTTTTTTAAAAAATAAAAAGACCGGTTCCTATCCGGTGTCCATTTGTTGATGATTGGCCCGCGCCTGGAGAAAAAAAGGTTCAATCGGCTTTCGGATACATTCCGGATAGATACACGGCATTTCTAGCTGGGACGTGATGATGATCTGATAGCGTGGCTTGGGCCTAGATATATTTGGGCCCTGTAGGGGGGACTTGCAGTTAAAAAGGTCTTGGTAGGGGGGTTTACACGACTTTCTTGCGCTCCCCCCGCTAAGTAGGTTGAATCTTAGTATTTTTCGATCGGATTTTTTAGATATTTTATAAGAACCAGCTAATCAATCTAGCTAGTAGGTTAGATAGTAGGATATCTAGCTAGAAGGGCTAAATCCTAGGGGGTTTGATTTTGATGGGGGATACCAAGACCAGGCCCGACGGGTAGCCTATACCGCTTTTGGCCAGGGTTCCTAACATATGGGAGTATTTATACCCAGCCTAGGTGGAATTAGGGTATTACTCTTAAGTATAGGAAAAAAGAGTGGGACAGGGCTAGGTGGAATTAATTTTTCAGAGGCTGGGTGCAATTATTCCTAGACGTCGTATCCGTGCCTTTCTGCCCACCCAAACCGCTACCCGCTTTGGGTGCGCCACTAATCCTTCACGATTTCAAATCCTTCACGCTTTTCGAGTATTCGAATTCAATCAGCTAATTCAACCACCCACCATGCCTAAATCTCCTGATTTTGACGAATCTCTTGTCGCCGAAGCCTGTAGAGCAGTGTTGGCCCAGAAAAAGCCAAATATCGCCAAGATTGCGCGTGAATTCGGCCTGGATCGATCTACACTGTCAAAACGCGTTAAAATCGCTCGATCGCCTACTATACCTCCCAAATCGCTGAAAAATGCCCTGGAGCTATACCAGGAGAAAGCCTTAGTCGATTGGATAGTCCAAATGTGTGGCTGGAGTCTCCCACCTACTGCAGGGATTATACGGGCGTGGGCTAATCGCACACTCGCGCGTGCTGGCCAGGAGAGACAGGTCAGCAAGATGTGGGCGTATCGCTTCGAAGCACGTCTACCAAAGCACCTGAAATTGGCCCCAGTAAAGCAGAAGACCAAGGAACTAAAGCGAATCCAAGCGGAGGACGCAGGGTTTCTCCAGCACTGGTACGACCAGCTAGGAACTGTTCTCCATAACGTTCCTGCTCGGCTAGTATACAACTTCGATGAATACGGGTTTCAACCTGGTCAAGGGCGATCGAGAAACGTCATTGGGGCTAAATCATCTTGCCCTGACCTTGCTGAGACCGAGAGAGGCGAAAATATCACTGCATTAGAGTGTATTGCTGCGGACGGCTGGCAGATGGATCCTCTCTTTATATTTAAAGGAACCGGCCGAAATCTTATGGAGGCCTGGTTCTACGGCAGCGAAAACCTCTCGCCAGACACGATGACGGCTATATCTCCGAATGGCTGGATTTCGGATAAATTGGCCCTAGCATGGCTACATTATTTCATCTAATTAACTGCTCATCGTGTAAAACGGGGTGAAAAACGCGTCCTTATATTCGATGGCCATGGGGCACATCTTACCCTCGAATTTCTTCAAGCATGCGAGGATAATGCGATTATCCTATTCGGCTTTATACCGCATTCAACTCATCTCTGCCAGCCACTTGACGGAAAGCCCTTTTTGAATTATAAGCAGCAATTTCGGATGATGAATAATAAGCTAGCTTTCTGGGGTGGGCAGCCGTATGGGAAATCTGATTTCCTGTCAATTATCGGGCCAATTCGTAAGAAGGCATTTACCACGCGTATTATCCGCGAATCCTTCAAAGAGCGTGGTATCTGGCCGGTTGACGGTAGTAAAATCGTCAAGGATCTTACCAATCTACTAGAGATCCCTGATCTAATTGCCCCAGACCTACGCTCATAGGGAGCTCATACACCATCACCACCACCACTAAATCTCACGTCTTCTGACGTTGATATTAGCCCTCCAAAATCTATCCAGGCGCTGGAGAAGAACCAGGCAAAGATTCGCAAGAAGATTGATGCCTTACCAGCTAAAGCGCAGCGGGATCTTACTAAAGTCTTCATGCACCAGCGGGAGCTATATGAGAGACTAGCGATGACGGAGGATACGATTCGGCGTATAAGGGCCGCGCAGATGCCAGTACGTCGCAAATACACCAAGCGACAGGTCAAACCCCTTAGCCAAACTGGTATATTAACCACACGCGATGCGATTCGGTCAATTACAACCAGGAAGGAGGAAGAAGCGGCCAAGGAGGAGAGGAAGCTGGCTAAGCAGTTCAAGAAGGTGTATGGCTACGAACCCACGGAGCGGTCGGAGGAATCTATTCAGCGGGCAATTGCGAATGAGATAGCGGCTAGGCAGGCAGGAGAGCCTTTTTTTGTTGATAACTAGCCAATTGGTTGATTAATTCGATGGTTTACTCGAAAAGCGTGAAGGATTTGAAATCGTGAAGGATTAGTGGCGCACCCAAAGCGGGTAGCGGTTTGGGTGGGCAGAAAGGCACGGATACGAAGCTCTAGAAAGGGAGCCTAAGGCAGAAAAAGCTCCCGGGATCTCAGCCGTGTTAGCTTAAGCTTCCAGGAAAACCTACGTACCGGATTTCCTATAACACGTCTTGGCTTTCCTTTTCCGTTTTAGTGCTCAGTCCCTCGCCGCTTTTGCTCACTGATCTGCTCACTGAGCGAGTCTACCCACTCACTGACGCTCAGCTGAGCGCTCTGATTTGCTCACTGAGCACAACCTGATCGCATGGTGGGCAGTTACCTCAATAAAACGGAACACGCTAGCACCGTCTATGTAAAACCTCCCTGTTTAGTTTGCCTATATAGCCCCATCAAAAAAGCACTCCCATCAACAATTTAACGGTGCATTTGGCTACACATACTACGATTCATTGCGCCTCGATGACGCTTACTGGCTGATCACCCACTCGGTTAGACTATGCTCCTGGGAATCCTTCGCCTATCTAGAGGAGTACTAGGCTAAAGGTAATTGTATAGGTCTACTCTGAAACTAGAAATCTTGCACTGAATAAGCGTCTATAGAGTAAAGATTGTTCGCCATTCTATCCTACCAAATTATTTTGACTGAAGCCCCCGCCAGCTTCAGTTTCGGCGGCTGGTCAAAGGCCCTCCGTCATCATGAAGTAACCTTACTATACCTCCTTACAGACAGCGACTTAGGCATCATTTTTGTTTGCTACAAATTTGCAGGAAAATGGAAGCGAATCCAAATTCATAAAGGAAATCTTTGAATCTACCATCTATAATTCCCGTCGTCCTCTCCTATCTCAATATGACCGAAATGCCGATGCAAAATGGCAACTACGAGCTTGGTCTCGGTGGCAGCTTCCTCCAAGGTCTTCCCTCTTCGATAAAACGATATACATACCGCGGGGAGTCAGACTTCTTTGACATCTTGGAAACCGAATCCGCTCGTTTCGAAGCCTCCCCCCACGCAAGCGAATTCCTCCTCTTCCATGCAAGCAAAGAGACCATCGATACCCTTATCGAAAACGAAGACACTTCTCCCATCGCGAAATACCTCACTTCATTTGACACCAACGAACAACTTTTCTTGGTCAGGATGCCGTCAACTCCACACAGTGGGGCGTCCCCCATTTTACACAATATGATCATGGAGGCCATACAACCGATGGGGTTGTTCACTTCCCTCAGAGGGTATACAAGTGCAGAGGTCAGAGGAGCATCCCGAGGAAAGCAGGCAGACTGTGCCTGGGGACCAAGAAGGACCGCTCGTGGGATACCTCGTTCACCATCCGTTACTCTCGAAGTAGCTTACTCGGAAAATGACGTCAAACTAAACTCCGATGTGCGCTTCTGGCTCAATCCTGACGATGGAAAAGCAAACGTATGCTTGACACTTCGGATTGGTCGGTCTCAGCCAGAAATCTGGATTGAGAAGTGGGAGAATCAGAACGACCGCATTCATCGCTCCCAAGTCATCTGGATTACCAAGCGTGGAAACCAGATAAACGTCAGTCACCATCCTCTTGTCATCTCGTTTGAAAGTCTGTTCTGTCGCCCATCATCCTGTCCACGGGAGAAAGATTTGGAATTCTCACAGCAACAGCTGAAGGAGCTCGCGGAGATGATTTGGGAAGACCAATGCTGGTGATCTACCCTAGTACAGACCGACGAGGGAAATCATCCTAGATTGAGATTAGTTTCTATCTGATCACCTGATTACACACTTACGTTTTCATTATTTCGTACTAGACAACTACGGTCGACCCGCATGACTGATATGCCCATAGATTTGGAAGAGAGCTGGATAGTATGCAGGGGACTGACCCGATGGCTCTCAAGTGTTACAAATATCCCGAGAGCCGCCTGAGGCATAGCTTAATTTAAACCACAGATGACACAATAGAGAACCCATGACCAAGCGAGTCCTTCGAACCATAGATTATCCAAATTGTACCACAACCCCCGACTCCGGTCAATTCTTCCATGTGGTTCCTGAAGCGTTTCCCAATCGGGCTTTAAAAATGACGGAGCAGTAGCATTGGTGGATACCCTCTCTTTAGCGGTCTTATCTTGTTAAGCAAAGAAGATCTTTCGACCTATAACTGAAAGTATCCTAACAAAACGCTAGAATGAATAAATGAAAATAGAGATTGAAGTAAAGGATAACAATCTGTGCGGTAGCTTGAAATGAGGAACATGACTTTAATTTGTACTTTAGGACTTAAGCATAGATCTTAGTAATTTAATAAGAGTGGAACACGTTTTTC